ATCAATGTGGTGTTACATGTCGTCAATGGCATAGTAATTTTATGCAGTAAGTTCAATGTATAATGACTAATAAAGGACTCTAATGTAGTACTAAACTGAAAGAAGGACTAAGAACCATAATTTGTCCAAATTGACAATATAATCGACCATATAACCGCCAAAATGATAGTTTAAATGAAAATAGTGTCCCAAATAGCTGTGCGTGTATCCCTCTCGCTGAGGGGAATAGTTATACAAGAGTGTATCTTTTAGATTTAGCTGAAATACGATCAAAGTGTGAACGTTTCTGCTCACCACCGTAACCCCAAATCGACGCTTTTATGGTGCTCTGTGATACATGTCAAGAACTCCTGTAAGCAAAATGTACATATCGCCCAAAGTTACTATTGTTCCTCTGGTCTTGAAATTAGGTCAAAAGATTATGAAATATGCTCTTTTGTGTTGATTAAAGCTGCTGTATTTTCACTATTTGTTGAGAATCAATAAATAAGGCGTGACAGAAATCAGCGAAACCAACAATTTACAGAAAAAATAAAGTAAAAATTTACAAATATAATTCGACAAACGTTTACATACGATAACGTGACTTTAACTGGTTCAAATGAATGTCCAATGACCTATAATGTCCAAGAATTACTTGATTAAAATCACGTCTAATGTAGATTTAAAGTTCATTATACAATTGCGTGATGAACAACGATAAAGCCACACCATAAAAAGAGAAAGAAGACGAAATCGGAAAGACAAAAAGACACATAACAGTCCACAAAACAGTTCATAGAAAAGTTATGAAAAAAAATGAGCAACACGAGACCACCAAAACCGCGGGCGGGCGAAATAATACTTAAGTAAAATACATTCCCAGTTATAATTTAGTCCACAGTATAGTAAGACTTACAGTCAATAGAATAATATTTAAAACTGAAATAAATCCTATTCTCTATTTCTCTCTATACATAAAGAAAGGGAGAAAGAAAGACAATTCTGGTTTTAATGTTAGTCTTATAAATTCCGCATAGAGTAATTAAAAAATTTAGGAACTGAAACTGTAAAACGTTTTGGAGTTTCTGTTATATATTTTGAAAATGATTAAAAGTGTAGCGGGGAAAAAAATTGGTTGGCTGACAAAAGGATGTATAGATAAATGTTTAAAAATTCCGTATTTATTCATTCAGATTGTGTTACTGACAGATCAAATAGTGCTCTTACATATAAAATACGTTCAAGTCAACATTACGCGACAAGTTAATATATGTCTGCAAATATCATTAAAAAAAGTGAATGAAGGAAATATATGACGGATTTTAGTTTGAAGTTGTCTTTCTGTGTCAATATGAAAGAAAAATAAGATCCATTTATTAAGTTTGTTTTCTAGTTTCAGTAGTATCCTTAATTTCAAGTTTAAAAGGATATCTGAAATGCAAGCATTGGCTGACTGTTGGTACCTGAGTGACAGGACATCTAAACGAGTAACAATAAGAACTGTCAACGTTGCATTGCACTATTGACAGCATGTCTACTCTTCTTGAGGCAGTCAAAATGTCCTGCGTTTCCTTCCAATTGGCCCATTTGTATACACTATTTGTTAGATATTGTTAATTTGTTATTATCCTGTATATGCATGACATGGTAGCCACTGGACGTCTAGCAAACATAAGTAAATCTATCAAGAAACATGGTTTGTATATTTTATAATCCCCAGACAATTCAATAAAATAATTAATGTGCAATTAAAACAAATAAATGACGACTACAAATAAGAGTTTAATATATCTGCTGCAGCATGGACTTTCAATTTCTGAAATATGATTATACAATACAGTACATTATACAAAAAATTTCTACCTCCGTCTATCTTTAAAAACTACTAAAATGTATTATTTGTTTAAACAAGGTAGGAATTGTTCTGTAAAAATCAATAACAACAAATTGAATGCCATAACATGCCTAAAGATTAGGCAACTCACACCCAACCAAAAAAACAGTGGTAAACTAAGTGCTCCAGCAGAATAAACAGTTCATGTACATGTATCACTAGTTACTCCGTCGTATTGTTTATTCTTATTAAAATTAGCTGATAGTAATACAAATGTAACGAGGAAAAGAGAACGAGATAGTGGTAACGAATTATTGCGGGATTGTGGTATCGAATAATGAACATTATCGTAAATGAGAATGCCTTAAATTTATATTACTTTGACATTTCTTTGACTTTCCAATTATCTAAAACAGATTCAAACACCCAATCATTCGTTGCCCATAGTATGTAATTTGAAAAATGAGACGAAAAGAAAGTCCACTAAAAGAAAAATTGTCCTTGGGAAAAACAAATTTGCTGCTTTTTCTCTTAAATTCTATTGAAGTTTTTTTGTCTTGTTGTAGAAAGAAAACGACAGAACGTTAAAACAGGAAATACCCCTCGAGAGCAGCAAAATGTATCAAGTATGTCCAAAACTAGTTATATATTTAGTTAGGCATTGGAATATTTTACCACGGGAAGTTCGTACCTTCAAGAAAACTAACTTCAAGTTATTTTTTTAACAAAATAATAGTTTATTTGTAGTATTGATCATATAACTAAGTCTTTGTTGAAAATCGTGCGATGACTCTATATGATATCTTTGTTTTTTTTGTTTTGTTTTTTTTTTGTTTTTGTTTTTGTTTTTTTTTTTTTTTTGTTTTTGTTTTTTTTTTGTTAGATGTGTTTTTCTGTAGTTGTTCTCATTTACCATTGTTGACATATCTCCAACATATCTTTTTTTTATTTACCGGTTGTTGTGCTGTCACTTATTATCAGTACAGTGTGAATGCAGCTTCATTTATGGCTGATACCTCTCATATTAAGAGAGAACATTGTGTTTATATACTGATACATCAAACATCAATAAAAAAGAAAACTAAAAAAATGTCTCGCTAACCTTCGCTGAAAAATAAACAATTTTATATCAGTATAAAATAGGATGATGTGGTATGATTGTCAATGGAAAATCTATTCACCAGATTAAGAGTTCAAAGTGGATATAAGCAATTATAGGTCACCGTGAGGCCTACAACATTTAGTTAAAACTCATATCGTATAGTCAGCTATAAAAGGCACTGACATAAAAAATGTGAAATAATTCAAATGAGACACACTTACAGGCCTAATCTAAAAAAAACATACAGTTAACGAAAAAAAAATATGACAGACATAAACCAGTGACAACCGGTGAGCTACAGGCTCCTGACTTGGGATAGACACATAAAAAATGTGGCGTGGTTAAACATGTTTGTGAGCGCTTAATCCTTCCTTAACCTGAGAAAATGGTGTCTCAGCACAACATAAGAACAAACTGTATACAAGTGCAAATGGCTAAACTCAATAGATCGGTACGAAACACAAAATCAAACAAGCATCATAAAAACAATAGACACATAGCACCAAAAAAGAGAACTTGCAGTTACTGAAAATTAGTTCAAAGCCAATTACAACTCATAAATAAATCATGGTCTCCCAGAATAAAGTATCAATCACATCCAACGCATTTAGTGTTAAGAAATCATAAACAGTCTGGCAAACACATGACCTTGTGCAATGCTAAAATATGAATTAAAAGATCGACAGGATGTAGGATTATGAATACTCATAACTGTACATATATAACCATATATGTCTAGTTGTGTTTTAATTTTAAAAAAATAATGTTAGTACCGATAAAAACAATATTTAAAGATTTTACGACGATGTTAAATTAATAACCTTTAAGAATATGTTTGTTCAAAGAATCGATCATTTTACATGGATAAATTCTGAATATACGAAACAACATAACTGTACTAATTAGGATGTGATATCCCTTTTTAATACGAACAGGTACAGCCAAACCTCAAAACCAAATCTTTGTATCGATGAAAAAAAAAGAATTTAGTAAAAGATTTAATTAATTTGTGGTAAAGCAATCCCTAATTTAATGCCTAAATAACGTTCATGAAAATCTAAAGCGTGACTTCAGACACGGGCATAGCAAAAAAGCTGCGAAATAAATACATCGTAACCGTCAAAAAAGGGAAAATGAACAATAGGGAACGAAAAATCATCTCTTTTGTAATAAATTTTACCGTGTGAAACAGAAATATTTAAATGTGGAAATGGACAATTAATGCCGTTTGTATTAGATTTATTTAAAGTATGTTCCATAGGTACATTCCCGATGTGAAATTAGAAAATTCTTGATTATTGACAGCAAATATATCATCAAGGAAACTGTAAGTGTTTTTAACTTTTAAACTTAATTAGAAATAGTGATACAACATTTTCTTGCAGCTGATAAGATGATTGCCTTAGATGAGATAAACACACTTATTCATGTTTTCTACAATTGCGTCAGCCATTAACTTTAACGTCGGAATAACTTAAGGTTGCCAATGATACTTTTCTGTTCTTTCATAGTAATATCTTTTAGGTGTACATTTGATTTAAGTTCATTGAAATTGTTTTCTTTTCAGGAAAATGCATTGATGCTTGTTCACTCGAACCTGAAACACTGGTGAAGTTACAAGCAAAGTACGCTACCAGCCGTCTTTATAGCGAAGTGACGATGAATTCGATGCATTCACATTGAAGTTTAATTTAAGTCGAAATTGTAGATTAGACTTAAGCTTTTCAATATGTTGAATTGTATATATTATTACAAAACTGTTATATGTAGCATTATCATTGCGTCTTAAATTCAGTGTGAATTAAAACTAATCGGTTAACACTCGAGAAAATTCTTACATCTTTCCAAGGTAAAGACTAAAGGCGCTGTAAACTAAGCGCTTCTTTTCGATTTGTTTTCTTGAGGAGCCGTATTCAACCAACATATGCGGCTACCATAGTTCTCTTTCAGAAGTAGCGGCCCTATTTTATACCTGTGATTGGTGTTCCATGTTAATTGTCAATTCCCGATATTTATTTTGCCTTTCGCTGCAACAATGAACGACTAGAGTTCCCTTGCCATAAGGACAACAGAACACATGGGTATTAAATCTTTGTATTGAATTCATTCATTGACCACAAAAAGCGTCACTAAATATATACAACTAATATTTGAATATTAAGGACATTTTCATAGATAAAAAGAAAACAACAAGCTACAAACGTATCTTGAAAATAGACATCAAACAAAAATGATACAGCGTTTGTGCATACTAGTTATATTTTCCCTATAAGTAGTCTTAAGGCAACCAAACCATGTAGATGTTTCAAAGATCTTTTTTTTCTGTTCTTGTAGAAAGAATTATAGACTATTTTTCACAATATTCTAGTGTGTTCTTTTAAATTATGTTAATCGCCGTTCATAGAATTTTGCTCTCTACCTCTGGAAACGACTATTGTTTAAAGTTTCTAAAATTGTAATTCATTAATGTCTGTAGTTTGATATTCTTATCTAAATTTGAAATGATATTTTTACATGTTTATACATTGTGTTTTAAGATACCGCTGGAAAGTAAAATAACAAAAAAATCGTTATTTCGTTATTTGTTTGTAATAGTTCGATAGTTCGTAATGCTTCCCCTCCCCCAATTGTCTCACTTAAATCGATCGTTTTAATACCTTTTCACTGTAACCGATAAGCTTCAGTTAATAGCACAAGGAGCTATCGAGAAAAAAAGTTAATGTTATCTTAATTTGGTGAAAAAGTATCTTTCATGATACAATGTATCAAAATCACAAACAAAAGCTCGTGCATAAATACATACAAATGTTCCGTTCAACCTTAAAATATAACTTAAGCACATGTCAATCATTTCATCAACACAAAATAGTAACATCCTTAAAATTCATGATATATACAACGTTTGATTAAAAAAATCAAAATAAATTAGTCATAAAGTAATTACATGAATTTTTTTTAATTCCTTCACAGGTGAATAGGAAAATATAAACATCATGTACTTATATATATTTAATATACAAACTAATTTGAAGTAAATATCATTTACAGCAGATGTATATGAATTTGCGGGCAAGTGTCATAATTGTGTCGGATCATGTCAGCCTCTTTCAAACTGATATTTTTTTTTAAAACAAAATAAATTTGAAGTACAAGACTGTAGAAAATTAATAGAAAGCTGGCAAAAAGAGACGAATTCAGAGCCTATATATATTTTCTCGATGAAAAACTACCGGAAGGCGGGAAAAAATGAAAACAACGCGTGATAAATTTCATGCGTCCAGAGGCTTTTCTGGATTTTCCTTCATCAAGAACGCTCAAAGCCGAATATTTGAAAGCCAAGGATATATAACAACCGAAACAGTTGAAGAGCTATATTTTCATAAAGGACCTAAAACACGTTGTAAAAGTCACATCCAATTTCCCGAAGAAACTTGCACAAAGGAGAAAAATTTAAAGCTCGTTATAATATAATGCTTAGAAACTGGCGAAACATACTTCTTTATTCTGCTTGCTGGCAAAAATAAATCACACGACAGGATGCAAAAAGTTTGTTATTATTCATAAAATTTAATACATGTATAAGTGTTTTAAGTCAAAACCTATAATCATAATAATTATCATGATTGAATTACAAATATTTTTGAAAAGGGTTCTATCACTTTGATTGGCATGAAACAATCATGATTGTGCTGTTTTAAAGTGATGTTGTATATCCAAATAAAAAGTCCTTTAAACATTATATTCTTCGGTCAACACATTCATATCTCAAAAAAAGTACAAAAAGAAGCATTCAATTCTTAAAGAAATTTATTTTTAAGAAAAGAGAATGGATATTTTATAGGCTTTTGTAGATTACTTCTTGACATCTATTGAAAATAGAGGTTCTGTGGGCAAGGCTCATACACTAATGCACCAACACTAACAATGGAAAGGGTCTATAACTTGCCTTCGGAAACCTTAAAAACACAATGCGAGGTGTACACTAATATTATATGATTTATATTCTGTAAGAAAATCAATAATTTCTAATAAGAGTTGAGGAGGAACACGCTCTAGATATTAAAAACGTAAAGAATATAATTGCCTACGGATACTCCAAACATAATTCGAACCCAAATCCAAATAAGAGGTGTACAACTACTTATATTGTCAAGATTCTGAGAAAGTGTACATAAATTCGAATAAGGGGTCAAGGATACTTGAAACGTGTACTGCTGTGTAAGGTTATTGCTAATTCATGATCATGCCAAATTAATTTAGAACGCAATAAATCTTTCGGATTAAGAAATTAAATAGGAGATGCAAAACAAAAGCATGCGAGTAAAATTTTGTACATCGGCGGAAAGAACGGAATGACTTCTCCATCACTGTATACTACTCGCTTAAGAAAGCGATGGCTGAGTCTATGATTTGCTTTGTAAAACCCAAAAGCTTTATGTGCTTCATAAAATAGCAAGTGTCACACAATTTTCCAAACAATAACTTAATATTTGTATTTATAACAAAAGCGTATTTGATGAGGATAATTTGGAACGATAACCTGGCAAATGAGTGCATAAATTTGTGAACACTCAAGTATATTTTCATTTATTTGAGATATTTACAGACAAATTATGATTAAACCAAAAAAGGATCTGACTTTCCCCAAACTGTTCGATTGAATTAAAACTGGTAAAAATCGGCCAATTAAGAACAAAAATCAATTTTGTTAAAACGTTTTCTAACTCTTCGTTTTTGTAGGAAGAAATCTCGAAGTTAAATACCCTCGATTAAAATCATTGTTGTTCTTTGGAATGCATAAGAATATTTCAATGTACGAAAAAGTGAATATTGTGACTAAGTTACAGATTACTCCAAATCAATTTAAAGTTAATTGAATGAAATTGCTTATAAAATGAAGTTGTCTTTTTAATTTGCAGGAAATATGCTTAAAAAATTAGAATGTTAACTTCTACTTTTAACCTTGATCTTATTGTCACAATTTTACATTTATGAATCAGTGTTTCTGAAGTGTATCTTTTAATGGAGAATACAGACATCTGTTAGCATGTAACGTTTGTAATGGTTGAATTTTGTTAAGTATCTGCCTTCTTTTTCCTCCTGAAAAGAAATATCCGATGAATAAGAAAAAGTATGTATTCTTACTCCAACATGTGTCTTTTTATGTTATAATGTTACACTACTGTCTCAGGTTAGGGTGAAGGTTGGCGCGTGTTAAAACGTTTAAATCCGCTGCATTTTTATGCACCTGTCCTAAGTCAGGAGCCTGTTGTTCAGTGGTTGTCGTTTGTTGGTGTGGTTCATAGGTGTTTCTCGTTTTTTATATAGATTAGACCGTTGGTTTTCCTGTTTGAATTGTTTTACACTAATCATTTTGGGGCCCTTTATAACTTGCTGTTCGGTGTTTAAGCCCATACTTTGACCTATAATTGTTAACTTTTTATACATTGTGACTTCTTATCTATATGGGTAAAGTTATTCTAGTTACTAACATATCAATAAAAAAATCACTGTTTTATTTTGTGTGTGTGTTTTTTTTATTAATGAACAAAATTAAACGAATTCTGTCATACAATCTTTTACCTATCTGACTTGTAAAAAACTTTGCTGAAAATATTTGACTTATTGTAGTGCATTGGATTAAACACTATTTAATATTCTCTCGACGACAATTTTATGGGAGTATATATCTCCCAGTTGATACGATATTCCATGGCTTGTATTTCCTATAATGATATCCTTGAAAGAGTGTTGCTGCTTACATGGAAGCTTTCAAACCAAGAATTCAAAGTGGTGAAATTAAAATCATCTCTTCGTAAATTTTACGGACGCCATCACGAGTTGGTAGACCGTTATGGAATATCTGTTTCACAGGTGACGACGGATATGTTATTATTGTAGTAACCACAATCCCGTCCTGTTTTCCCCGAATGTGACCTACCAAGTCTGTACTTACATGAGCAACACGACGGATGCCACATGTAAAGCAAGATCTGCTTACCTTCCCATAGAACTTGAGGAAACCCCCGGTTTTGGTGGGGTTCGAGTGCTGAGTCTTTACATTTCTAAGTTGTGTTTTGTGTACAGTTGAAGTTTTTTTTTTTGTTTTTTTTTTTTTTTTTTACGTGGCGTTGTCAGTTTATTTCCGACTTATGAATGTCCCTTTGGTATCTTTTGCCTCTCGTTTACATACCAAAAGCATTATTTGTCTGCATTATTCTCTCTCAATTTTTCTCAAACAGCCTCATCTATATACGTAGTTACATATTTTAGTGGGAGAAAAACCAATGACGGGCGTGAGAATGAACATACATACGAAACCGGACAATTTAAGGAAATATGTGTCAATAAGACAGCAGCCCAATTATACAAAAAGACATCCAATAAAATATCAACATATTGTCTTCGACATAGTTTTATGCTATATCCAGTTATTACGCTAAATTTCATTTAGTCTAGAACGTTATAGTGAATGCATTTAACATATTACCAAAGATGTTTCCTCAACACAAAATGATAAAACGACCAAATAAAACTTTAAAAAGATGCAAAAGATACCAAGGGACCATTTCAAACTCATAAATCGAGATGAACTAACAAACGTCATGGCAAAGAAAAAAACGATAGATGACGAAAAGACAAGTTCACAAAACATTACATAACAAAACGTAGAGACAGAACAACATGAACCCAACAAACATGTGGGATGTATTGGATAGTCTAAGTTAAAAATTATTTATAATATTTGTAAACCGGGAACAATTTTAAGGTTTAGTATATTACAAAGACAAGTGTCTATTGTTGAAGAAGCAGAACACAACCATTGTGACCTCAAGATGTATTTTGTGTTTTTATTGACGTTGCAATGCTGTCTCAATCATCAATGACGTCTACCTTGCAGCTCATTTTTTTTTATATAAAGGTAAATTAGGATTCTTGTTTTCTCCACATTATTTCACAATGCCTTTGTTGCGTGTTCGTTTTCTATTGACATTTTATTCACTGTGTTTGTCTACCTATTACCTTTTTTCCTTCCCTTATTCTTATTCTTTTGGAAAGGGATGTTGATTATTGTAAAATTTCAAGCCACAAAAATTTTTCTTTTGAAGAATAGTAAACATTATATTTAAAAAATGACATCCCAAACATTGGATTTACCAAAGGAAACGAAAATGTACAGCAATGTTAACCTTATCAAAGGATTTGATTGTTAAAACATAACTTACGTTAAATGAACATGTTAGTGCATAGAGCTGAAAAAATTATGTTTTCTAGATATTTATAATTGTTATTAAGGGTTTATTTAGATGTCAGTCCCAATACACGAGTAAAAACGAAAAATGTCTATTTACTATTTTGTTTACGTGCAAATATGATATTATGTCACCTTAAATTAACTCAATTACCTTATCTGATTATAAACTTATCTTTAAACATTTCAAAAGTATGTAATACAATTGAGAATGGAAATGGGGAATATGTTAAAGAGACAACAACCCGGCCAAAGAGCAGACAACAGCCGAAGGCCACCAATGGGTCTTCAACGCAGCGAGAAAATCCCGCACCCGGAGGTGGTCCTCAGCTGACCCCTAAATAAAAATGTGTACTATTTCAGTGAAAATGGACGTCATACATGTACTAAACCCCAAAACATATAAATGAACTAAAATTGAAAAACATACAAGACTTACAAAGGCCAGAGGCTCCTGACTTTGAACAGGTGCAAAAATGAGGCGGGGTTAAACATGTTTTGTGAGATCTCAGCCCTACCCCTTTACCTCTAGCCAATGTAGAATAAAGAAACACACAGTAAAACTCAGTTTAAAAGAAGTCCGAGTCCGATGTCAGAATAGGTAACAAAAGAAACTAAGCAAAATGACAATGATACATAAATTAACAAAGGACTACTAGCAGTTACTGACATGCCAGCCCCAGACCTCAATTAAACTGATTGAATGATTATGTCTTCATCATATGTAGTATGAATATATGTTTACCTGAATTTCCTGTCTGTTCTCTTTCTGTATGAGATGAACAGTGTACTGTTAATATAAAACATCAATAAACAAGAATATGTTCATAAAACACAATGCCTCGCTCGCACTATCACTTTTCCATATTACATGAACCGAAAATTCTTGGTCAAAACTCTTTCTTAGTGACAAATTAAAAAAAAACGTGCATTATTGTACCAGTTAATTTCATATTTTGGTCCGTTTTGGACTTTATGAATAGTTGTCTCATTGGCAATTTGAAATTTATCTATTACAAATATAAAACACATACACGTTTTGAGCTACATGATGTGCGGAATTTCTTATTTTGTAATGTTTACATTTGAAACAATCCTTTCACGGGAAAAGAACAACATGATAGATTAGGAAAATCACACATAAGGAGGTAATATATAAATACAACTCAAGCTTTTAATTGTACCACAGTCACACTCAAGAACGTATTATTTCCATGTTTTATGACAATCATATTGCTTTGTTTGAGACAGTTATGACATACAAACCCTTGGGTTTCTTACAACAGTTCAATTTCGCATTTCTGAGACGGCAGAGTTTTACTATTCTCAATGGCAACAGTGGCAGGTTCAATGGAACAGGATAACGTCTTCTGAATTCAGTGATGATTGAATATCTCCAAAATTTCCATAATCGATCTGAATTTTGCTGAACTTCTTCAAAACGGAATCTGGAAGAAAAGATCTTTCCAATTATATTATAGATTTCAATTGCACTTATGGCCAAAGCTAGTGCAGACAGTAGAGGTGTACCTTCCATAACTACTTCCGTTAGTTGTTTATTTTTCTGTGTGTGATTGTGAATCATTAGGATTTGTCTCGTCCATTTCTTTTATTTTAAATTTGTGTCACATACCTTTCATTTTGGTTGTTTTAATTTTCTTCTACCGCGTATTATTATTAATTTGATTTAATCTAATTGTATTCCAAAACTATTATCACATGTATCAGTTCCTTTCTTTCTTGACTGCATGATTGCATGTCTGTATTATTGTTATCGTATTCATGGGTATCATTTTTTTAAATTGTGTAAAAATGATGAATTAGGATAAAATAAAAAACTAAATTCCAATGGGGCCTAACAGTGCACCACTTATTGCAGACTTGTTTCTGTATTGTTAAGAATCACAATTTATATCTTAAATCAACGAAGACCCATCGAAACAACATTTGATACAAAAATTTAATAACACTTTTAATATTTTAGCTCTCAATAATAACGACTTCAGTATGTACAGTAAAGAGATTCATCCTTTTTTAAATAAAGCTAATTATCAAAGAACACTGCCTATTGTTGATTATCCGTTTCACGATGGTGAAGTTCCCTTTGCACAATCGTATGGTGTTTATATGTCTCAACTTGTTATGTGTTTGTAACAACGTATTTGAGTTTAACAAAGGAAATCTCTGTATTACTGAAAAATTATAACACCAAGGTTTTCGATATCACACTCTTGTCAAAATTTTTACCAAATTTTATCATAGCTACAAAGACATCATTCGTAATTATAAATCAACGTGCATATATCTTATTCGTTCAGGTATTGCACATTCCGTATTTTACAAAGCACAACAATTTCGTCATTTAATTCAAAGGCTAACCAAACCTTTACATAGACTTATTTACAAGCGATATAGTGACGATACTGATATCAAGTCATTAAAGATGGCATTTTTGGGAATTCATATTGATTCACTAATAGGGTCTTGGCATCGGAAATAAACTTATTTATTCTAAAATCAGTTGTTGGCATGTTATGTTTTTACGTATAATTTATGATGGCATTATATTAAACCCCTTCAAGGAAGGGATTGCGGTTGATTTTCATATGATGAAGACATAATCTATCAATCAGTTTAAGCGAAGTCTGTAGTTGGCATGTCAGTAACTGCTAGTAGTTCTTTGTTAATTTATGATTATTATTGTCATTTTGCTAAGTCTGTTCTGTTATCTAGTCTAACATAAGACTCGGACTTATTTTAAACGAAGTTTTAGACTGTGCGTTGTGCTGTGAGTTTGTTTATTCCGCATCGGCTAGAGGTATAGGCGAAGGGTTGAGATCTAACAAAATATGATTAACACCGCCGCCGCATTTTTGTGCCTGTCCCAAGTCAGGAACCTCTAGCCTTTGTTGGTCTTGCGGTTTTTATTTAAAATTTTGATTCATTTGTATGTTTCGGAGTTAAGTGTGGCGTCCATTTTGTTGAACTAGTATACATTATTGGTTAGGGGCAAGTTGAAGCCCGCTTCCGGGTGCAGGATTTTGTCGCAGCGTTACAGATCTAGACCCGTTGGTGGCCTTGTGCTGTTGTCTGTTCTTTGGTCGGGTTGTTGTTTCTTTGACACATTCCACGTTTCCAATCTCTATTCTATATACTAATTGCAGGACCATGGTAGGGTCCAATATTCCTGCCCAAGCACATACTACATATATCAATGATCTATAATCTGTTGTAGGATTGTGAATATTTTGTTAAATAAATTGCTACAGTTTCAAATGTTTGTGTTCACTATATCCTTTATGTCACAAATTGAAACTGTATACATTTATAAGGGAAAAAAATGCAAACTATACATCTACATCAGATATAGCTAATAATAGAATAAAAAGTAAACGGAAAGTCCCTTATCAATAACACATTTGCCTAATTACACATATCATGGATCAAAGATTCAAGTGGGCGGTTTGCACAGAGTGTGTCCTAAGTAATGGAGAATGGTCTATAATGAATATGTATATATATTGAAAAAAGGAATTCAGAAAAAAATATTGTGGTGTTTTTTCTTTAATAATGATGGAAAAATTACTACGTTCTTAAGTCTAGGGAAATTCGATAAAATCTTCAAATAATTCTGTAAAAAGCAGATGCATAACTGCAATATGTGTACAAATGGTCAATTAATTTTTCACGGGTTCAGATTAAATTGGTACCGTCTTTCGAAACTTTGCAGAAAAATTAATTTCCCAGTACGAATAAAATTGAAAACAAATCAATCAATGTGCAATCTTTCTGTAATTTGATCTTGTTCCGTTATATCAGTTGAATAACTGCATTATGAGGAGTTTCAAGGATCTGGGTTGAGAACTATAGCAGTTGATTGCGCAAAATATCTACATATTTTAACCCCCGCCCCCAGCCGTCCTGCATCATCTAAATATAAGCCGGTTTTGCAGTTCGTGCAACCCAGTTTAGAACGTATTCCAAAAGGGAAATAGACAGCATAATTATTTGGAAAAGACACTTGTCATTTTTCCCAATCATCAGCTTCGAATCTATAGTAGGAGCAAGGAAATAAAGCACTGAACCTCTAAAACCCGTAAATCAATAGAACAAAATGTGTATTTAACATTTGAAATCTCATAACATAATTTCATGCCACATGTCAGTACAACATATAATATCCATAAGTGAAACATGCAGAAAACCCTCATATTGTATCATATCTGTAAGGGCCTAAATATTCAGTTTCATTCATTTGACAATCAGTCGATCGAAACAAAAACAAAAAACTCAATTTTTAACTTCTGATAATATTCTTTAATTATTACATATGAATATAAGGAGTTGTTGGATAAACGTCAACAAAAAGGTATATAGAGAGCAACATACAATGTATACAACAATACACAGAAGTCCATACAACTTGTAAAGCACTTAATCTTACAGAGTCTATAAAAAATGTGAACAAATTAAAGCAGACAGTTTCAAATGTCTACCATCAAGATCATAAAATAAGCTATTATAATACATATTGAATTATATAAGAAATAAGCGTCAAAAAGACCTCGTGAAAAAACACAGTTCACCTGAAACAAAACTCTCACTCAAGCTGTGTCATGGAATCATCAACAAATAAAAAAAGCCGTGTCTGAGCCCCTTCTTCAATTAAAACAAAACTGTGTGAACATATTCACAAGCTTTTGACCGACATTCGGATGGACAGATTTACTACGGTTTTGATCTGTATTTTTTCATGTTTTCTATTTATATATATCTACTCACGTAAATAAAGCAATAATGAGGTTAACCAACAAGAGGTTCGTGAACAGCATGTATAAAGCAGCGATTAGTAGTACTACCCAGTCATAGTCAACACAACGTTCAATATCTGGGTTACTTTCCCAGTCAGCTTCCACAAACGTACATGTTACATTGTCCTCATATTTGTCACCTTGTAATTGAAATGTTATTGTAAAAACAACTACACGAGTATGTCTTTTTGTAAAATCTAAACTAGTAAGTTAGAATAAAGCGATCACTTCAAAAGTTTAAGTACAGATATGCGATGGACCTCAGTACTGAAACATTACAAACTATAATCTTTTACCATCTTTTAAAATGAAGCCCCGTTCAAATACTAAAATAAATGATTGTCATGCTTTATTGCACAGTCTAAAGTTATTATAGGAAAAGAAGTGTCTCAAATTTTCCTTTGAGGTACAGATATTAGACAAAATAATTTGCACCCATTGTCTGAGCAGGATGCATATATGTGTAAATACGCCATATTCGTTCGGAATGCGTACGTTAAACCTGATGCCTTATGTAGGGAGAGTCGCACTCTCTGCAAGCATTCTAAGAGGAGTCTGTATTGCAAGACACAATTCTTTCTTTTGTTCTTTTGTTTTTTTAAGTCAGACAATAAATGTCTTTTACATGTCATTATTGTTATTCGTTTGTTTAACTTAGTAAGAAAAGAGTTTACATACTGAAGAATATCTTATCGCTGAATCATATTGAATACACATGCTACAATTTTTAACAGTGACGTTTGTATACAATTTTAGAAAGGCTCATTTTTTGTTGTGTTTGTTCAAAGGTGCTCTTTTAATCAAAATTAAAAGATAAATTAGAATCTTCTTTTTTTTATTTACCTTGTATCTCATCTAGAAACAGTTCACCATAGAGCTGCCAATACGGTAAGGATATAATTTTCCAGATTCTCCAATATGTCACACTTTTCTGTGACCACATGTCGAAATGACTTGGATACATGTTAGCATGGTAAAGCACACCAGTGCACATCATAAAAACAATAAAAATCCACACGAACTTTATCAACTCTAGCAACTAAAATATTGTTGTCCATTATGAAAGATATATTACACTACTGTATAATAATGTTAGCTATTTTGTCCTCAAATGTTAATATGTTTTTAATTAAACCATTTTATTAGTTTTTATTGGCTTTGAACTAGATGTCAGTAACTGTGAGTACTCTCAGATCTGTACTTATATTGTCTATTTTTGTATTAGAATAAGGGATGGATAAATACCCTGCCACGTCCGGTCTGTGTTTTTATCTGATGTTTTCTGCTGTGTATCGATCTGATGAGTTGAGCCTTTTTCAACTGATTTTTATAATTTGTTCTTATGTTTTGCTGTTACACCACTGTTCCAGGTAAGAGGAAGGTTGATCGCTCACAAACATGTTTAACCCCGCCACATTCTTTATGTGCCTGTCCCAAGTCAGGAGCCTGTAGTTCAGTGGTTGTCGTTGGTTCATGTCTGTCATATTTGTTTTTTGTAAATTGTTTAGTTATAAATTAAGTCGTTAGTTTTCTCAATTGAATTGTTTCATATTTTTCATGTCGGGGCATTTTATAGCCGACTATATGGTATAGGTTTTTCTCATTGTTGAAGGCCATACGGTTGCCTATAATTGCTTACATCCACTTCATTTGAACTTTAGTGGATAGTTGTCTCATTGGCAATCATACCACATCTCCTTTTTTTATACATATATATGTATTACATAAAACATTGTGAAAATAGCATTATTTAGTTTGGATGATCATTTAAATTATTTTACAGTGAGTGAGACAGATACATACACATGTTGTTTTTTATGAAATTCCTTAAAAATAGCACTTCGGTGACATGTGCATTATGAACCGATACAGCTTAACTTTAACCTCTTAAAGTTACTACTGAAGGTATAGTTTTTGATACTCCCATTTTAATTGAGCACGCCTACATATAGAACTCTTCACTGGGAAGACAAGAAAATATGACGTGTTATGGGGAATATCATTTATTAAACTAGTGAGAGGATTTGATAAGTCACCCTTTTAAGGTTTATTTATAAAAAGAAACAAAAGATAACAAAGGGACAAGAGAAAATCATATAACAAACAGACAATACCATCGGTAAAAATGAAAAAGGACGATCAGAAAAACAAAAGTGACATTTTATACTGAAATTACCATTAATTGTAGTAGCACTTGCGTTCTCTCCAAGATTTTATACGGATTCTTATGTGCTCTATCAGTGCTATTCTAGTTTTCATTTTATGTGTTGCTAATAACAGACTTGCGTATTCATTGCTAGAAAAAACTGTTTTAATTTCAAACTTTCTTATTTCTTCATGCATTAGGGTTAGAAAATTTGCATATAACAATAGTCTATAAATGTTAATGTCTTAGTGTTAGATGGGAGACATTTACTAGTCTGCTATTGTGTGATGCCTGATCACTGTATATGTTTCATGAACTGATTTTAATAGAAGGGCGACGGGTGACATTAGTAGAGCACAAACTACTGATCATTCAGCAGCACCTGATCTGTTCTATCGAATTTTTGTTTTGGCGGGAGTGGGTGGTCTTGTTACTCAATTTTTAGGTTCCTTTGGTCACAACATCTAATGACCTTTGAAATTCTTCGTATGTTTTTCCCCCTTCAAATTATGAATATTGTCTTCAACTTTGATATGTTCATCCCGAATCGAATGAATTATTTTACAATCCATATTTGTCCTCATTGTGTTTATTATACCTATTTATTCCCATATATATATATTTACATGCATTGTGCAGTCAAGATAATTTTACCTTTAAAATGAATTACATTTGTACTTCCCATTATTTTAATCCTTGTCTGATTTATAAAAATAAGGTTGAGTTCATGATGTTTAATTTTGAGTTGAATATCATGTATCATGCCTGTTTTTTTTACAATATGAGATAAGCTACACACTCACCATTTCGCCAATCATTATGATTTTTGGACCGAAGTAGCTATGGACAATCATGCATTGGAGAAATCTCATATACATTGTGAAAAGACCAAGGCTGTATAATCTAAGGGTTATTCTATGGTTGGAAGAGGAATTCTCGATTCGCATGAATACTGCTGATAGAATTATCAGATAAGACAGACATGTTAGAACTTTCCAAACATTGCGAACAAATCTTTTCAGCTTAAACCAAAGTGTGTGTTTACTTCTCTTATACTGCGTTCTTATTATGAGCTGTAAAGAAAATATCTAAGAAATAAATAATATATTATAGTGTAATTGGTTTACTTTCGTGTTGTTTTCTTGTTTCACGCAACACCAAATCTCTTAAAAAACCAACAGGTCTGTAGAGTATACCTTCTACATTTTATAACATTATGTATTTTGTTACAACCTAAGACGAAGCTGACGACTTGAGAAAAGGCAGCTCTTAATTGATGAAAACTATATTTTCATATAGCCCAGTTATCAAATTAATTGACATTCATTAAAAAAATGAACATAATCAATTTAATGATTTGTCTAGTGCCAGCGAGTAAAAGAGAAAAGTTCACCAAAATAAATCGTGTTTAGGACACGCAGGACGTATTGCTGGATAAACCTGATTCATGTATGTTTGAGTCCAAAGTTTAAAAAAATAATAGATAGTTGTGAACATAAAAATCAACCTCAGCATAGCAGCTTAAATTAACCAAGGTCAACTTTGTCAGGGGAGTTGCAATCTTAGAAATTGCACAACCTTATAATTTTATGAAATTGAAATTCACAGCCAAAATTTTTCGCAAACTTCTGCGGAGACCGAAGCACAGGTGGATGCGCCCTTTGAGGATGAAACTCCAGGAGCAGCGGAACCGACCCAGATTTTATGAAATTTAATAAAAATGATTTCGTATACTAGTATTTATAATCAGTAGGTCTTTCCTCCTGTACCGATTAAGTCGGGAGCTTTTTTTTCAAAAAAAAGTTTGTTGTTTGTGTTATATAATTTTTCCTGTCTCATTAGTTTCATTATTAATTCATGACATAATGTAAAAAGCTCCTCGTTGTATATCGTAGTGTTGATATATATACTGCAATCATTAACAAGTTCGGCACAATTTATATTGGATCTAGATTTGCATTATTTGTAAAGAGAAAACTTAATGCTAGATATTTCCAACTCGTCGTGGGAGTGTTATAATGTTGTAAGTCCCCTTTTTCTAAGTGTTGAGAAATTGAACATGAATTTTAAAAACGCGATATCATAAATATTTGACAGAGATACAAAAAGTTATGAAGGAATATAATTTACGGACATGAAGAGTTCCTCTTTGTTCAAGTATCTTTTGAATAGACAAGCACATTAAATAAATGAAGCACCTCCTTTTCTGGAGATAAAACACTTCACGACAATAAATGTTGTTTTAGAAATTAATCCCTATATTTCTATTGGAGATAGATCATGGATTTTTCAAGTGTGTAATATCCCCATCTCGAAATGCCTATTTTGCTTAGAATTACTCATAGATTTAGTTCAAACCATGCAAACAACTTAAGCATAGCGCTACTAAGAGAATTTTATTACAAAAAAGTGGAGATACACTACAATACTTTTTTCTCTGAAATTCCGTTGTCAAACTAGATGAATAAGCTATTATATTTGAATTGGATTGTGGAGATAGAACAGTATAGTTCTGACAAAAACTCGAAAAATGTAAAAATCTCGCATTATGGATATATATGGAGGTCGACCATTGCACCTGGATATCAAATATATCGCCATCTCTATTTTTATCAAAAGTCTACACATAACACTGTAAAACTCGCATAACGAACTGTTTGTTTATTGTGGATGTCTGTTTTATACTTGATTTTCGATATACAAACCGGTACTATGATTTCCTCGCAGAAGTCAGCAAATAACCAAATGTACAAAAGCCACTCGTAGATTCCTATTTCAGAAACACTGCCTATTATATCAAGATCTGTGAGTACAAATGCGCTAAACCAAACGATAACAGCAAAAACAAATAACTGTAAATTAAAAAAAATGAATGTCATTCTTGAAAACAAAACTACAATTATATATCAATTGAATAAATCTTAAATATGTATAAAACGGATAAAATTGGTTTTTCTAGTTAAATTAACTTAAATAATGTATGTGATGACAATGTTAAGCTATATACCTAAATTAGGTAATTTATATCTTACGTAGTGCACAGCGAAAACCATCAATGGTGACAGCCATGTCTGTTCCATCCATATACTTTCAGTAAATCGATACAAATTCTGTAAATACAAATTACAAAAGAAATAGTTTTACGATGAAAATCTTTTGACAAAGATAGGAGATAAAACAATAAAAGAAATATGAACGAGTGGAAAGCCGGACAAATAAACTCATTGGTCAGAGTTTTTTAGCTCCATGTTGAAAGCCTCACCGTGACTTTGAGATGAATATCATCAATTAAAAGTAAAATCATAAAAATACTGAACTCCGAGGAAAATTCAAAAATGAAAGTCCCCAATCAAATGACAAAATAAAAAAAAAAACAAACACATCAAACGAATGGATAACAACTGTCATATTCCTGACTTGGTACAGGCATTTTCTTATGTAGAAAATGGTGGATTCAACCTGGTTTTAAAGCTAGCTAAACCTCTCACTTGTATGACAGTCGCATCAAATTCCATTATATTGACAACGGTGTGTGAACAAAACAAACAAAAACAATAGGTACAAATGTCACAAATAGGGGTAAATAGTCTAATTCGGTAGGTCATATTCGTGAAAAGGGAACAAGATTGTAGTTACGACATAAGGAACATATCCGATGTCATCTGTGAAACGGATATTCCATATCGGTCAACCAACTCGTGATGGCGTCCGTAAAATTTACGAAGTGATGATTTCAACTTCACCATTTGGAACTCTTGGTTTAAAATGAAAATTCACAATTGGGAAGCTGAAATCATCTCTTTTGTCGTTAAGTTTTGTTTTCAACCGACCCTCATAGTCAATTTCTAGATATAAGTCATAATCAAATGGCAAAATCAAAAGCTAATAAAAGAGCTGTTCCTTTGCTTTATGTGTTTTTTTTTTGCTGTGGATGTACTGATTTTGTGTCATGGATGGATATCCCATATCTTTGTTTTTCTATCATCATAGATACCAGGATTACAATTTTGCACGCCAGATGCGCGTTTCCTCAACAAAAGACTCATCAGTGACGCTCGAATCAAAAAAATTAAAAAGGCCAAATGTAATTAAAGTACGAAGTTGAAGGGCATTGAGGACCCAAAATTCCAAAAAGGTTTTGCCATCCTGGTATCTATGATGATTTATTTACAACCACCGGGTCGATGCCACTGCTGGTAGAGGTTCCCTCCCGAAAGGGTATTACAAGCCCAGTAGTCAGCACTTCTGTGTGGACATGCATCATCATTGATATGGTCATAGCTATAAATTAAAAGTTTTCAAAACTTTGAATATTCCGAAATACTAAGGATTTTCTACCTCAGGAATAGACTACCTTATAGCAGTATTAGGCAAAGCCCTTCGGAATTTTGGGTCCGCAATGCTCTTCAACATCGTACTTTATTTGGCCTAATTGAATTTTTAAATGATTTTTTCGAAGGTGAAGTATGGCGGGTAGCGGGTGGCGGGAAGTGGACGGGAAAAACAGTTTCCGTGCAATAACTTAGGAACCGTTCAACCAATGCTTTCCAAATTTTAATATATTGATACTAATGACAAAATGGGGGTCAAGTTCGATATCGACGATTTTCACTTTTACCGTTCTGGAGTTATAGACTAAGTCCTTGATATATTGGAAAATGACACTGTATGTGGTTTCTGTTCAATAACGTACGAATCCTTCTTTCTATTGTTTTCAGTTTATAATATGTTGTTACTGATGACAAAACAGAGGTCCAGTTTAATATTTATAATTTTCACATTAAGATTGAAAAATGGCACTTTATATTGTTTCCGTGCAATTACTTTTCAACCGTTCAGCCAGTGCTTTCAAAATTTAAATATGCTGTTACTGATGACAAAGTGGAGGTCAAGTTTGATATTAAAGATTTTCGTTTTTGCCGTTTAGGAGTTATGGTCCTTGATAGGCATAGAATGTTGCAGATCAAGAAAGCTGTCAATTTGACAGCTCATTCCTTGTTGATTCGAGCGTTACTGATGAGTCGTTTGTAGACGAAACGCGCGTCTGGCGTAAAAACGTTTAATCCTGGTATTCATGTGGAGTTTAAGTAAAAGATGATGTAATTTCGTTTGAAATGTTGACCTGAAGATTACTTGTCTTGCTTCCTTTTTGTCACATTAATGTATTTAAGCTAAAATGTTTTTGTTTCATATGAAAAGAATAAAATTATGCTTGTTATATTTTTACGAATTTTTTAAAGTTGCTATATCATATTTTTTTGTAATATGACAAAAACAAGTCGTGCCGTACACAATGTTAAATGTCGCGTGTTTTCACCTGTAGGGTAATATTTTCTTGTAAATAGTGGTTTTGACTTATAATTTAGGATACCGAAACGGCCTATATGTATGGGGATATCTAATGTATAAACCTCGTTATTTTCTTTTTTTTTGTTTCATATTTTCATCGTTCACTATATGTTACTTTTAAAATTTCATGAACATGGGCTTAGTGTCAAAATGATAAAAAAAAGATGGCAAACATACAGAAGTGATGCATTTTGTTTTTTTCATTTTTGAAAAACATGCTATAAATACTACAGTACCTTAAACCAGTCCGTCCATTTAGCTGCTGCACCAGACGCAGGTATATTAAGGTTGTTTGGACCATCTACAAAGATTATTTCTCATTGTTTATTAATTTAACTCACATTTTTCTTGAAAAACAAAACACTTCAAATATTTCAATTGTGCACCTTAGGAATGGCTTATTTTTGTTTTACAGCTATTTAATGGTCACGTGATTTCTTTAAGAATCCACACTTATAACGGCAAGTCATCATACTTTTGTTACTTAAAAAACTCTCCCTGGAAAAGAATGAGTATTGATTTCATTCCTGATTACAGAAAGTAATGTCCGTTTTATTGAAAATACTAATCTGTCATGTATTCTGAAATTTTTCATTCAATTTAGTTTATACAGTGCTAATTTCCTTTATATAATTTTCTATTTGACAATGAATTTCATTAACTTAATTTGGTGGCATTTTTTTTGTTTTTTTTTATTTGTTATATTTACCATAGTATTAATCGTTTTATCAAGATTTAAGGCGTTCGCTGCAAAATGCCAGTAGAAAGGATTGACCGGCAAATATCCCATGTAATGAATATGTGTTTGCGTACGTTTCTGTATACATGTTTTTCATTAATTTAGTGTCAGTTTCCATGATTTTTGTAGTTGAGCCATCTTTCTAGTAACAGCATCGGGAAGCGAATAGTAAGTTTCATTTCATATGGAACCGTTACAACTCAATAAGTATACACTTTTTCATAATAAATAAAACAACCAAGCTTTTTGAGTTTTGCGGGTAAACCAAATGCATATCATTCTTTTTCTATAAATACAATTGCCGTTAAAAGTGTAAATTATACGAAAAGCCTTGCTGACTGACCTTATATTTAAAAAATAAAAACCAAAAATATGAATGTTGCTCGTTGACGAAGATCGCCCGCACGGGTACGAGCTTAAACTATAGAGTACCTAAGACCACATAAAAATATACAGCCGAAAATTAGGCGTGTTGAAATAAATAACCTTTAATCAAATAACAGCAATATGAAAAATCAAAGCGGAGTAAAGCAGCATTTCACAAAACAACACGTCACTGTTACCTACGTTGATCTGTATTAAGTTCCAAGTTCACACAAGATATACTAAGAGTGTTTATTTTCGTATCGGAACACGGCCTCCCGAGAAAAGGACGTCAACTAATCTATATTTCAGACTTTATTGATTCATGTATAGTGATATGTCCATGAAATGTCTCGTTAGAACTTCAAAAACAGTTTTCCTGTGCCCTTGAAGCTACCCAAAGCTGTATATAATACCAGGAATAAGGAAAATGTCATGCTATTGGATTTTTTTTAAAATATCAATTATAATTTTCAATCATTGTAATCAGCTATTTCTTGTATGTGGGTACGTCTTTCTCATTGCTGTCATTATTTTTTTGTAACAGTTAATATTCCTAGATTTTGTTCTGGTAAGGTTTGATATAAACCTATCCTCTTTGTTTATCTAAAATATGGCATACCGTAAATTATGGATCGCAATAAAATAAGTTTATATCTGTTTTGTACTTATTACATGCACCTACCTGAGAAAGAGAAAGGAGAATCCGTTGGGTTAAAGTTATACCAAATTCTGTTCAAACGACGTTGTATGCAGGGGTGTCCAATGACATCTATCATTTTATTTTCAAATGCCAGAACCATTGGAGAAACTTTCATTCCTAAAATCTCATCTTCGATTTCCATTAAATCCATTGTCTCGATTTCTCTTTTTTCATATAATGTATTTTGCATTTCGATTACTCTGTTCTCAAATAATCTGCAAAAAAATCATCATAAGGGCTATCAAATCAGCATTGCAAATACCTTACTGTATTTTTATGATTATTCTTATTATTTTTTTTCTTTTAATTTTCAAACCCTCTTCAAGACAAAAGTATTGGACATGTCAATAAACTTCAGTACCAAGTATCGGGAAGACATAAACATTTCGGAATCTATCCTTTTAGACCGAAATGTCTTTTAATATGAAGTTATCTCTTCAAAAAGTAAAAAAAAATACATAAACAAACACACACAGAAAAAAACAAAAGATAGAGGAAAATAGAAGGTAGAGAAATGTTTATTTGTCCATTGCAGTACTTCATTCTGTTTGAAAATTTATTTTTAAACGTCACTTTCGGTTAACAAAAGTACCTGAAATCGTTAATTGTGGATTCAATCGAGTATGCGAGATCATCTGGTGCAGTTTTTGACCACGCAGGACACATCGTAACTATCCGTTTTTAAGCGCACCGTGTCACCAAATATATTTGAATTCACGACGGTATATGCCTTGAAAAAAAGTGTAAAAAACAAGGGAAAAGACTTTCTATTTGCTGGACGTTAAACAAACAACAATTAATCAATCTTCGTTTTTTTAAAGAATAGCATAATGATATGTTTTGATTAATTTTTGTTAATTGAAACGAACTGCTTAAAACGATTTTTTAGTTGTACTCGATTTGCTGGAATAATTTACCGTTGTTGCTGTAAAGGCTTTTTTCAATTTATTATGCATTTGGACTTCATATAAAAAATGAAAGGTTGAAATCCCACAATACTTTATAACATGTAGTATTGAAAAGTATGTTAGTAGATAATCATAAAGCTAACTTTGAATGTTCCATTAACTCTCCGTACAGTTTCTTGTCTTTTGTAGATTCAACGTTGCTGGCCATAGATTTCAAGATGCTGCTTGCCATAATAGCAGTCACTGAAAAAAACAAAGTCATACTGATAGTGACAATAAAGTAAATCACATATTTGCATCTTTATACATGAACGTTATATTCTGAAGATATACATGTACAAGTTTGAGTAAAATTTTATGAACACACAGTAGTAATATTTTTTAACAATCTTTTGATTTTATTACTTTGTTTGAACAAAAAACAATCAGTTAAAACAACTTTACTGGTTTTTAACAAAAGATGATTTATAGGAGACATAATTTGGATTTTTCTGTCATTCTCCAGAAGGAAACACAAATCTTCACACTTCTAAGCTAAAATTTCTTAAGCGAGTGTATTGAGCTATAATACTAAGAAAAATCTGGCTGATATAGAAAACGGCAAGTATTAATTTATTAATATATTTACAGAGACAATTTATAGAGACAAACAATCCGTAAAAAAACGTAACACGTCATTTTCAGTGATCCATGCTTACAGTTATACGTATTACAAAACAAAATTATACAAATTAAAACATTGATTGAATTGAACTATTGTCAGGTAGCAAACACTCATATTTTAGACGACCGCCTAAAAGAAAACAGCCATTTCCTTAAAACCAACTCAAGGTTAATAATTTCCTGATATAGAAACGCAAAAATCGGTCAATTTATTCGAAATAATTAGTCTTTTATAATTTCCAATGTAAGTTTGTAGCAGGGTTCAATACAAAAAAAAAGAATAAGTGATAACCATAATCTGAGTTCTGTCAATAAACATCAACGATTTGTAAGCGGTTTGGAAAAACTGTGTTGTAGAAAACTTTTCTTAATCTCAGACTTTATAGAAAATATTAAATGTTCAATAGATTGATAAATACATTGTACTCACAAAGCTGATTTTTACACTTGGACCAGAAGACGGTGGCAAGTTCAACTTTATTTCCAAGAAGTGCCCATGCTAGCAGATCGTAGTACACTGCAAAAACACACATTAATGAATAATTTTGTTGAAGATTATATTTGAAAATAAAACATTGACCTATATTCACTTATCCATACTTTATTTGATTTTTTATTCATTATCTAACAATTCATTAAAGCTATTGGTTTAAATAAAATAGCGAAGACATTTACAAAGCCAAAGCTGTACAATTATGTAGTAGTGTATTTGTAATAACAAAGGTTTAATAGATCACAAAATAAAACTTCATTATTGAAGTAAAAACTGAAAATAAATAAATATTTTAGCAATGAAATATTAAAGGTATATTACAAATACAAAATGAAAGTATGGGCAATTTTGGCAACACGCCAAGTGTGTTTTTCAAGACCTGGAAAATGAAGGTTGCAGTTACTGTGCAGAAAACAACGTCTACAGGAAACTTGTATATATATACAAATTGGATGTTAAACAGGCGATTGATTGACATTGCTAATATGAAATACCGCTATTCCATGATTTAACCCCGCTAAACGTAAAACGTCATTGGCCGTCTTAACACAGGACAATCGACTTCACAAACGTAAAATTTGGCAAAGGGAACTTAAATTGAACTAATAAACCACTTTACTTACACAAAGGTGCACGTGTTCGTTATTGAAATAACAATGAGGGGGAATACTTTGAGGAACAGGCCCCGATTTGGTTCAGCGATGAGTTGCGTATTCTTTGAAAGATGTGAATGACTGACGAACACCTGCTTGATTACAGGAAGTTGGCATGTTTGTGGCGGAACCGTCATGATAAGGAGGGCAAAATCCTTCAAACATAATGTGTGTTCATGTAAATCTAACGGCTCAATTGTATAGAGTCTATACTTGGCAGCCGAATATGTTCAATGTTATTTACCGACAGAGGAATATGTCTTACCAGGCATTGGCCTAGCCATATACATTAAGGCTACATGTTATCATGTATTTACTAACCCAGAACACCATTACTGTACTATTATCGCACTCAAAGTCGCCAGGTATGGACCTAATAGACCACCTTTGGGAAGAACTTAATAGACACGGCCGCCAACGCAAACCCCATCCTAATTAGGGGTCAAACTCAAACTCAATGAATGATTTAATCTTAGTATCTATGATAAGTTTATTATCAGTAAAGCGATGCAACATGAATGACAAAGGATACTACAGAACCACATACACATTTGTGTCCTAGCCAAGGAGATTCGGAATAGTGTTGGTGATCACACAAGATACTGACATTCATGTTACTGGAAATTGATATATAATATATCGTATGTGACTGTTTTTTGTTAAGTCTTTTTCAGTATACTTTATCTCATTCGTGTGTGGAATTTCAGCTCAATATAGCAAAGCTGCTTTAAACATTCGATTTGAATTACATAGAGTAAACCTTTGAAAAACCAATATGCGTTTTGCTTTTGTAGAGTTTACATGTAAAAGTTCCAACAGAAAGATGTACAACTCTAAAAAAAGATGTGTTCAGTTGAAAAAAATATTACAATATTTGTTTCTGATGGAAAAAGTCACGAAAATATCTTTTCCCGAAAAGGAATGCTTAGTATGGTATTGTACATCTCACAGGTTATCTGAGGGAAAGATGATATACGTTAACTGAAGGAAAATTCAGAAGTTTTACATTTGCGTATGAAATATATCAACCAACCATTAAATCGTATAGCAAAATACACATTTGGTGTATTAAAACTGTTTTGAACAACTTCCCATGAGGATGATTACAGTAAAATAATACGCACAACTGGATATTTGAAAACACGAAAAAAGATATATAATTTTCAAAAGAAAATGATAAAAAACGAAATTGATACTGTTTTGTATTTATCCTACATACGGATCTTTGAAATACTGAAAAATTATTGATTGATCTAGCAATATTCAAAAATCAGTTTATTTATTTTTAAAATACCATTTTTACAACTATGAAAATAAGTTCCGGATTGTTAGCAATCATGTTTTCAAACAACAAGAAAATCAAATATCTCATGTTGTGTTTGTATTAAATATACGGATAGCTGGTAAAGCCCTAGATAAAAGAAAGGAGAAAATGGGGATCACCATGTCCGTTTTCTTGTACCAAAACAAGATAGATAAATTTACACTGCATTACACATTTAACTTAATTGTATAAATATATTCTCTTGCAAAGCTTATTTCTTGAATCTTTGAATCAATAAAACCAATTTCTGTTTTTGATGAAAATGTTGTTTTTATTATGAATTTCTAAATGTAAATGAAAAGTCCCAGCGATAAATTACATTGCTGAACAAGTATTTGCATTTTCGGGATAAACATGATGATTTGGCCTTTTTAAATGTTCAAATGTTTTGATTCGGGCGTCACTGATGAGTCTTTTGTGGACGAAGCGCGTCATGCGTACACAATTTTAATCGTGGTATCTATGATGAGTTTATTATGGACCAACCATTTGCTTTATTTGTGATCAACAATGTTGGAACAATACGATACTATTTAATTCAAGGTATTATTATCTTGCTAGAGGTCATGGATGTTAGCTTATGCATTTAATTTACAAAAGTAATTCAAATACAGTACAAGCCATTGTAACCACAGTTATTTTCGGATTTAATTTTGTGTTTTACCTTGTTCTTTGTCTTCTTCTTTTGTATCTGTTGCATCAATTAGGTCTACAGTGAAATACATTAAATCAAATATAAGTTTATTATAAAATTAACTAAAGTTTATTTTCGCGCTACTTCAAAACGTTGGAAATGTTGGCAGAAGGTATTTTGCGAAATGTCGGTCTGATTAGATGTACCTGTGTTATTTCCGTCTATACCTGTGTGAAACAAGGAAAAAATATCAAAAAAACAAGATATTGCAAAAAAACAACCCAAAGATTAAATGCAAAATTTCAGATATGACTAAGAAAAATATTACTTCCTCACTACTTTTGATATCAATGAGCTGAATGCATGAACTTGATTTTGAACTAAAATCCTGAATATTACTGAATTGATAGGATAGGGAAAACATTTTAATTCTGACGGAACTAAATAATTGTTTAAACATTGAACTTTCCTTTTTTTGAGACTTTGACAATAGCAGAAAACGTATCACGCTATTACATCCTAACACATTTACGTTTATAGAAAAAAAAATAAAGTAGAAAGCTTTTTCTTTGTGTTTTGTTCATTCGTTAATTTTTTGTTGTTGTTTTCTTTTCATTGGAAACTTGTCATACCGTACTGAAGGTGAAATCCTTATAGGTTTTTGGCATTCAGTGAAGCAGTTGAATAAAAGTAACAGTGAGCAAAAAGAAAATCACAAAAATACTGAACTCCGAGGAAAATTCAAAAAGGAAAGTCCCCAATCAAATGGTAAAATCAAAAGTTTAAACACATCAAACAAATGGATAACAACTGTCATATTCAAACCCCATACCGCATAGCAAGCTATAATAAGCCCGGTATAACAAAATGAATGTTAACAATACAAATGAGAAAACCAACAGCCTGAAATAAATATGATATACAGTAACAAACAACAACCACTGAATAACAGGTTCCTGACTTAAGACAGGAACATACAGAATAAATACATACAGAAATTATTAAAAGTTGTGCAAAATTAGGCTAAGACGATCTATACATGGGGGGGGGGGGTGGGGGGGGGGGGGGGGTAAAAAACATATTTTTCAAATAACTCAATATGAAACGAAACATGTCCAAAACGGTGAAATGAACCGTCTTCATAAATAATTTTAAAATACATCAATTTTACTATATGATTCCAACGGCCTAGTAGAAAGTTCAACCCTATCATATAACTTTTACTATTACTTTATTTATCATGATAAAATCTGAAAGGATAACAGTTACAGACTTCGGATTAAAATGAGGGACTGGTGGGCCAAATTTTGTATAAAATTTCAGTTTGCATGTAAAACAAAACATAACATTTTTGTAAGTGACTAATCATGTAAAATCATACAATTACTTAAAGTTAATAAGTTCATCAAATCAAAATTAATATTTAAATTGTCGAAGAAATTAAACAATAGAATATTATTAATGTCGAACTACAAAACATAAATATTAAATACAGAGGTTTCGGTGTTGTATCAGTTTGTTACTGCAAAACCCAAATTTTCTTCTAAAGGTAGATAGGGTGTCTTCCTCCATCTTGGATTTTGAAATACCAGAAAATAATCGGTCTAGATCTTTAATAAAATGTGCAAATTTTTAGAGTAATGGGTAATTCATATGTAAGAATTTTTATTTTAATATCGAAAATGACATGTTTTATTATATTTATGGTTGTATTTTACAAAAACAGAATACTTTTGTTTGATTCAATTTTTCCCAACTTTGCCACATAAGGGGAGGCAACTCAAATGTAAGGGCAGATAATTCAGATAAGGTTACTTTTACAATAGAATGTGTTAGAAATTTACCTATTTTATTATGTAGCCAAAAAACGGGTCCCGTGACCCCATTTTGTTTTTCTCATCTGAAAGTATAATATTAGAGCTATCTTCTCATATTTTATCTTGAAATTCTATGGTGTGGTTTTCGTTTTATGGCAGAAAATTGCGTTTTCCATGCATAATCTATACAAAATCTGTCAATTTTGCACAACCTGTAGCATGAAAATAAGCCCCGTGACCCATTCTTTTTATTATTTTTTTCAGAAAAGCATGATATAAACTATATTTTGACAAATTATTAAAAAAATCTATGGATTATAATTTAGACACCCCATCTACCTTAAATTACCAATTAAACTGGGCATTTGTTGTTAAAGCAAAGAGGCTGAAGATACCAAAGGGTGAACCAAAACTCAAAAAGAGAAGTAAGGTAGACAAAATAATGGCAAATAAACGAACACGACGAAAAGACAAACAACAGTCTACAAAACTCTACATAAAAACTACACAGAGACACGCGAACCCAACTTAAAACCAGGGATGATGTAAGGTGCACAGGAAGGGTAAGCAGATCCTGCTCAATGATAATATTCTATTAATTTTTTGTTTGACGATTAAGATTTTAATTTTGGTTTGGTGAACTTATTAATTTTGAGTTATTTACAGGATTCAGAAACATGATCATTTACAACAAACCTTGAGTCTTTATATACAATAGATTTCAACCAAAATCATTATTTTGAGTTGATACTATTATCATGGTGAATTCAGTAATGTTTAGACAATTCGCCTGCGTTCAATTAAGATCTGTTCAGTCTATGTTCAGACATTTCACTACTATTCAGTAGCTTTTTAGACATTTCAGTATGTTGTTGATGTGTACAGGTAAATAACAACTACGGAACAGTCTGAACATTGACTGAACAGATCTTAATTGACTGCAAGCGAATTGTCTGAACGGTACTGACGTTAAAATAAATATATTACAATAATTACGTAATACAAATGAATGAAAATGAAGGTTTTTATGACTATATCGTATGGCTAATAATCACATTATTTCACCATTGCACCATAATTTCAAGTTCATTGTTTTAAATTCATACTTTTATCTGGCGATGAAATCCCAGACAACTGTACCTTATGAACATGATAAAGGAAAATAATGTTTAAAAATAAATTGCTTGTCCTTGCAAAATAAATCACCTGCTGATACATATAAAATGTAATGCCAGATTTAGACACCAGTAGTTTACCTATGTTCAAATTTCTTTAATCCATTAAGTTAACAAATCAAGGTTACAATTAAAAATGAGGGCATCGCATGAACGACATGATGAGCAAGACGGGCATTGTTGACAGAATAAGCTCTACCTACTATGCATGCATCACCTGCCATGTATGCAAATACACACTCAGACAAAAGACAGTAGTTTGAAAATAATTATTTAAATTTCCTAAGGAAAGATTAATGATGATAAGGTCAGGCTTTCAATTTATCTAAGTCATAAAATACCATATATGTGTTAACACTTACTAAAATTAAGCAGTTTCTGACATAGATATCTAGCTTGTAAGCATACATCAACTTTGAGTTCAATGCCAACTGCAAATATATGTCCTCCATGTCTTACACAATGTTTACTATGCCCATTCATTGAAGCTTTTTCGTTACACTTTTTACAGTTCTGCAGACATGTGCACCAGATGAAATTACATATTGAATTGTCACATCGCTGGAAAATTAAAAAAATATATATATAAAATAACCAATTGCATGTATTCACTTCTTGGACATTCACATAGCTCAGACAATCAAATGGGAGTTGTATATTATTTTGACAGTTTTGTTCTTCATTCTTAAAGTATTTATAATCAAGTGTTGCTAACAAAAAAAGATGAAAAAGTATTGTTCTCAGCTCAATAAAGAAGATGGCACATATAGAATCTACTCAAATGATACTTCAAATTTTGAAAAAAAAAGTTGAATATGTTTTATTTACTTGAATGGTTGAGTTTTACTGTAAAACAAGTGTACGTGGACTTTCTTGTAAAAGAAAATCCTTAATCTTATAAAAGTATCCAGATATGTAAAGCTATTGAGTTATTGTCTTTCCGTACTCTAATATGCCGATATTTTACCGTATGCAGTGACCTTAATTAACTACGAGACCTCTCGTTAGAACTGCAGCCACCGCACAAGGCAATTGCTAGGCAAAAAAAAAACCGTGATGAAAGAATCTAAACAAACGTGGTCTTGAAGGTAAATAGTAATAATTGATTTTTAAAGAACAATTTTAATACACCAAATCATCAAAAAACAAATAGGAACGCAAAACAAATATTTAAAACATCGCTCTATCAATTAACTTATTTTTACGTGCTCCAAGATTCTGTGTTGATTGTTTATCTATGTCAATATCCGGTAAACGTCGGTAACAAACTCGAAAGTTAATTAGCTTGCGATCAATAATCACTTAATGAAATATTATTTGTCAATGATACGTTATAGATTAGAAATAAATGTAAAAATCATAGAGGACTTATTTTGGTATATATGCATGCATTGGTTCAAAAATTCCCTTAACGTTACAATTATAAAAAAGCTCGTTTCATATGACTTTTAAAGTATGCACATTACTTGAGATACCTGGAATTTCCTACTTAACAGAAAATCCTATTGACTAGGTTAAATGTGTTCTGCAATAGTCAAGTACAGACGTTTTACTGCAAGCGTAGCTACAGTGTGACACACTCCATTTATGTGACAGAAAAGAATATGACAAGGGTAAGAAAAGAGAGATAAGTTTAATGAAGTACAAGAAAACACCAAAAGTATAAAGGATTGTCAATGTTTCTTTCTGTTTGTGGGGAGATACTAATTCATACATTAAGCAAAAGCAAAGTCGACTTCCGTACTTATATACACATAATATTGCTAAAGTAGGTTTACAAGGTAAGTACACTTTCTGTAACATTGCCATGCTGCAAAGGACATGATCATTAGATCACGAGATATAAATAGTATAGAAAGAAGGGGCGTCCTACATATTGTTACGCCCCGGTGATTTGAAAGCTGATAATTTTACTGTGGTAACGGTTTAACTTGTGTAAATAAGATAGATGTGTTTATATTATCACTGTGGTCTCCGTTCCACACTTGATACATGCAGATGTCCGTTGTTGTGTTCTGATCCTTATTTTACAGAAGAAATAGCTTATCTGGACCTTACATTATATACTGACTTCTTTAAATCTATATATCGACTTTATTTATGTGTGTAATTGTTCATTTTGTATTTGTTTATACATAGTTTCAGTATAACGCGCCAAATGTAACGTTACGTGTTCCTGTTCTTGTTTATGAATAATTTGTGTATTACGTCACACGTAACGACGATTTTGTATAAAATACGGAACTCATGTTCCTACTGAGAGCTTCTCTCCAAGAACCTCCATGCGGTTAGCATTATATCTAAAACTATAATTTGCTGCACCAAGTAAAAGTGCTTGGTGATAATATTTAATAGACTTGATAATTAACCAAGTCTTCATATAAAAATGCTGACGTACTGTTTGCTCGGGTAAATCGTTAACCATGCACCGAGCATGCTGAGTATTAGAAAGCAGTGCACCAAGTATGCAGAGTTTTATAATGCAGTGTCCCAAGTACATTTTCTTCCACCAAGTATGCAGAGTTTTAGAATGCAGTGTCCCAAGTAGATTTTCCTGCACCAAGTATGCAGGGTATTAGAATGCCGTGTCCCAAGTAGATTTTCTTACACCGAGCGCAGAAGAATTATTTTATTAACTTGGTGCAAGTAATGCACCTTGCTGTTTTATTCATTGTATATATTATTAACGTATTTGGTTTCATGAACCACTGTATTTGTTGTATTGCTTAAACAGAAATAATAGTATTAATACAATTTATGGACTCCAATATGATGTTTATTATTACTTCCTTCACCAGAGGCCCACATAAGTAACGACGGATATATCCTGACAAGAAAATCCCGGAACGTTACAATGGTGTCAGAAGTGGGATTCAAAATTTTTAATTATAAAAATTATCTGGTGCAAGTTTGAAAAATAAAATCATTTTAAAATGGATGATTCTTTGCAGTCTGATAAAATTTAATTTAATCCAACTGATAGATCATCAATTGCTAGTGATGATACAGTGGTGAATAATACACATGAAATGATAACAAGTTCGCAGAATTCTTATGAATCTATTCAAGCAGCCCATCAATCTAATGGTTGACCAGCTATTTCTCCTTCAGTAGGAGACATATTTGAATCACTCACAAATCAAATAAGAAATACACTTCATATGGTGGCACAACAAAATGCAGCAAATCTTTCTATGATGGAAGACAGATTTCAAAATCAAATCGCACATTTGGAAGAACAAATATTTAATTTAAGAGAAGAATTTAAAAAACAAAAGGCTAAATCTGATCAAATTCAATCTGAAAAATCAAAAATTATTGTTCCAGAAGCTGAAATCATAAAAACACATGCAGTACAAGAACCTAAACCGCTCCAAAATACAACATGTATACCTTCAAATTCTGAAACAAGCAGCTATCAAAATTACAATAATAGTCAAAATACCAGGGCTATACAATCTCATCCAAGTTATTATGCTGGTGTTACACAAAAACACAAAGTTAATATGAAACCTCAACCCTATGATGGTACTGATGATATAGAAGAATATCTCAGTCAATTTCAAATTTTAGCTGAAGTTAATGGTTGGGACTATAATACAATGTCACTGTGTCTGGCTAGCAGTTTGAAAGGTGGTGCTAGAGCCATTTTAAATGAATTAAACGAGTTTAAAAAGCGAGATTTTGATAGCCTAGTTGATGCCCTATATAATAGATTTGGTTCAGTTCATAGGTCTGAGATATTCCGAGCTCAGCTACAGACTAGAGTGAGAAAAGATAATGAATCTCTCTCTGCCCTCAGTCAAGATATTAAAAAAATGACTCGCTGTGCTTATCCTGGTGTCCCTTCCTCTGTAACAGATATATTGGCTTTGGACCAATTATAGATGCATAACAAGACCCTGAAATGCGTCTTGGAATACGAGAATCAAGGCCTAAAAATATCAATGAAGCTGACATTTTAGCAATTAGATTTGATACATTTAATCAAGCAGATAGAATAAGGTATCATAGCTTAACTAACGCTGTCGTTGGAATGTCTGTTGAGTCAAAGAATAAATGCTTTCGTTGTGGTGAAAAGGGACATGTCAGAAAAACTTGTCCTAATAGAAAATAACTTTATTAAAAATATTGATTTCGTATCATTTTGTTTTAATGATTAATATTTTAAATTTTTTAAATATTTATTCCTGAATGTAATGCAGAAATATGCTGAAAAGTAGAAACAAAAGCTTGTTGACTCGTTCAATTTAGTTGTTGTTGTCTTCCTGTCGTTGATATAATGCTGTCGAAGTAAAATTCGCAAGAACTAGTGGTGGTCCGAACTTACCACTATACACTGACCACAATAATAACACACGCAGAAATTGTAAATGTCTCTGTAACTGCCCGATGTGTTAATAAAATGGTTAGTCACACTCCATGAGTAAAAATGAAACCATGGAACAGGACAAGTATTATTCTATTATATCGGATGTAAGTCACATGGACTTAATACAAGTCAATGAATGGTGTGTTAGTAATTCTTGTCGCTGATATATATTCATGTTAGCATGCATTAGTAGAATGGTTGGCTGTTGTATTTTGTAAGTTATCCTGTGACGGAAAATGTCTGTGGAAAACTTATATATTTTAAGGGTGTTGTTCGTACGTCCTGTGATGAAGATATCTGTGGAGTACTGGTGATTTTTTATGAGTATTTTCTGTGATCGAGTATCTGTGATATACCATATTTTAGGAGCAGTATAGTCCTGTGACTGGTATATTGTCTATGGAATATTGTTGCTAATGTTATATTTTTGAAGTCGTTTCCTGTGACGAAAGAATGTCTGTGGAAAACTGATATATTTTAAGGGTGTTACCCGTACGTCCTGTGATGAAGATATCTGTGGAGTACTGGTGAATTTTCAGTATAGTTCTGTGACTGGTATATGGTCTGTGGAAGACTGTTGCTTATTTGGATAACGAATTGTAATATAAGCTACTAGTATATATGTTTGTGTCAACCATAACAAGAATTGTATATGAACTGATTTGTAACTAGGCTTGAAGTGGCGAGTCAACCATGCATTCATTGAATACCATAAAGACATTTGTACAGCTATAACATTTTATTTAACTTTAATATTGATGAAGGACTTTTTATCTCATCACAAAATATAATTATTGGGAGTTATGTATAGTACCGAATCAATATATTAAACATTTTACAAAAGACGATGTACAGGAAGAGGAAGGCAGTATGAAGAGTGGAAATACCTGCATGATTGAAGGATGGATTGTTATATTTAATATTTCTATGCAAGATGTATTTCGTACTAAACATTATTAGTTTTAATCTTACACCAAGTGACTACCTTTACCAAGTTGCTCACGAATGTGAGACATTCTGTGTTGACTTTATATTACATTATGAAATGACATCTGCATGACATACATACTCTCGTATTTGAGGACAAATCCTGTTTATATAAGGTATGGGGTAGTGTTACACCCCAGTGATTTGAAAGCTGATAATTTTACTGTGGTTTAACTTGTGTAAATAAGACAGATGTGTTTATATTACCACTGTGGTCTCCGTTCCACGCTTGATACATGCAGATGACCGTTGTTGTGTTCTGATCCGTATTTTACAGAAGAAATAGCTTATCTGGACCTTACATTATATACTGACTTCTTTGAATCTATATATCGACTTTATTTATGTGTGTAATTGTTCATTTTGTATTTGTTTATACATAGTTTCAGTATAACGCGCCAAATGTAACGTTACGTGTTCCTGTTCTTGTTTATTAATAATTTGTGTATTACGTCACACGTAACGACGATTTTGTATAAAATACGGAACTCATGTTCCTACTGAGAGCTTCTCTCTAAGAACCTCCATGCGGTTAGCAGTATATTTAAAACTATAATTTGCTGCACCAAGTAAAAGTGCTTGGTGATAATATTTAATAGACTTGATAATTAACCAAGTCTTCATATAAAAATGCTGACGTACTGTTTGCTCGGGTAAATCGTTAATCATGCACCGAGTATGCTGAGTATTAAAAAGCAGTGCACCAAGTAGATTTTCCTGCACCAAGTATGCAGAGTTTTATAATGCAGTGCCCCAAGTAGATTTTCCTGCACCAAGTACGCAGAGTATTAGAATTCAGTGTCCCAAGTAGATGTTCCTGCACCAAGTATGCAGAGTATTAGAATGCCGTGTCCCAAGTAGATTTTCTTGCACCGAGCGCCAGAAGAATTATTTTATTAACTTGGTGCAAGTAATGCACCTTGCTGTATTACTTATTGTATATATTATTAACGTATTTGGTTTTATGAACTACTGTATTTGTTGTATTGCTTAAGCAGAAATAATAGAATTAATACAATTTATGAACTCCTATATGATGTTTATTATTATTTCCTTCACCAGAGGCCCACATAAGTAACGACGGGTAGATCCTGACAAGAAAACCCCGGAACGTTACAATATCCTGCTGATTTTTAGCTCACTTGGCCTAAAAGGCCAAGTGAGCTTTTTTCATCACTTGGCGTCCGTTGTCCGTCGTTGTTAACTTTTACAAAAATCTTCTCCTCTGAAACTACTGGGCCAAATTTATCCAAACTTGACCACAATCATTATTGGGGTATTTAATTTCAAAACTATGTCCAACGACCCCGCCTGCCAACCAACATGGCCGACATGGCTGAAAATAGAACATAGGGGTAAAATGCAGTTTTTGGCTTATATCTCTGAAACTGAAGCATTTAGAGTACATCTGACACGGGTAAAATTGTTCATCAAGTTAAGATCTGTCTGCCCTGAAATTTTCAGACGAATCAGACAACCTGTTATTTGGTTGCTGCCCCTGAATTAGTAATTTTAAGGAAATTTTGCAGTTTTTGGTTATTATCTTGAATATTAATTATTGATAGAGATGAACTGTAAACAGCAATAATGTTCAGCAAAATAAGATCTACAAATAAGTCAAACACGAACAAAATTGTAGATTGACCCCTTAAGGAGTTATTGCCCTTTAAAGTCATTTTTTAACAATTTTTCGTAAATTTTTGTAATCTTTTACAAAAATCTTCTCCTCTGAAACTACTAAGACAAATTTAACAAAGCTTGGCCACAATCATCATTTGGGTATGTAGTTTAAAAGATGTGTCCGATGACCCCGCTTGCCAACCAACATGGCCGACATGGCTAAAAATAGAACATAGGGTAAAACGCAGTTTTTGGCTTATATCTCTGAAACTAAAACATTTAGAGCAAATCTGATAGGGTAAAAATGATCATCAGTTTGAGATCTATCTGCCCTGAAATTTTCAGACAACCCGTTGTTGGGTTACTGTCCCTGAATTGGTAATTTTAAGGAAATTTTGCAGTTTTTGGTTATTATCTTGAATATTATTATAGATGGAGATAAACTGTAAACAGCAATAATGTTCAGCAAAGTAAGATCTACAAATAAGTCAACATGACCAAAATTGTCAATTGACCCCTTAAGGAGTTATTGCCCTTTAAAGTCAATTTTTTAACAATTTTTCGTAGATTTTTTTAAGCTTTTACAAAAATCTTCTCTGAAACTACTGAGACAAATTTAACCAAACTTGGCCACAACCATTATAAGGGTTTTTAATTTAAAAAATGTGTCCGATGACCCCGCCTGACAACCAACATGGCCGACATGGCTAAAAATAGAACATAGGGGTAAAATGCAGTTTTTGGCTTATATCTCTGAAACTAAAGCAATAGTATAATGGTTGCATTATTTCATGCATCAATTGTAAACAAAAGGTGAGCGACACAGGCTCCTTGGAGCCTCTAGTTAATGCTTAAACGCGTCTAGGGACATGATTTAAAAATGTGTATCACTTGTTTGTAATTGTTTTTGAAGGTCATGTGCCATTTGCTATTTTATCTTACGAAATTTTTTACCTGAGAAGATGCTTTTAAGTTAACCATGTTTATATCTACAATCATTAAAACCACCAAGATTGTTTATTGATCTTGTACATTTTAATAGATATCAATTGTATCATCAGAAACAATAATGCAACATTTTGACGATTTAACTGTCCATACGTGGTGTGAGGATTAGTGAAATCTGGATACATAAGTTTCCTTTTACACTGGAAAGACTTTTTTGAATAATTGAAGGTTTTAACAAACGCAAACAAAACACACGCATAACGTGAATGGAGAAGTTCATGTGTATCTACATGCAATTCTAACCACCTACATGCTATAGTAAATATAGTTTTACATATATTCTGATGCCCGGTTTAGACTGGTAATGCATACATAGAAGGAGACGCTTACACTATCGACGCACACGGTCTCGCTCGTTTTGAGTTCATGCGATTCCATCGGTGTTTGTTTGGTACCTTGATTTATATCTTTTTAATCGATTTGGGGAATTTCAACATAGTTAAACCACTGTTGCCTCATTTTGATTGCTAAAAAAATAGACGGCAGTAGTTTGGAATGAGATTTGGTTACGTAATTGGCACTAGAAGTCGTTTGTTAAGACACTGGTGTAGTTGGAGAATTCAGAACCGTCAGATCAGATCCAGTTCATCATCATTACTAAAAATTCTAAAAGGAACAATGCACAGATCTATGATTGTTCATGATTTACTCTTTGATAAGTGTCTAGGAGAAATTATTTGGTTTTTACGCGATTTGCCATTTTTTAATTTTGCTATTTTTAGATAACGTGATTTTACAAACATACACAATATTGGTGCAGGCTTTGAATGCAGGGACAAAAGCACATTTGCAATGGAGGTAAAACCTCTGATATAAGTGTAGAATGAGCATGATGAGTGTTCAGAGACAGATTTAACTTAATTGTAATGCCTTGCAGCTTCAACCCATTCATTTTCAAGTTTGGTCCATTATCTAGAAAAATCCTCATTTTTATTCATGTCATATTTATGGATTTTGGCTCAAGGTATTTCGTCCCTACGCATAACACATGTTGCAGAACAGTATTGATGACAATGATATATAAAAATGAAAAACATCTGTCACTTACATGATGAATAGCATGCATTGACCGACAGTCTTTTGCCTTGCAATCTTCACATCTAAAGGTCTAATGAAGTAAATAATAGATAAAACATTAAATTTTTTCCTAATTTTTTAAAATAGAAAAGTATCAAGTGATATTATTTTCACTGTCTGATTGTTCTTAATCATTTTCAAAGACTATAAAACATATTAACGAACAACTAGTACTTTGGCTTCTATATGCAAATCGTTGCTTTTATATTTAATGCAATACAAATGCAGCATTTTAGAAAACCACATACTAGAACACGGTATAAAGCTACAAAAGAGATGTTTAAGGTACCAAAAGGATATACAAACTCATAAATCGAAAACAAACTGACAATGCCATGATATAAAACAAGCAAAATTATACAAAACACAACATAGAAAACTGACTGAGCAACATGAACCCCACCAAAAATCGATGGTGATCTCAGGTGCTCCAGAAGGTTAAGCAGATTCTGCTCCACATGTGACACCCGTCATATAACTCATTACTCATTCATGTAGCCAAACAGTGAAAAAAGAAAAAGGGGCTAATGAAGTGAATGGCTGGATAAAATGACAGAAGGTGTTCCTTTATATTTTTGACAGTATTTTTATTTATTTTTCAAAGTGACTTGAATGTCTTAAGCCTTGAAAACCTATAAATCTTCCGCATTTCTGTGGGTTGCCTCTTAACTCTGTTTTTCTCTTAATTTCAATGTGAAAATCTTGTAAACGGTATATACGACCTAATAAATACTTATTTCAATACATACCTCATCATACAAACCCTCGAAGTGTTCCGTATTGAATACAATTCCATGTTGTAGCATGGCTGACACATACTCAACACGATCTGCGATGATTGCTTCTAACAAGAGTATCTGGGTATTCTACATGAGTTATAAAACAATAATAATAAATATGAAAAAAATTACCGATTGTCTTTTTCAAACAGAACATTAAATCCTAATGAAATTGAAGTTTTCCTTACAAAATTATTTTGAATGAGCTAGAATAGGAGATAAATATAAGTTATATATAGGGTCGTTGGTTATGAGTGTCTTTCGGTTTCTATGTAATGGGTAAATATCCTATATCTGCTGACATTCATATTTCATTTCTGCTATTCTATAAACAATTTGTTAAAAATACCTTAGTTTTATATTTTTCTCTGTTTGGGTCTTGACTGTACTGATAAGCAATATAAAAATACAATGACAACGATCCAGGTTCAAGTGAAAACTGTAAAATTTCCATTAGCTTGTTAGATTTTTCATCTGAAATGCAAATAAATGCATGCTTGAGATTTCCTGCATCTGAATTGAAAAAAATACAATTTCAACATAATTGATGCTTGAAGATTTGGTTATTGTCATCTCCCCATTCGTTAGTAATACTATAGATTCTGCCAAAAACCTATAGCTTTTTAACAAGAACGATATGCCAGTGCATATTCTTATTTTATCTCTCCAATAGTTGTTTTTTAACTTTGAAGGTCCTCTAACAGGGTCATGTTGAAGGAAAATTCATATCCTCCCCTGACAAGTTATGATGTTGTTACAGTGTCTCAGTATCTCAACACACAATACTTTGTCAAAAATCTATTTTTCAGATATCTTCAATGTGAAATAACACTAGTTAAATCGCTTTCCTACTGAAGACACTTGAATTTATGAAATGCTGGACAGGTTGATCAGAACCTTGAAAACACAAAATGATGTTATATCTTGTCATTGTATCTTGGATATCCTTGTTTTAAATCTAAAGCATCTAGGCCTTACGCTCATGTCGGTCATCTTGTATCTGAAATTATTACCTAACTTCAATATTAATCGAAAGCTATTCAGACATAATTCTATGTTCATGTTCCCACCTTATTCGCATCTATTTGGCCCAAAGTTGAAAACAGTAATTCTCATTCACATTATATAATATAATAACATCAAGTTTGATAGCGTCAAGTCGTCAAATGGTAAAATAAAAATAGATCAATGATTATTATTAGCAGTTTTGTTTACTTTTAAAGGTGTAGCCAATATGTTTTTGTGACACATTAGTGAAATGTGACATTTATAGAATACAAAACAATTTCCACAGTCAAAACATTTATCAAAGGGGATAGTCCAGCAATGAAATTGGCAATTGATTCGAAGTTGTTCGATTGTAATAAAAGCCCATGAAGTATACTACAGACTTATTGAATAAAAATATTTGATCGTTTGTTTTATCCCGTGTACAAAGATGTGTTTCATGTATTACCAATTTATGACAGACTTATCAATAGTAATGGCGAAAGCTGAACATCGTGTTATCAAAGTTGGAAAATTGGTGAAATTTGTAATTGATTGCTGTTAGGTCTAAGTATTTTAGGTATCACAGGTATTGACACTAATGCATATCCATGTTGGCTTCTGGTGACTTCACTTATTTTTATCATTTTTTATATAGAACCAATTTAACTCCGCTTTATCGACAAAATTTCATAAACTCCAATATCTTCTCTAAACTTAAGGTAACCTTTATTTTTATTGGTTTTTTCTAATGAGCAGTGTCGCCTTAATTCTAATTCTCTCATTTGATCCGCTAACTAATGTTTGAGTTTATGAAAACAATTTTTTTTTACACAAAGTTCAGTCTAATACTCTCGAGCCAACTTAATAATAATATACACTTTCTACCTGCTGTCTTACTATTACCACTTGTAGATGTTTCTTCAGCAGTGCCATCTGTTGCTCTTAGTGTCTCATTGTCATTTATTAATTTGTTTTCAGCATTTGTATCGGTTTCTATCGATGACTCATTTTCGTCATGTTTCAGTATTATTTCAATAGCAGGTTCGGGTGTTCCTGGTGGTGTCAAATCGCTAATATATAAGGATGTGTTGATAGCGGTGTTATATGTTTCATCAGGTATCGTATAATCAACGTTTGTCGATTTGGTTTCGTCTCCAACTGTCATTCGTTGTCCACATAATTAGAGTTCAGCAAAGGTAAAAATAAAGTACAAACAAATGAGGAAAATTTCACAAAAAGGTACGTATTCTCGTATCTTAGCAAAAGAAACTTTCTTTTGGAAAATAAAATATTAAGAAAATAGAGCGCAATGATAAATATTACTTCTACTGTCTTGAGCAAAGCAATAATCTATAAATACAGTAATCTATAAAGCAGTTAATATTTGCTCACTTGTACCTGAAACTGTCCAAAGGAAGGTGAAATTACCGAAGGTCAATTTTAAAGCTATACTTCTAATCATAACAGACAACGCAATAAGTAAAATGACTAAAAGAAAAACAGCGGCCTACGTATTAAAACACAACAAAGAAAAACTAAAAATTAAGGATCAAGAACCCAACCCCATACCTGTTGTTTCGTAAGTTTAATAGGTTCCATCATCCACAAAAGTTTTCAAAAATAGTTACCATGTAATGTTTTGGTTTGAGTTTCCTGGTATTTGTCTTTTCACTGCAATTTTTTTGTTTTGTGGAGTGGGATTGTCGATTTATTCTTACTGACACATTTTTCTATTTCTACAGAACAAAATTGAAACAAATCATTCTAGGGATTTTTCTCCCAAAGTATAAGGAATTTATCAATATTTTTTCATAGAATAAAAAAAGCACATGTCCTGCATAAGCTTGAATGGAACAATATTTACCTTGATTAGTACAAAGATCCTTCAACACTTCCGACATTATAGGTGCTAACTTGTGAGATTTTCCAATTGCGTCTGCAAAAAATGTTTATATTTAGGGGGTACGAGTAAAAGATTTGGATCCACAATATAGGTTATAAACTTTATAAGTTGATTCATATGCTATGATGTTACCCTCCCTCCAAAAAAAAAAACAATTCAAGCAAGCAAATATTATTGATTACGAATATAAATAGAAGAAAACGCATACCACTTCGGTATATTTAATGAAGCCAGAATACTAGTCAATTAAAATTATTTTCACACTTTGAATCACTACCTGTCGTCACGTAATATTTTGGCTCATTCATTTCAAATTTGGGCGTTTCTTGTATGTTACTAAGTTGGAATCGACTATGAATAATAATATAGTAATAAATTGATGTTTACATTATTAAGGGAATTTGTTGGAGGTTACATATGTGGCCTTTTTTACTTTTATTCGAACGTCACTGAGTTTTTGGAGACGAAACACGCGTCTGGCGAACTAAATTTTAATCCTGATATCTAAAACGAGTTTATTTACAAAAACTGGGTGGATGTCATGGTGGATGTTCCTCCCCGAGGGTATCAAAGGCCCAGTAGTCAGCACTGATGTGTAGACATACATTATCAATGATATGGTCATAACTATAAATTAACTGTTTACAAAACTTGATTTTTTTGTTTTAAATACTAAAGATTTTCTACCCGATGAATTGATTACTATACCCGTTTTTGACAAAACCTTTCGTAATTTTGGGTCCTCAATGCTTTCCAACTTAGTACTTCATTTGGCCTTTTGTTCTGATTCGAGGGTCACTAATGAGTTTTTTATAGACGAAACGCGCGTCTGGCGTACAAAACTGTAATCCTGATACCTTTGAGTTTATTTGTGGTACATATACTGCAGACGCTTTTAGATTTATTTTCAAATTTTCCAGGTTGTAAACGAACTAGAGATTTGCATTTTGTATATATACTATTATTTTAGATTGTATATAATGTATGTACCTGAAGGTGTATTTAGGTGTTTTGTGTTAATTGTTTGTTGTTACATATTTCATTGACGTATTCCCAAAAATTCTTTTTAAACATATCTTTCAATTTCTATTAATAGAATACCTCATGAAAGTATTTCAATATTTCCTGAATAAGCTAACACATGAACCATTACGTAGGACATATACATTACCAGTTTCCGACTTATTTTAGTCAAGATTTGGACAGGTGGAAATGAAAAATATTTCTCTATGTCAAAGTGAATCATACTTTCACAATAAATTCTATATTTGTGATAACATATAACAGTTGTTACTTTTTTGCCAATATATGACTGCCGTGATGTCCATTCACTGTTTGTGAGATGACACTGTCGCAAAACCTTAAATCTCTTAAGTCAATTGTTGTATTATATGTTACAACAATGATGTTTAACCCTTATCTTAGCTTGGTCATGGTCGAAAATCACTAGATTTTATACACGTATAATCACCAGGTCCTGTCTTTTTCGAGTTCTTAATTCTTCTTTTAAATATATTTTAATAATTCATTATAATAGTTTGTACGTATACATTTTTAATATGTATTTACCGCCTTGGTCATCTTTTATATGTTTTAAAGACCATCCTTTAATGATTGCATCTACTATAGTATCTTCTAAGGTAATCTCATCTGCTCGTTCTACATCATAAACAGTTATCTTGAAGAAAAATAAATCAATTCATTCAACACAAGACTCCAAAAACAGTATTCAAACTTTGTATATATATTTGAATTTTTTTTAACCATTCCAGGTACGTCATACGAGTCATTAACAAAGTCTTTTCTTTCTAGAATTGACGTTATCGTGTTTGTGATTGTTTCAAAATCTCGGTGCAAAAGAATTACTGCGTAAAACATTTTACTTTATTATTATATGTATTATGTTTATCATCGCGGAATAATTGATTACATGTTTGAAATACACTGTATTTTAATGTTATTTATTCCAAAATATAAAGAGATCACCATATCGATTTTGTTGATCATAAATAAGAGACAACAGTAAATTTACCGATGTTCAAATAAAGACAAAAGAGCAAGACCGTGTGTGTCGATAGGAAAGGTGTCGCTTGCTATGCACGAATCACCCACATTGCATGCGAATTCAGATTAAGCGAAAATTACCAAATCGGGATTAGGACATAGTCGATAAGTTATCAAATAAGACGATTATTCTGGTATCTTAATATATCATACCGCGAAAACATGTCTCTCGTCAGTTGATAACCAGGCACATTGTATCGGTATGTAATAATGACCGTGAAACTTGTGTAGTGTCGATTTAATTCGTTCTTTTTCAGACCTGCTGCAGTATTTCTTTTTTGTATTAAGAGCACTGCAAATGAGATCTGTATAATGTGCGCATGCACGCATGTAATGTATTAGTTAAGATATCGATATCATTCTTAAAAACCATAACAAATCTATAATCAATAAAAATTCCTTCATGGTGCACTTTTATATAAATAAATCGAAAACTTTAGCAGTCATGACATTTCATTTTAATATAAGAAAATATAGGACAAGACAACCAGAAATTACGATTTGCACTGAAATAATCTCTACCTTTATTTCTGTTTTAGGACGGTTGAGGTTCTTTTGTCCTCAATGTGTACATCTTTACAAAACATCTTATCTCTATTTAACGGCTGTTCTATAGTAAGTGGATGTATAAGACTTTGTATCGATATTTAGGTTTAGTTGCTTAATTGAACTGTTGCAATCTTCAAGTCGTATGTTATATTATTGACATGATATATGTTATCCGCTAAGAACCCTTATCTAATGTTTATTAAAATAATAATTATGAATGTTTTAAAAACTCACCAGATGGTTATTTTCTTGTATCTTTTTCATTCTCTGCTCAAGGTTGTAGAATGAACTCTTCGTAAATATTGTTCCAAATAATGTCGGGGCATTGTTCTTTAGCAGTCCTGTTTTCTCACTCGTTAGTTGTCTGAGAGCATTAATATAGTCACAGCACAAAATAATAATAAACAATCATACACACATACACACACATTCATGTTAGACAGATGTTTCATTATAAAGTTTCAGAGAGATTTTTTCTGCTATATTGAAATTTTTAATTGAAAAAACTGGTTCGCAGGCTACACTCAGTGTGTATGTACCACTTTAGGTCATATGGGGTCTGTGTAATATAACAATAAACATATACTAGAACACACCCGCGAAATCGCGGGTATTTAGAGCCTGGTTGAAAGTATGTAAACTGTTGTAGGATGAATTTTTGTAAAATATTTTATGTCTGGAGAATTTCAGAAAAGGTAATAAACTGAGTCATAGGCACTTGGAGACAGGACAATTATTTTAAGCCCTCTCCCTTTTTTCCAAAGTCCGTTATTTTTTTGCTCTCTGTTAAATTCCATGATTTTCGCGTTTCTGTATACTATGAACATACATATAATATAAATAAAGTGTGTTTGCTATTAACTATCATTTCCAAGTTTCTTCTCCACGGCGATCACTGCTATATTATATAGAGAGTCTCTATATATTTTAGGATTATAAACATAGTATACATGCCGAATAATGCGAAAATAATTGACCTGTCCCCGCGTAATTATGAAAATTATGTTTAAAGAGGGGAGTAAAGGGGGGTATCTGCACGGAAGAACGCGAAATAAAATTGCCATTTCACAATGAGCGAACAATTAAAAATTTCTTGCACATTGATCTTTTTATCGATTTCAAGAAACACGGTGAATAACGAACCCTTTTCACGGCTGCACGTGAAATAAAAAGTGGCAAAACACGTTGCACGAAATTAACCCTTTACCCCCTCTTTTAAAGTTTAAAATCGGAAGTCTTGGTTATGACTTAAAAGTCGGTCTGATGACGGAAACAACATCCGGACGCCTTTTTCTTCGTTTTTCTCCCAGAATAACCCAAGCTGAATAATCATAAGAGTGGAAGACAAATGCGACTATGCATGCTACCTATAGGACACAGAGGCATGATGATTAATTTTTTTGGGAAGGAAGATAAGCGACACACAAAATGAGGTCTTCTCGATCGTTTAATAGTATAGATAAATGATAAATGTATAATGCTGAATATAGTGATTCATTTGTAGAATTAGACAGAAATTTGGAATTAAATAAAAATTTTAATTTAGCCTTAAAAAAGTTTCCTTGAAAATTGTCTGGCGAAACACAAAACAATGTAAAGCTGAACGCTTATCCTACTATTTTTTTCATTGATTCAGAGACCGATTCGTTACGGAAAACGCTTTTTGTTTCTGCGGGCAAAGAAAAAGCAATCCCAATTACAACTGAAAGTTTAAAAGAACCTGCCTGAATCGCTTATCTGAAAACAAAATGTAAATGAAATATTTTAAAAATACTTTTAATGTTTTAAATCATAAACAAAATCTTCCACAGATTATAGTTTCACTCTATCTATTTTACTTTTCAAACTAAAATGCAAATGTTCAAAAATTTGTAAATGTTTTATGTATTAATGTTGATTTTCAACATATCAGATATCTATTTTAGTCTACATGATCTAACCATTAAATTCTGTTTTAGCCATATGGTCTTGTTACTCAATGAAACGGTATAACATTAACATATACTGACGGACTTTAAAAACGCAACTCTAGATTATTCTTTTCAATTCTCATTTTCAGATATGCAATATTTGTAAAATAAATGTATAAACATAAATTTAAGTCATTACTTCATTGTCTTAAAGAAGTTTGCAGTTCGAACGTTGAATTAGTTACGCCATATTTAATGTTCAAATCATGTGGTATGCACTGAAACCCTGAGTTTCACCTGATCAATGGAGGATGTGTCACAGTCGAAAGCAATGACTGCCTGTAAGCAATGCCTAAATCATTGACAGAAACGTCAACCATTTCTGTTGGGCATATTTTGAGTTCTATTTTGTACTTTCTGATTTTGCCTCTATCCCACCCATTGCAGTGTATTTTGGCAACTATGCGGTTTACACTTGAGGGCTTAAAATGTTTTTCTGCAGTCGATTTTTTGGCATTTCAGTATATGGGAAACATTTATGGCGTGATTCTGTCTGCCATAGCATTCGGCAACTTGATTTGCAGTTGACGTTACGGCCGTAAACATCTCTCGCAAAAGACGTTGAGTAATCAAATTTTATTGACATGGCGTTGTCCCTACATATTATTCTGGTCATATGTGGTCATCAACTAATCCCGTCTGTCTGTACCGTCGTTGTAAGGAGTTTCTGCAACAGCACGTTCACGTACTCCTGTCTGCAATAATCGTATGGCCTGATTCAGATTTGTATTGCTCAGTCTCGGCAATATGGCAATGCAACATTGTGTTACTGATTTAAGTGTGGGTATGGATTGAAAGAAATGTTTCACGAAGAAAACAAAATTTAAAAAAATCATGTATGGGTTTCAATTATCGCTTTAAGAAATTCTTAAGACTTCAATAATTTGGTATGTTCAATAACCCCAGGTAAGTCTTTTTTTCTAAATGGAAAGAAGTATGGTGAACATGAATAGTAGGTATATGAGGATCAATCATGATTTGTTTAAAACAAATTACTAAAATATGTGTTGCGTTTTTAAAGTTCGTCAGTATACTTTCATTTAGATATCTTTCGGACCAAGAGTGCGAAGTTGTATTCAGAGAAAGAGATAATTGAAAAGATTTACCGGGGACGGACGAAAGACGCCAATTGAAAGCAAAGGATAACTGTGTAAAAGCTACTGAGGCCAAAGAATAAATCACTAAAGATGAATTAATTGCGGACAAAGTACTACAAAATTACTAAAACGTGAAGAAAACACGACAAATCGAAACTGAGAAATGTGATTTTAATTGTTTGATATAAAATCTAAATTGAAAAAAAGGAGTCATTTGATATAAGCACGGTAGGTATAGTGTCCGGCTAGGATCGTGGTTTTTCGAGTGATTTGATCGGGCTTTTTCGAGTGTGACCACTTTTTTTCGAGTGATTATGATCAAAAATGTAAACAAACAGACTTCCTTTCTGACAAGACGTGTTATAGACGCTTGAGTTTAACATACAAGGATATACATGGTGTTTTAGTATTTAAGATAAAAATATATTATCAATCCGATATTATTTTTTGTTAAAAAAAAGTTGAATTTAGCCTTACAATGCTTTTATTTCAAAAAACTGAATATAGCCAATTTTATACACATATCAATGCAAATGTCGACGGAAATGCGTTCATGGAATCCGTATATCCTTAGATATACAGACACTTTACCAAAATTCTTGTTATTGCATTGACAACGGCATCTTGAGACTAAATTCATTTCTATGTGTTCGGGTTTTTTCGAGAGCAGTCCGGGATTTTTCGAGTGCGTCCGTGTTTTATCGAGTGATTATACAAATTTCCTATAGCTTAAAATGTTAAATGTCAGTGTATTTACGTTTAAAAACAATAAAAAAAGAGATCAACTTATGCACTTTTAAGGCACGAAACCAATGCATTCATCAGTTTGGTAATGGTGTACTACGATTAAACTTTATAAATAAGTATCGTTCATTTGTATATATTGTTGTTTGTCACTTCTTATAAATTACATGTTCATTATAAATTCACGATGCCAACAATCTAATGTAAGCATAGACAATTTGGATTAAGACGTACGTACATATAGTGTGTTAAGCTGGTGAACTATTCCTTTCATTGTTAACTGTCTATATAATTATGAAATTTAATTCAAATTTTATTGTAAATGGGAATAAAAACTGGTCGGATTTAGTGTGTGTATGTTTTTTGTTTTTGTTTTTTTATGATTTTTTTTTTGTGGAGGCAGGGGCCGACTTCTGAAATTAGAATATTTCTTATTACATAGCATTTTTCTGATTCTTCTCTGCTGTCTAGTAGGTTTCTTACTACGTTTTTGATAAACAGCTGTGCCATGAGCGCATGCTCCGCCCGTAGCGTTTTCAGAGAATACATTTCATTCTCTTATGATTGTAGCTTATTATCTATATCTTGCATGAATAGACATTTCTCGTATCATACTACATAGAGTGTGATACGAAAAAAATGATACGAAAATCTGTGTAAATTTGATTTGCTTATCCATAATCATAAGATGATATTACGGCATCTCATTGGCTATTCTTTAAAGGTTACGACGATGTATATTTCGTGTGAAAAATACTACACCAAGGATTCAAGTAATTTTTGATTTAACACAATGAGAGTATTGACCATATTAAGACAATTAGGTTTAACACCAACTTATGAGAAATGGATACCGTTTGATATCAACTCTCGTTATTTAATTTAAATAGAATAAACTCGCCGTATTATATTGAAATTAAATAACTAGAGTTGATATCAAGCGATATCCGTTCTCACTTGTATGACACCTATAAATAATTTCTCAATGTCATATCAAAACTTTATGAAAAACTAAAGGGAGGTTACCTTAATTTATGTAAACAAGTCACCAAAGTTTCGTGAAAACTTCTAAAAGCACTTTAAAAATATTGTCTGAAAACTTTAAAATCACCCCTTTTAGCTAATCTGGCCCAAAAGGGTCAAGAGATTTTCCCATCACTTGGCGTTCGTCGCTGTCTGTCTTCGACGTCCGTTAACTTTTACAAAAATCATTTCCTCTGAATCTACTGGACCAAGTTCATTATAGATAGAGATAACTGTAAACAACCAGAATGTTCAGTAAAGTAAGAATTACAAGCAAGTCACCATCACCAAAACAGAGAATTTTGTCATGAATTATATTCTTGCCTCCAATGTTGAAGAGTGTTCTTTGTTAAATATGCACCTCAGCATATAGACCAAGGTGAGCGACACAGGCTCTTTAGAGCCTCTAGTTTGTTTAATAAAATCCAATAACTCGGAAACATAAAATCTAAAATTTATAAAATCCGAAAGGGAGGATACCTAAATAGATATAAAAATTCTCCGAAGTTTAATGTAAATTGGTTACAGCGTTTTTGAGTTATTTTGCGACTTGCTGACGACGGACGGACAACGGTATACCATAAAACGTCCCGTATAAAAACTCTGGGGTTCACCACGAAAAATATTATTAGCTGTGACAACAAAAGAACCATGAAATGAAGTTGAAAAGATTATGAGTCCCCTGCACTGTGTTCTAAAGACCTTTTTATAAAGGATCCAATAATTTCTAATTTAATACTGAAGAATTGTGGTAGAACGTTTTCCGAACAGAATTAAATTGAAAAAGGTTAATTTTGATCACCGTAGTAGCATGATTTTGTGATTTGTTGGGAAGATACGATATTGTCCTTTGCTTGACTACAGTTATAAACTAGAAAAAATCATTTTTTTCAAGTCAAGAATACCTTTTTTTATCAAAATTTTCTTTGAAAAAACCCGGACCATTAGTTAAAAAACCCGGACGATTTCACAGTTGCTCTCGAAAAAGCCCGGACAATAATAAATACTCATTGTTTTGTTAGATACAAGGAAATTGTGCTTCTTTGTTGATCAAAACATGTAAAGTAATCAAAATAAGTTGGGTAGTCATGATAAAACCTTTTATAATTACGAATTAGCAATTGGCCTTATCGCATGTTTTTTCACTCGAAAAAGCCCGAACGACACTCGAAAAAAAAACGAACCGAATCACTCGAAAAACCATGATACTAGCCGGACACTATACCTACCGTGATAAGCATATCAAACACCATAATTCTTTAAAGGACACATCACTACAATACAATTTCAGTCACATTTACACACGGTAAAATTTGTATTCAATTGGTGTTGTAATTTTTCTACAAACATATATTACCCAAGAATTTGAATGTATATACGACGTCCCTCACTAGCAACCATAATTTTACTATATTGGTTAACAAGTAACCGTAAATAGAAATCTTTATTCAGTACATGGAACATGCCTCTCATGATATTTTTAATTATCTTGGAATAAGGATAACATTAACATTAGAATTAAGGTATGCTCGATATGTTGATTGTCGAAGATGGACGACTTTAAACAAGGATATATGACAAACGCAACGATTTCATTTTTCCATTCTCAACTTCCCATTGATAAGTAGAAACATACTCTCTGTTCTATCGTATAGCGTTTACATATCTAAATTGATATATTACATTTGTACACCAACAAATGCTCACATTATACGGACTTGTTGTTTCTTTGACACATTCCCCGTTCCCATTCTCAATTTTATTCATTAAAAGGGATGTGCTAACGCAAAAACAGCTTCAGTATGGACAAACACCTGAAATTTACACGATACAAGTTTTAAGGCCACCATCATAAATTGGTTGACCAATACGATGCAATTATGTCTTAGATCAGGAAAAACAGGTTTTTGCACTGTATATCTTAGTATACCAGATAAGCCTTCTGATCTGTATACTTACCGACTGTGTCCTTCTCCCTATCGTGACATATTCATGCAATCTAGGTTAAGATTCGCATGTCAGAACTGTTATGCATGCAGTAGAATAAAAATTACATATCCGGGGACACAAATGAATACGGAATCGAATGATATACGATTTTACTTCTGGTAATTTCCATGTAAAAGGGCCGTCAGACGTCAGAGCAATCTCGGACTAATAACAGTGACTACGGAAACACGCCACAATAAATCAGATAACGTAAAGACAAAAATCATAGTACATAAAGAAAAAACTGATGTAATTAAAAAAAAAGTCTTTTGGAGGAATAACTCCTATAAGGAGGCAACTTACGATTCCGACCTTTTGACTTATTTGTAGATCTTAATTAATGACAATGCCAGTTTCTCTTTATCTTTTATAGTTTATAGTTTGCAGAAAATATGCAAAATCGCAAAAATATTAAAATCGTCATTTAAGGACAATAACTACTATAAGGCGTCCTCTAACAGTGTAGGTCAAATGGACAGTACATTTACTTATAGGTAGATCTTGACATTTTGTACATATCTGCATATGTCAGGTTTTCTCTATATATAACAGTTTTCAAGTTAAAAAAAGAAAACTTGCATTTTATCCTTATGTTCTATTTTAGACTACCGGTAGTTTGTTTTTATTTGACCTAGTAGTTTCAGAGGAGTAGTGTTTGTAGAATGTAAAGGACTTCGAACAGACTAAGACGGACCGGACGACGGACGGTAAGTGATAAACGTAAACTACTAGTACCTGCTAGTAAGGTAGTCAACCAATAAATCTGCAGCTTTTCCCGACCCTTTTACCAGAAGAACAGGAATATTGGATTCAACAGACGACTCCACTTGGTGAATTGTCTCTATATCGCCTTCAGCTACCACCAATAAGACTGGAATTTCCATGGGCAGTTCTGTAAAAATGAAAAGGACTGAATAAATTACAAGCCTAATAATTTTAATTAGTTTCAATTCTGCGGATTTTAACCTTAATCTTACACGAAGACCGCCATAACGTATTACAATTAAAGTTACATATAATGTACATTGGTTTCTATAAAATTAATGTGACCAAAGCATCAACAAAATTTAACGAAATGTCAATTTTTGTGATTTTATATGAAAAGCAAATTATTTTTTGTTCAAACTTGCATTAGAATGGAAAAAACTGTTTTTGAATCTTTGAGGACGTTAATTCGTGTTATTATTTTATAAGTTCAGGTTATCTCTCATGTGTAGCTAAAAATGTGCAAGGTAACCCCAATTCATCACCAAAGAATCTTCAACCTAACATACGTTACAATTCAAATTGACTCTTGATTTGACCATGCATATTTTAATAAGCACTAACAGTTTGGTGACTCAAGACTTTTTAATCATAGATTTGAACGATGTTTGGTCAGTTTCTACGTGATTAAATAAAACAAACGATGTACCCTTTAATTATATTATGATGAATTTTCTTACTTACCATTATGATATTGTTTGCTATCCTCGTTTTCCGTAATGAACGACAGAAGAGGTGTTGTTTTCTCTGATAAACATTTTAAAAGTTCAATCAAACCAATGTTGAACCAGTCTTTCTCATTCATAGATGGTAGTTTAAAGGACAACTGATTTTTTGATTCTTTCGATTGGCCGGTTGTTGTTTGTTTCTGTTGGTTAGGTTTTCCTAGAATTTTCTCATCCTATGTTAGTAAAGAAAACGATTTGACAATACATTGTTCTTTGTTAGCTATATTGACATATCTATTTATCCATAACAATCATTTACATGTATCTAACATTTGTCTAATATCTCAAATAAAAACGTAAAACTAATCGAAGTCAATAAATATTGGTAAGAGTGACATACTTTAATATATAGCCCCTAATGTATCTTAACAGGTAGACGAAAGACTTTACATGAATTACCTTTGGCTTGACTGCAATTAGTTTAGTTGCTAATGTTCCATTCGTTCTAATGTCTTCTTCAAATGCATTGTAGATAAAAGAACTAATGCCAATATCTTTTCCACGATAAATCAACCAACTTTCTGTGAAATAAAGTATATAAAATAAGTCTGTGATAAACCTTTGATATACAAAGTAATACATGTATTAAGAAGTATTTGATGCAACATGATATTCCATTATGATTTTCTGTATAACAATATTTTTTTTTAAAAACAGTTGTACTTTCGTACATGTAATTATATCATCAATAACTTATAAATAATTCATGAGTGTACTTAAATAATACGACTACGGATATTCCAAACCTAGGGTCGCATGACCTGATAGTCAAACTAGGCATTTATCGATATTGATAAATGTAATTTAAATCGGTAAAGGTTTATTTGATGATAAGTATATTTTTCCCGGCTGAATTTACAATGCTTTTCCGTGTAATCTTTCTGAGAGAGTTTATAATCAATTCAATTGACTCATCTTCTTAAAAGTTACGATAATTCACATGATTTTTGACATTTGGCAGGACAACACGTGTGATCAGCTGGTGATTCATATCGCGACATTCAAGGTCTATAACTAACAAAGAATCGAAAACTAAGTTGCATTAACATAAAGTTATGTCGACAAGCTATCTTTTTTGTATGCTATTTGATTTAAAAGAACAACATGGACCTTGCAGAAGACACCTATTGGGTTGATTTTTTTGTATAGCTATAAAGAGTTATTTTATTATAATCATAAAAAAAACCTTTTATCAACAACACTTCATCGTTATTATCACCTGACATGGATAGTTACTGTTTAAAGACATATCATTTGTGTACTGTGTCATCAATTTTTAAATTAGATAACAGACGGACTATTTGAGACTGTGCTTAGCTGAATTTAATCGGAATATACAAGTGACATTACGTTGGAATACCTTTCACTTTTTTCAGTGTATCAATAAGATCCGCGGTAAATGCTGTTGCATTCCAAGGTCTAGGTACAAAGCTTTCTGAGTCTCCCACTACTGCCAAAACAAGTCCTGGAAATCGTTTCCTAAAATCTAACGCCTTTTCTTTCAGGATTTTGGTATCTCCTGTTCCGTTTCTATTTTCTTTTTCTTTTTCTAATTCAAAAACTTCGTTCCATATCTCATTTTCACACTCGAATATTACTTCTTCGTTTATTTTCTCGACAAATACTGCTTCAACCTGTATCCTGTAAGATATATTTGACTTTATGAATAGTTTATCAAAAAAGGAAAGTTGCATACTTTTTTTTAATTGATGGAAGCAAATATTTACGGACCATGAATCGCTCACCTTGAAACTTATACGTTCTTCTTATACGTTCTTTTAGTATCAAGATGTATGACCAAGTTTGTTTGATCGAACAGACGAAATATTTAAGTTTAAAAGTTTTTATTGAATATAAAAACATAAAGAGTGGAAAAGACGGATTCATGCTCTAAAATAATTGTTTTCCATGTGTATGTACACATACCTCGAATTTGAACGAATAGCTGAAACGAAGTCGTTAACCCCATCATTCAAACGGAAATGATCACACAAGAGAGTACTATATAAATCCTTGATCACATGTCAACATGAAATCTAAACATTTAATTTATAAACTACATTGAAAGGACAAAATTTCTTCAAGGCTAGTTTCAAGAGACAAAAATTGCACGTTACGATGGTTTTTACATACATTCAATATATTTATAGTTTTTTTTCGCAAAAATTTAACTGATTATATCTTTTTAAAATATAAAAGGCACGCATATTATTTTTGCGATATCCAGATCGAAGTTCCACGAGTTCTATATACAAGAGTTCCTTAAAATTCGAACCACTTCGTTTACTTTGGTTTAATTCGTTGTAATGTTTTTCAGCTATTTTAGGGTCGCAAATAAATAATGGTGTCAATTTTCCTTGCTTCCCTAGATTTTTAACTGTGATAGCATACACAAGACGGTCATAACAAATGACATTTGACATGTCGATGGTTTTTGTAGATCACAAGAAAATAACATCAACGTGTGTCAACTTGTTGGAAATAGATTCTCAAGTTTCTACAACTCACACGAGACGACTTTTTCCAACTAAAGGACTTGAAAATATAATGTTGCCTTGCGTCGTTAAAAAATACTAATTTAATGCATAAAAAGTGAACTGTGAACGGGTGTCACAGTTGGAGCAGTATTTGCTTATCCTTACGGAGCACCTGATATCCCCACGGTTTTTGGAGGGATTCGTGTTGTTCAATATTTAGTGTTTTGTTTACTTTTGTTTGTTTTTTCGTCGTTTTTCTTCATTTGCCATGAGTTTGTCAGTGTGTTATCGACTTCTGAGTTTGAATATTCCTATGGTATCTTCCTCCTCGCATTTACATTTTCAGTATAAAATACAGGCATCGACAGTTTTACTTGTCACTCTTGTTGATTTGGTTAATAAGCCGCTAGTGCTATAGGGCTTTTGTGAATAATGCTGTATTTTAACGGCTTTAAATTGCATAGAACTATGAAAAAGTTCAAATTTACAATTTTGGGAGAAGCATGAATTATGTAATCTTTATTATAAAAATCTGTATGCAACAGTATAGCCGTTTCTCGAAAATTTCGTTCCATACTAATTATTTCCTTTACAGAACACAATCACTATCATATTAATCACTAGGTAAGGTTTATATACTTATAAACAATACAAAAATATTACGCAAAACACAGGGAATTAGCCAAAAATATATTTCAAGAAGGACGGGTATGATGAGGTATGCCTACTGATTTGGACACGTTAAAGACATTAACTACTGCTTACGAATTACTCCCGAAACGGGAACACCAACATTTCCAGATCATCTGATATTATTTAAGTTTGTGAATACATCCTATTACATTTCAAAGGCTGACAGTTTGTCTCTTTCAATTGCTTTCTCTTGTTTCTCTGTAGTTTACGTACATGTATATTGTCTTCTATATCAATTGATATCACGTTTAAAAGAGCGTGTTGCAGTTTTTTTCTTGATTTGTTGACATAACACTTGTAGATGCACAATTTAATTTAATTTTGAAATGACATAGATGTAAAATCGAATGTCTAGTCATATTATTACCTCACCGCATCTACTTAAAACAACATTTTCAGCATGATCAGGACCTCGACCACTAAATCCTTACTCTAAAGCTAGTTTTGGTTTTATTCATTAGATGGCATTTCTAAATTATTCAACTATTTAATTTTTACATGAAGTTACGAACACAAAGACGTTTACAGTAAAAATAATAAAGAACAATGATAATAGAAAAACAAAGGAAACAACATTTGTTTCAGTAGTACTAGTAATAAAAATAATATACTCACAAATTATCAGTCATTCTGATTTATAAAAGAATCATTTTATTGCAATTGATTCGCCTTCAGAATTTTATACAGAACTAACTAAACTGTTTAAATAAACAATAAAAATGTCCTTCGCTCTGATTATTACATTACAAATAAATTTGCTGAACAAATACTTTGATTTCCGAAAAATTGAATTTTCCAACTAAGCTTTGTACATGTGAACATGTATTATAATATGCCGGAATAAACATTTTGTTATAATAGTTTATGGTCCAACAGCTTATTTGTTTCTTCTTTATCGAAAAAGAAATATTTAAAAAGCAACGAATGTGTAACAAAATACTTGTAAATCAGTTATACTATTTAAAGAACTATTTTTCTATTATTACTGAAAGTAGTTTAATAACCTTGAATATCCTAATATTTAACGGATTGTTCCTAACTAATTTGTTACCTTCAATGCATTTTGAAGGTCCTTAAAGGAACATTTGCTGTCAAATTCATGTTCACCTATTTGAACTAAATTCTCATATTGGCTTTATAACATAATAAAACGTTTATCCAAATTGTTTTGTTATAAATCAAGCCGTGACTTTTCTCAGTTGAATTGTTTCATATTTCAAGAAATGTCGTTTCTCCTTCGGGTTCATTTGTTTTAGGTGATTTTTGCTTCTGAGTCTGTTTCTTGTGTATTTGATTTGCCTCTGTTTGACCAAAGAAAATCGTCAGAGTGAATTTTCTTTACAATTTCGGCATACGATGTTTGTATATTAGCCTCATTTGTTTTTGCATTCTGTTCAACTGCATTGATACGTTTCATAATTTCAGTTATTGATGAGGTGAGAGATGATGATGACAAATCATATTTTTCTATAATGCTAGTCATAGTGTCTTGAAGTTGCTCATTTAAAACCTGGCCTTGATTACTCAAGGAATTTACACCGGATGCTTTTGAGTCATTTTTTCGTTAATTCCGATACATACGGAATCTGATCTTGGCTTGGTTTCATTGAACAATTTTTTTGTTGCCTCAAATTTTGACTTGCTTTTCTAGGTTTGCACTTTTTCTGTTGAAATGTCCAAATTGAATGTTTAATACTTAACGTTATCTGCTAGTTCCATAACGGCTTTTCTATCTGTTTCATGTAATGTAGGACTCTTATATATTTTTCCCAACACATCGGTAATTGTCTTTTCCGTAGAGGACTTTTCGTTTCTCAATAGTAGATCCTAATAAATTTAGCTGATTTTGAATGTCATTTAACCTATCATTCTGCTTGTTATCTTTGCTATTTATTAGTGTATTTTATAAAGTAAAGTTGTTTACGTATAATTGCAACTATTTTTGATATACTTGCCAGTCTTTAAAGAAAACAAGTAAGAAATGTGGTCTGATAATTATACATGAAAACACATGACTATACATACATAAAAGATCGCCACTGTCTTGAAGGCCATTTGTTTGTCCGAGTTTTCGTCTTGCGTTACGGAATTATATCATCTAATTCGTATATATCTTTAGACTTGTTTTTTTTTCTAATTGATAGGTATTGTCATGTATGGATGTTTTTTTGAAAAACTCCCATAATTATATATATACTTTATATACTTATATATTGTCGATTAAACTATTGTTATAGGTATAATTGGGGTTTAATGTGGTTGTAAGTCATAGAATTAAGACAAACGAATAGGCCATTAAAACCAGTTTTAGAACAAAGGAAATGTTGTTTAAGAGAACGACTTCATGTTTGCACATTGTATCAGTGAGTTCACAGTACAGAATCAAGAACTTTGTCGCTTCTTCTTTCAATAAGGTAGCCATATTCAAATGCAAATAATTATCTAAAGCTTAAGGTCACTAGGAAATTGAAAACGATGAATAAGCGTTCACATAGTTCATCAAGAATCTTATAAAAAGGTGTAAACAGAGCGAAAAGATACCATTAGTCGAAGAAAATACCAGGGTCAAAAATAAAAACTGCGCAAAGAAAAACAAAAGTTCACAAAACCCTACACAAAAACTAAAAATTGAGCAACAGGATATAATGGGGATTGACCGCCGGTGTTTGAGCTTTATTTCCGACTTGTTTAAGCATACATCTGTAAAGAAAAAAATAACATTTTAAAGAAGTGTAAAATCAGACAGACAGCAACCAACAACAACCAATGAATTACACGCTCCTGACTTTGAAAAGTCCCAAGAAGAATGTTTCGGGTTTGAACATGTTTGTGAACGCTCATCCCTCCTCTAACCTGGGACAGTAGTGTAACAGCACAACCTGACACTGTAAACAACCAGTTTGAAATGACTCGACTCGTCAGATCGACAGGAATCACAAACACAACTAACCTTAAGACAAAAAGACAAAAAGACAAAAACTAACGATCTAAGAGTACTCGCAGTTACTGGAATCTATTTCAAAGCCAATAACAACTAACAAGTACATCATGTTCTCCGAGACATAGGTACATCAATCGTTTTAAGTGTAAATATGACTGTCATAAAAAGTATGAGAAAAGCATGACCGTGCAGTGTCGAGATATAAGTACATAATGTGGACAGGATGTAGGCTCAAAGGTTTTCATAAATGTATAGCAATGCATACTATATATATTTATTCATCAAAAACAAAAACATGGTTAGTACAGATAAAAACAATATTCAACGATCTTACTACGGTGCTATTGATATCCTTTAGGAATAAAGTTATTCACAGGATTAATGTGTTTATCAAGAAAGAATTTATACGTTTCCAGATAAAAATTGCCGCAAGTGGGATCCCGTCTGTGGGATGGTGTTAAACTAGCTTTTGTATATGTAGTCGGCTGTTATTGTACTACAAGATAAGTACTTGTAACATCAAATGTTTCGGTACCAATATATGAGATACTGGGTTTTAGTTAATGGATTGGAATCTAAATCACAGTTCATTCACATTGAAGTCCGCAGTCTTATTCAATACACATAAACGAATTGGTAAAGTCCAAATTCTTTTAATATCGAGTCTAAATATAAAATAACAGTGTTACAAATCAATAATTGTAAACCAAAGAAAAATACAATGCGTTGGAAATCCGAACGCAGTTCATGTGTTATAATCTAACATGTTTCAGGTGTAAACATATATTTCGGACATTTAAATTTATAGTGCATTTTGAGATCATTACTATTGAATAAATTAAATATGCCTGGTGCACACGAAATGTACACGTTAATAAACTGTAATAGAAATCAACATAATTAGATAGTTTTGAATATAATACTGATTTAGCACAAACATAATGTGTCACATGTTGACGTGTGTGCATGGAAGAAGAAAAAAAACCAATCGTTATTGACAGATATATCTTCTCAGTAAGACTTATACATGGAGTACTGTTTAGAATACGAATATACATATGTTCATTAAATTACAACATAGGCTATTTCGGTTTTAATTCCTGCTCTCCAACGCAAGCTGAATAATTTAAAAATAATTTACACATTAATAAATAGGTCCTGGCATCATAACAAATGGTGTCTCCTTTCTTTTTTGATTTAATCCGACGTTAAATGATTTAACAAAAAGTCAACTCTATTAAGTAAATGTAGTTTTAAAAAGGACCCTTCTAACATTTTCTGGTAAAATTGAAAGAATATGGTCGTGTTTATGTACGTCTTGGGCCGCAACATCAATTTACTATTTACATAATTTTGTAACATAATCAATTCAATCAGTACTATTTCATTTCGGTAACAATATACATTTCTGTAACCAATGTTTGGACTGCATATGCATGTACAATTTTGAAGTTCTATCATTTTTACTATTTTTTCTGTGTCGCCTGATAATATAGGCAGCGGACGGCATGCAGCTCCTGTTCTTTAATTAATACCTTCTTTTTACCTTCTTCTACAAAAAAAAAGAAAAAGAATTATATGAAATGGATGACTTGATGATTTATTTCCCCCTTCAAAACAGAACTATTCAGTGCTTGATGCTATGAATTATAAATTCTGAGAGAACGTTCTCACACTGGTGTATAGTAATAAATCTCAAAGGAAAATAAACAGCCTTGCCATTGGGCATTTTGTTGTTCAAACAGTAGTATGGTTTCTGTAATAAAATACATGCCTAAAGATACTAGATCAAAACTGGGATTTCTTTACATTTTGGCGTACTTTGAGTACGTACCGAAAGATTAATATATTATAATTATATTAAGAGTCATTCTCTGTAAGCATCAAAGGATATGGAATATTGATTGCCACTCATGATCTCAGATTTATGTCATATTTGCATTATAAGTTGGACTTAACCTAATAACAATAAATATAAATTAAATTAAAACAAAATGTATGCTGTTGCCACAGTAACATACAGTTATGAATTTTGCCATCTGAACTTGCTTGGAAATGGACAAAAATGGCAAAAACTGGTATTTCTGTGATGTAATAATCATATTTTATTGATCTTTAATATCAATAAACTGTTTGTACATGAAAAATATAAGGTAAGATCTACCAAAACCTGCAAAAACAATAAGATATTTAGAAAATAGAAAATAACCAATGTTATTTGCTAATTGAAAATTAAGCTGAATAAAATAATTTAAGACAGCAGAGAAAATAATTCTGTATTCATTGTTTATAACTAAGACTGAAATAAAGAGTGAGCTATTTATACTGTAAATTTATGATGCCTCTAGTCTGGTTAATGGGTCAGAGTTGTCCTACTTAATTAAACGATAAATTGTTGAAATTAGATAACATGGTTTTTACGAGCAGAGAAATTTCACTTATGACCAGTGCATGATTGGATTACATCTTTCTTATTGGTCAACGATCTTGCGGGGTCAACACGAGTTCACATGTAAGTGCGTTGTGGTCACTTCCTTTTATCACCAGCCTTTGACGTGTTAACTTGTAATTCTTATAAAACAATTTGTGAAAAAATCCCACCCGCATACCTCCCTTAATTTTATCTTTAGAAGTAGATATGTATATATGTTTATTATCGGGGCAGATTTTTCTCCCCACCTTTGCTATTCTTTGTCATTTATTCAATTGATATGATTTTAGTTGATGTAATTTCGTATTAATTATGTATTATAATTTCATATTAAATATGAACTTTTATGTCAAATGTTTTATTCGCAAAATGTATCTTTTGCATTTTATGATTTTGAATAAATGACCTTTTTTCGTCAATTTAGTTTGTATATCATATAGCAAAACAAGCTCAGTGTATGGCCTCTGTATATATAGTATGTTTATGGTATCTAGCTGTCTGTCTTAAATGTAATTACTGAGACTATATTGCAGGTTTTAGAAATCTTTAAGGACTTCTAATATCCCAAAATAACACATTTCCAAATTAAAAAAAAATAATTTTCGCAATTTTTCCAGCAAATAAAATTGAGAATGGAAATGGGGAATGTGTCAAAGAGACAACAACCTAACCATAGAGCAGACAACAGCCGAAGGCCACCAATGGGTCTTCAATGCAGCGAGAAACTCCCGCACCCGGAGGCGTCCTTCAGGTGGCCCCTAAACAAATATGTATACTAGTTCAGTGATAATGGACGTTATACTAAACTCCAAATTATACACAAGAAACTAAAATTAAAAATGATACAAGAATAATAAAGGCCAGAGGCTCCTGACTTGGGACAGGCGCAAAAAATGCGGCGGGGTTAAACGTGTTTTTTAAAATCTCAACCCTCCCCATATACCTCTAGCCAATGTAGAAAAACAAACGTACAACAGTACGCACAGTAAAACTCAGTTTAAGAGAATTCCGAGTCCGATGTCAGAAAAGGAAACAAAAGAAAATAAACAAAATGACAATAATACATAAATAACAACAGACTACTAGCAGTTACTGACATGCCAGCTCCAGACCTCAATTAAACTGATTGAAAGATTATGTCTTCATCATATGAATATCAGGCACAATCCCTCCTGTTAGGGGTTCGGTATTATACCATCATAAAATATATGAGAAGAACATAACCCGTTAAATGTGTGTTTTACCAGATAATATCAAGACATTCAACAATCATATGGTAAAAAATTAGAATAATTAACTGATTTTTTTTTTTACAAAATTTAGAAAAAACTGGATTTTTGTCATCAAATTCGAGATTTTAACTTGTATACCCTATTGCTTGTCTTTACTTACAGTAGTGAATTCCATGTTTAATAATATCAATTGTGAAACAAACGGAATATAGAATATCCTTTTTGTTTTAAATGAATGGAAAGGAATTAGAAAATATCTTTTCAAGGTCATTAAGAATTTAACTTCATATATTGATTTTTATGTTTATTTATGCAACATAATAAAATATTTGCAATTTTTTGAAGAAACACAATTTCTTAAAATGAAAATAGCCATAAGCTGAAAACTTTTTTCTGTATGTAAATGTTTGCATGTGTTATCTTATAACTTGGTTAGTTTGGGATAAGTAAATTTTAAAGTCACCTTCAAATTTACTTCAAATCACTTTTCAGAGGAATCAAAAGAAATGGTTCAAATGAAATGTAGTGCAATTTGCAAATTAAGTTTTAATTAGACAGATATAAAGAGACCAGGGGATTAGAAATGCAAAACAATAAGCAATAGATACTAATACAGTAAGAGCATCTTGTATTTTTCAACAATTCTACATAGCACAAAAAGCATAACAACACCAGTCCCCCCTTTTTTTATACAGTTATTCTAAAACAATCGAAGCAAATATTTAATAGGGTTTTAATTTTCATAAATTTTGACACCAGGTCTTGCGGAAGCAAATATTTACTCGGGTCTAGGAGTACAAATGTGTGCTCGAAACATAAATCTAGTATTTTATATGGATGATAAATGTGTTTTGAGTACGATACTCAAAATTTCTTTATCAGCAAGACTATGAAACATTTCAGGATATATGTCCTTGAGTAAACATAAAATTTCATTAATTCTGAGCGGACTTTGATTTTTACGTGTTATGGCAGCCATTATATAAATGGTGTGAGAATGATATTGTTTAACAAAGAAAACCAATTTGGAATAGCATCTAAACCTAAATTTACATTTCATTAAAATCCTAGTAAGATTTTACTTCAAATTGATTGATTGATTGATTGGTGGTAGCTTAACGTTCAGTGGTAAATATTTCATACATATTAAGGACGAGAACAAATTAACAAAAAATACAATAGGTAGGTCTTGTAATTGAGGCCGTCCGGTGTAAGGTCGGGAAAATTTTAACTGCCACTGGAAAATAAGGGTGGATTGGATAGGGACAGAAATTTGGCCTTGCAACAGGCCATCTACGGTCCCCAAAAGAGTTTTTGCAAGGGTTCTTAACGTTCAGAGAGCGTGGCACTCTCTCTACACTAGGCATTAGATTTAACGTTCTAACCAGACGTGGCTGTGTACTTGATACATCCTGCACAGCCAAACAGACACCCCACTTTGGCAAGGGTTCTACTACCGGTCGGAAGAAGACCTTTAGTGACCATATTTCTATTTCCCAGTCACCCTTAGGGCCTTCAAATTTTACACTGAGAATCAATTTGAAAAAAAAATTGTCCCTATACATCAATTTACATCGAGGCAGTGAGATCTTTATCAAAATTTGAGATTTTTAACGACAACTACGCTTTCACTCCAAATTTTACACTGGGAGTCACTTTGGAAAAAACTATCATGTTGGCACATCAATCCTAGCACAGAAAGATTTTTTCTCAAAAGTTCTTGTATAAAAAAAAATAGTTTAACCTCAATTTAACACCCAAATTTTCCCAGAAATTAATTCTGCTGCCAGGAATCAATTTGGAGAAAAATGTTATGCAACAAACCCTAACCCTAACAAAGTTTCTGAAAATTTTTGATTTTTAAGTAGGTTTTTCCCAATATTTGCCAATTTTTACCGAAAAATAATATGCACATCTACACATTATGCACAACTCCTTTTCAATATTGCATTGGCCTCCTTCCCATGGAGTTTTGCGTTTACAAAAAGTATTTACAAAAAAATTGTTTTTTTCTTAATAAAACTTAATTTTTTTTCCAAAATCAGTTGGCAAATCTTCACCAAAAATAAAAATAATTCTACATATGATGCAAACAACTGTGCACATTCTCACTGGCCTCCTACCAATCTTTTTATCTTTATTTTGCATTTACAGAAATTTTTGACAGACCGACGGACAGTGTGAAAACTATAGGGCTTCTGCATCCTTGTTTGTACATGAAGCTGAAATGCACTACCACTGCATATATATTTAGATTTAGAGAGAGACTAAAAAGTCACATGTATAATACTGTTGAAGATTATTATTTCTTCTACTTAAACTTTTGAAGAAATAAAACATTACAAACAAGCTAACCTTTTTTATGACAAAACTGCAGTTCATAGAGGCCATATACTGGCTTAATCTTCTGTACTAATGGTATAGTCATTTATTCCTTTATTACATGTATTTTCCTTACTATTGACATTAATGTAACCTCAATATGGTACTGATACAATCTTTTAAAGATGTTTTCTGTAAATGTTTTTATCAAAAACAACATTCCTTCAAAGCTTGCAGCTACTATTAGATAGAACATTTCTAGTTAACATGTATCTCATTCAGGGATACATGAATGTGTTGGTTTGTATGTAATGAATCAACATACATGTATATTTAAAAAAAAAAATAGAGGCCCCAATGAGTCTAAATCACTCACCAGGGTTTCTATCCTCAATAGGTTTTCATCAGAACCAACGAAATAACACACGGAACAAATGTTTGAGGTTGATACTGTAGTTCTAATGCAATACACACTTAATATATTGGACCCCCTTAGGCCCTTGGAGCCATGTTAGTCTTTTAATGAGGACATTCTATACGATTGGTTTTTATATACATTTACAAACTGTAATTTTCCAGTGTTTCAGTGTAAAGTTTGACCTTCCTATGTGGCCATTCCTCCCTTAAGAAACAACACTTGTGATAAATTACACATAGTTTGGAATCAATTGATTTAGCCCTTCTTATTTTTGTTTTTATACGACCGCGGTCGTATAATGGTTTGACGTTGTCGTCATCGTCCGAAGATATTTGGTTTCCAAACAATATCTTGAGGATAAGTGTATGGATCTCTATGAAATTATACCACAAGGTTTCGTACCACTAAAGTTAGGTTGAGATCGATTTTGGGTTTTTTGTCCTTACTGTATAGGAACAAGGGGCCAAAAACAAGATTTTTTTTTGTGTCAGGACATGAACTTGTGTATAAGTGTATGGATCTTTATGAAATTGCACTACAAGGTTCCATACCTAAAAGGAAATTCGGGATTAATTTTGGGGGTTATGGCCCAAACCGTTTAGGAATTAGGTACAAAAAAAAACAGAGGATTTTCTGATTTCCGGACTAAAACTTGCGTATAAGTCTATGAATATCTATGAAATTGTTGGGATTTATGTTGGGGGTTATAGCCCTCATCTTTTAGGAAAAAGGGGCAAAAACAATACTTTTCTACTTTTCTAATGCTTTTCTAATACTTTGTAAAAATTGCTTAGTTCTTGACCAATTTCAATCGGGATTAATTCAAAGTCTTGAATTCTTTGGTATAATATACTCATGGAAGTAACATGAAATATAATACTTCCATGATATACTGAATCTCACCGTGTATTTAGATTTTGTATTTTGGGGCCCGTTTTTAAATTGGTCAGCATTGAGGCCCAAAGGATTCAAAACTAAACTTTGTTTGATTTCATCAAATATTGACATATTGGGGTTCTTTGATATGCTGAATATAACTGTGTATTTTTATTTTGTTTTTTTTTATTTTGGGCCTTGTTTTCAAATTGGTCCACATTTAGGTCCAAATTGTCAAACATTAAACTTACTTTGATTGTAACAAAAATTGAATTCTAGGGGTTCTTTGATATTTTGAATCTTAACATGTAATTAGATATTTGATTTTGAGTCCAGTTTTCAAGTTGGTTCAAATCGGGGTCCAAAATTAAACTTTGTTTGATTTCAACAAAAATTGAATATATGGGGTTCTTTGATGTGCTGAATCTAAAGTTCTGTGCATTGATATTTTTGATTGTGGGTCCCCTAATCAAATTGGTCTATATTGAGGAAAGGAATTCACTTATTCCAAACATTCTGTTTCAAGTTTCTAGTTTATACGTTTCATTTCTGTTCAAACTTCAGTAGCATTTGCCTCGTTTTTTTGGTACTGTTCACTGTCTAAACTTCTCATTAAGTAATATTTTGTGTTTTCTATGAAGCTATTTCTTTGTTTTATCAAAGCCTAACCTTTATTTTAGTATGTTTCACTTTAACTTTGAACCGTGTCCGTACATTTGACATCAGGTCTAGACTGACTATAGTAAAGTTTTTAATGTTTCACTTTTTTCGATATAGAGCGTTTTGGCCAAAATTGACACATATGATTTTTCTTGGACATGGAAAAAAGCCTAGTAGTATCATCAGAAAAAGTAACCAAATTGCTTTCAAGTTGTTAAAAAAAAACAAGAACATCGAGTTACATGTATATCTAAAATATTATGAAATTTCTGACTTTTGTCTGCATTATGCCATGATATTATATTGAAATTTAACTATTTTCCAAAGAGCTCCAAAAAAGGAGCTTGCTTAAACAAGGAAGATAAATTGTGCTTATATGTGTACTATTTTTGGCAGTTTCTTTAGTTGTAACTTGAACTCAAGTACTGTTCTTTAACAAATTACATTTTTAATGTCAAATACCATATATATAACAGCTATCAAATCTTTAAATTAACTTGATCGAGAAATAGGAATTTTGAAGAAATAGCAGTATCTGGCCTTTTTAACCCTTACCATGTGGGGGCCGTAATATTACGGCCTCTACCCAAAATATATTTTTTAGGCTCCAATGGCTCTCCATACTTTTAGATGTCAACTGTATGACATCAATTTCGAAGTTTATGCATGTTCCCTCAACCTTATGCTATTTATTGTCATGATTCTCAGGTTAAATGGTCATTATGGGGTCAAATACGAACTTCGAAAATTGAAATCGGATAAAACTGGTTTTTGTAGGGGTGGGCTTCTCTTCGATGTCTGACACACGCATTTCAGAGGCCAAAAACTTCCAAAAATGGTGTAAACCCGTGAGTATATAACTTCTGATCGTGTTATTATTGAAATACGCCTAGGGAATGACTTAATTTCGGGTTGTAGGTGCAGTTGAAGTCAAAAATCGGGAAATTCCGGATTTATTTTTTTGTGCAAATGACCTTCTTTAGACTGTTGTATCCAGATCAGTTTCACTACGACCTAAACACTGTTGTGGTTAATGTGTTCACTGTGGTCCACTCTACATGCAGACTACAGTTGGATACATCTATCAGCATCCACCGGTCTTCCAGGTCAGAAAATCGGACAAAAAATCATCAAAATTGACGCTTTTTGCACCTGATGACCAACTTTGGGGCAAATTCCCGCCAACCCACCCCCAATTCCTCACCCCAACTACCCTGCTCCGTAATCCCCTAACTTAGCTTTATTTGAATTAATATGCATCAGCAGTAGGGTATAGCTCATTTGCATGTAATTTGCATATTTTGGCAAATAAACGAAAATTAGAGATTTTCTGAAACAATTCAGCATGGTAAGAGTTAAAAGGGGTTTAAATCTCACATACAAATTCACTCGTCCAAATTTTTTCCAAAAAGTTAGCCGAGATGCTAAGGTTTAAGAAATGCATACTCACAAGGCTATGTAAAATTGCGTAATTCTTTTAAACTACCTCAAAAAACCTTAATTTCACAAATTTGACTTTCTTGCTCAATCATTGTTTTCGTTCATTTAATTAAAGACGACTGTTTTCAATATTCAGGTGACAGATACTTTAATACTATAGTATATCATTTGAAAGGTAAATGAATGGAGAAATCAAAATAATACATATGTTTTTTAATATATTTGACTATGTTTCTGTTCAGGCTTGGTATAAAATTACGTGATTTTGCAATTTTCTTTAAATTTACCAAGTTTATTTATAGAAATTTTGGATGTGATTGCCATGGCAACCAAGGATACTACTTTATAGACATATTTTTTTATAGTTTCATGGAATTGTCTCCAAAATTACATAATATAAATGAAATCTAGTGATAGCCATGGCCAACTGATTTTGATGCTTACAGAGAATGTCTCTGTAAAAATTTTCAGTTAGTACTCAAAATTCGACAAAAAATATATATTATAGTATTTTCAAGATTGAGAGTTATGTAGAATAAGTGATGACAAAACTACATAATTGTAACAGTGCTGTTAGTGTCTAACATTCATGGTGTTATATAGATACAACGAAAACTGTGAAAGACCAAATTTCATCAAATAATACATAGACGTCGCATAAATTCCGCATGCTACCGGTCAGATTATCTAATCTACGAATCTAGATTATGTATAAAACATATACCAAAAAGAAATACCAAAAATAAAACAATAAAGGCACGAGGTCACTGTCTGATACACTACAGTTTTCCGTCATAATTTCTTTAAAAAAAAGTACTGGTTAATTAATTCATACCAATGCTTTATTGGGTGGGAAAAATAATAATGGATGCCGAACATCATGACATTTCTTCGGAGCATGACGCTAAACAATGTATTTAACGAACCGAAATATTTCAGAAATAGTGACGAATGTACAAACCCTTTTGTGTGCAACGTCTATAGATCTTTAATGGTATGAATATCAATAAGTTGAAAGGTACTGGGTGCCTTGTGCTGAACTTGGTTATGATTGAATATCTCCAGAATTTCCACAGTCTGTCCGAGTCGACTTGCACTTGTTCAAATTGGTTACTACAGGGAAAAGATGCAGAAATTACGATAAGCGAAATCATAAACATTTTGTATACACAAACATTTATTAATATTACAAAATGTTATTATAGTATTGTAAACACAGATAGACAGGAATTCAAAAGAAACTGCAATATTATGTATAAAAATAAGAATATGTGGTTTGGTTGCCAAAGGGACAATTCTCTACCGAAATGACATATAAGTGAACAACTATAGGTCACCGTAATATATCAATACTTTCATACCTGAACAAAGCAATTATCAGGTTTACCAACAGTAGATTTGTGACAAGAAGGTAAAATGCTGCAATGATTAAAAGTGCCCAGTCGTATTCGACACATCTTTCTATATCTGGATTATCCTCCCACTCAGACTCAACAAAAGTACATGTCCCATTAGCATTATTTTCACCTACAAGAATATTGTTATAAGCTTGAATAACTAAAAAAACGAATGTGAACTCTCTGCACACAAACATTTTTAACTGACAATCATAATTTCTTTGTACAGAAAACCTTGAAAACAAATATCATTGTTATATAAAAAAAAAATCTCCGAAAGCTTTTTATTGGAGACCCTAACACAAGTAAATACGTTGAAACCTCAACCGAATGCCGGAGTGGTCAATAAGTTAACATTTTAAAATGAAGGGTACTTAATTCACTATATCAATTTGTAAATATACATTAAAAACACGAACCGCTTGTGAATGTGTTCATGTAAGGTGATTTGTCTTTCTGTCGACATTTTGAATTAGCATGTTAAATATGTGCGTGTCGTTCTAGTAAAAAGCAGGGTTCATATTCATATCACATCAACATGGACTCGTTCTGAATATGCATTTATCCTGCCACTTGACGTTAAACAGCCAACCATCATCTTCAACAAAGGCATCTCTTGGCATTTTTGAATTGTCTTCTATGGTCTTTTTTATTATTCTACTTAGTTAGCCACGTGTTTACAATCCAGTAAATTTTCCATGCGTCATTAAAATTAAGGAACACATCATGTTTGTTTTTCTCTGATTGTGCAGTCCAAAAATCATATTCATAAGCAAAATCTATATTCTACTAAAACCTTTAACTCAAACGAGTTTAATTGATTTCTGTTTTCTAAACAGTAGAATGAAAAGTGCAGCGCTCAGGAAATTTGAATTTATTCGCACAAAAAGGCGATGAACTTCATCTGAATCACAATTAAAGGATCAAACGTTGCAAAATGTGTTTTAAAAGTATAAAAATACAAGATGTATTACAACTTGGCAAAACTGTACAAAAAATCGACATGCAATAGCTTTTAATATTAAAAGAAATATTTCGAATCACTCATTTGTAATCTTCATAGAATTTAATGTAATGTGTAAATGAGAATGATTTAAGTTTTTTTTTCAAATCTGTTCGACTGTTATACAAGTGAGAGGCTTAGCTAGCTATAAAACCAGGTTTAATCCACCATTTTCTACAAACGAAAATGCCTGTGCCAATTCAGTAATATGAGAGTTGTTATCCATTCCTTTGATGTGTTTGATTTTGCTATTTGATAAGGGACTTTCCGTTTTGAATTTTCCTCGGAGTTCGGTATTTTTGTTATTTTACATTTTTCCACACACGTTGGGTATTGTTTTTTCTTGAAGATATAGTTTTATTGTCATTGTTACATATTACTGGAAAATGTGGGCGCATTTGATCTGAATCGTAAATTAAAACGTTCATTCAAGTCTGAAACTGAAATTTAATAGTGCGAGAGGGCATACTGTCTCATGGAAACACACGCTTGTCTAAATTATGTCTTATAGACCATCATAATGAACTTATTATTATACTAAACATATAAAAAAAAGGATAGATTTTGTTAATAGATCACAATCATAATTTTGAGCACAAAAAAATCAAACAAAATTGTAATTGATAAAAATATTGAGAAATTTCATTTAAGATTCAATCTTATTTGAAACAAAAATGCAGTAAAACTTTTTTGTATATGAACGTTGAAATTTTTACATTTATAAATAATTTCAAAAGTAACAAAGTCATAGTTAATAAGAGCAATTTAATAGATTAAAGCATCAAGAAGATTTGTTTAACTGAAACATTTTATTGTTTACAGCCCTTGTTTTCAGAGATTTAGAGATGGATCCAGTCTTACTTGCAAGCTTATTCGTTGTTGAAAGTCATAAGGTAATTTATAGATGTTTAAATGTACCTCCACTTTCTATCATCGTGTCTTGTGGATATTTGTATCAATGACAATCATACCACATCTTCTTATTTTCATATTACAACACGCTTTTACTAATAATTATAAAGAGAAGACTTATGGTACGAAATTTATATACATCGTTTACCTTGAAGCTGCTCAAGAGATAGTTCTCCGTAGATCTGCCAGTATGGTAATGCTATAATTTTCCAGATTCTCCAGAATTGCACACCCTTCAATGACCACATGTCGAAATGACTGGGGTACATATTTGCATGATACAGAACCCCTGTACACATCATGAAAATAATTAAAATCCAGACAAACTTCATCAATTCGAGTAGCTGAAAGAAATATATGAGAAATTAAGAACTGAATTAAGATAATACCCTATATCAAACATAATGCATTCATGATGGTACACACATTGTTGTTACTTATTGTTGATATCTTCTTGAAGTTTGACTGTGAAGTTAGAAATTTACAAGCTTGTTTAGGAATATTTCAAAAATTATACTATTTGTGATTTATTCTTTTGAATACAAACTTATTTTGTTACAAAAATGTGTAATAAGAATCTTCGATTACATTTTTTTTCTTAAATGGTAACTAATTTTATTAACATCACTTGATACTTTTTACCGAACTTCTCACAGTCCAGTTAGCGTGGCTTAAAGGCATGTATATTTTAATATTAAGTCGGTAAAAGTGTCATACTTTGATACTTAACTACCAGTTGTGTTTTACATATTCTTGTGTTTAATTGTTAGGACTAATATTCTGGGATTATATGTATAGTGCTTTTAGGAGCTCATTTTATATAGTGACTTCTTTCCTTAACCTTTTGTAATTTCACAGTTATATAAAAGATTAAAAAAATTAAGAGCGTGCTGACTGATTAAAAAACTAGTTGAATAATCCTATTTAATACTAATGTGCTCGGGTTCTAATAAAAGAGTTTCTGGTATTATATATCACAAATTGAGGTTTCGTCTTTTTAGGGAAAATACCAGTTTTATACTGCACTGCAATTTTCTTTTCGGTTCTCGGGATTACTATATATATAGCTAGTATATACACTAAATATTATCCTATTTGGAACACATGACAAACACTACAAAAAAGAGCGATTTCGAATGTAACGTCTCCCACTAGACACTTTTCCTCAACCTTGATACAGTATCCTGACATCGTTGCTCTTAGTCCTAAAAGCCGCGTGTTCAGGTGATGAGCAGCAAATACTAAAATCTTTCATTTAACCGGACGGGGATTGAAAACTCGACACTTGATTCCAAAATACCACTGAGGCGGTCATGCACTGAAAAAATTGCATGTGAATCATATGGGAATATGTTGTGTTTCAGAGTCTCTTTGACGTTTACCTTTATCAGAGATCACTATACTACAAAAAGGTGCCGTAATTGATTTAGTTTTTTGCGGCAGTGGGTACTGCTTTTCGAAGCCCGTCTTTGAAGAACGGCATTATCAATTTCGTGTAATTTAAAAGCAGTAAAACATGTTCAAAAAGGGATAACTTAAACTTATTTTTTAAAATTTAGAATATCAATGTTTACAGACTCGCAGTACAGTTTTGCCGTTGTTAATATCAACATTAAATGGCAAAACAAAGACAAGAAATGCCTGCCGACACCAAAAAGGCGATCATAAGTTTACTGAAAGTGGTCATCGAGTAAACAATGTTTCGGACAAGCTTTAATATAAATACGTGTACAGTTTCTAGGCTTTTGAAGCGGTTAAGGATACTGAAAATGAGCCTCGAAGTGGAAGGGAAAAAAACTGTCACCAAACAGACAGCAAACAATCTTTCAAGGAATGTGAAAACGTCTCGTGGTTCTACTTTTAAGGATATTAAATAGAGGCGAAAGATACCAAAAAGGACATTCAAACTCAGAAGTCGATAATAAACTGAGAACGCCATAGCAAAAAAAAAAAGAAAAAGACAAAAAGACAAACAACAGTATACAAAACACAGCATAGAAAACTAAAGACTGAGCAACACGTACCCCACAAAAAAACGAGTGATCTCAGGTGCTGAGGAAGGGTATGAATATCCTGCTCCACATGTTGCACCCTATACGTGTTGTACATGCAAGTACAAATCCGGTTATAAGTCTAATTTGGTAGGTCACATTCTTGGAAAAGCAGGAAAGAATTGTGGTTACGACGATTGGGACATATTTGTGAAAAAGATATTCCATAACCATGATAACGGAATAAATTGCAGTCCTCAAACGTTGGCTCATTTATGGCAACATGCTACGCAGATCTTTTTATTTTGAAATTAGATAACAACAACAAAAACTTACCATTTCGCCTATCATGATTATTTTAGGACCAAAATAATTATGGATAATCATGCACTGAAGAAATCTCATGTACATCGTGAAAAGACCAAGACTGTATAGTCTTAATGCCATTCTGTGAAAGTCAGCCGAGTTAATAGTTCTCACAAACACTGCAGCAGCAATAATTAAATACGACGCACAGGTTAACACATTCCAAATATTGAAGAAAGCTCTGCGAAATTTGAACCAATAGCCATGTTTTCGTCCTGTACAATAGTGGTTCCTAATAATCAGCTGTAAAAAGTGCAAAACATTTGTAAAAGTAAAATTTGATTCTTCTAACTAAAAGATCTACTGTATTGTTGATAAATGTAAGAACGTATTTCAAATAGAGAAAATTGACTTCTCACAACCTCTTTAAATAATACTGTACGTGTTTGTCTATAACAGGCTATTAACAAATACTTCTCATAATCATAAAAACAACCGAATGCAGCGATCATGTAATATAAACTATACATTTGAAGGGAAACTGACAACACCATGGCAAACAACAAAAATTACAAAAACACCAAAACAAAAAAACGGTGTTTTTATCATAGAAACAATCTTTTTGTAAAAGTTCTTTATGATCCTAACAAATTATCTTACACGGATATCATCAATGAAAATAACATTAACTCTGATGTATTGGAAGCGCCATTCTGGATAATATACCTTTATTTGAACAGTTCCAAACCAAAACTCAAATGTTCTTCTTGTAATTTTTTCTACAGTTCTGATTGTGTAAGCACTGTATAGAAAACAGTTTTTGATCTGAAACAATTATTTTGATTTGAACAAATCTTAAATGACACTAAGTCATTTTTAGTCTTTCAGTAAATTTTCAGACTTATTCCTGCTGTTAATTTATAACTGTTAAGACCAAAAATTTCGCTTGTAGTCATTTAAGATCTATTCAGACTATGTTCTGACTGTTCCTTAGTTGTTACTTATCTGTATACATCAACACCATACTGAAATGTCTGGTAATTGACGTAAAAACTGCACACGAGTGAATTATTAATTGTTCAGACTTTTCAGATGATGTTAAGATCTAAATGATTAAAATTCTGATACTACTGAAGTGCCTTGCAGAATTTTCAAATCAATGTTTCCTAGAAGAAAAGCCGATGTCGATGGGTGTAAAAATTCACTGTCGACTTATGTCACAGTTGTGATTAAACATTGCATTTGCCTTGATTTTCTACCACTTTACTTTAGATTCAAATCGTACCGGTATCAAATACTCTTCTGTAATATCGGCAACCAACCAGCCATACAGGAGCCATTCGTACACTCCTATGTCTTTGTAACTGTCAATTATGTTCAGATCCGTCAGAATAAAGGCACTGAATCCAACAATGACAGCCATAACAAAAAGCTAAAATAATTCAGTACATGTACATAAAAATGAAAAAAATAGTAATAAGCACACGAACTTGATTAAATGATTGAAAACAGATGTAATGCTATCTAAATATACACGACGTAATACTTACACATGCAATCTTATAAACACAACTATTATTTTAATCTATTTCATGGCTTATTCAAAATATCTAAACAAATTCCACAATAACTAAATAAATGCATAAACACGAATTTTTGGGATGAGCATCAAATTGACGAAGTTCTTAGACTTAGATTCACGCCTGTAAAGGTTCTAGAAACTTTAATATAAAAATACGAAGATGTTGTATAATTGCCAATGAGACAACTCACCACAAGAGACCAAATGTCACAGAAATTAACAACGTTAGATCACCGTACGGCCTTCAACAATGAGAAAAGCCCATACCGCATAGTCAGCTATAAAAGGCATCAAAATGACAAATGTAAAACTTTTCAAACGATAAAACTGACGGCCTAATTTATGTAAATTATAATGAAAGAAAAACAAACATGTTACAAAGCAACAAACGACAACCACTGTATTACAGTTTCCTGACTTGGGACAGGCACATACAGAATGTGGCGGGGTTAAACTTAAACACATTTTCAGACTAAACTTAATTTTGTAAATTCATGATACTTACGTAGTGGAACAAAAATACCATTAGTGGCGATAACCAAGCCTCTATGGCATTTTTCTTTCCGTTATAAAAAATCAAGTTCTGAAATACAAAATATCAAATTCTGACTAAAGCTTTTTTTTGGGGCAAAAACGATATGGATATTATCAATAAAAGATCAACACAGTCAAACTATTTCGCAAAAATCATATGAAGTAAACCACATTGTCTCCAGATAAATTGACAGTGCACTAAAACGGATTAGGTACAAAATATATTAACTAATTGGAAGCAAGTGTTACATACTCGTCCTTGTTTTTTGTGATAATTGTGTTGAGATACTCTGCTGCTATAATGAATTAATACGAAAGTAGCAAACTAATTTTAATTAAATTTGTGTAGTCCCGGCTCACAAACACAATCGTGCGATAGAAACAAGCCAACTATCATATAAATCAAGATGGAATGAGACCTCATGGCCTGATAGAAGAAATGTCCCATGCTTCACATGTTTGCCCCATCGTATGATTTCAATGCATAATCAACAGCAATTGTAAAATCTAAACCTTAAGACAGATCTCACTGTGCAAGACACGTGTTTGCGAAAACAACTTCAAGGGGTACGACCCCAAGAGTGAATTGGGAATAGAAATATGGTCACTCCTGGTCTTCTTCCGACCGGCAGTAAAACTCAAATCAATGCAAGACTCTCGTTTGGCTGTGCGGGATGTAAAAGTACGCAGCCACGTCCTGTCAGAATGGGGACGTTAGTTGCCTAGTTTAAAGAGAATGCTACGCTCTTTGCACTTTAAGAATCCTTGCAACAATTCTTTCAGGAGTCCTTAGGTGACCAGTAGGAAGGCGAAATTTCAGTCCCTATTCATATACCCGTATACCCAAATTTTAAAGTGGCAGTCTTAATTTCCCCGACCTTCTTCCTGGACGGCCTCTATTACAAGAGCTACCTATTGTATTTATTGTTAATTAGTTCTCGTCCTGAATTTGCATGAAATATTTGCCACTGGACGCTGAGCAACCAACTATAAGCCATTTTTATAAGTTATATAGAAACTAAGGTTTTCAATTTGATAATTTTAGAAAGGTTTTTTTAGAAATTCTCCTTTAGGATGTTCCAATCTATAATGAAAAACATTTCATATTTTATAAACTGAAGATTCATAAAAATATGTCAATTATCGCCAATATACTGACAGTTAATCAGATGCGCCATCGAGAGAAAAGTAAGAATAAAGACACGATAAAACCAGGCATAATGGTTAATGGATGACAGTGAATGTTTAAGATTCATAGTAGAGTAGCAATGTCAAATTGAGTAACTTGAGAAATTTGACTAAAAGACCTTAAAAGAAATCTTTTTTTTTTGTATCAATTTTGAATTGATAGGTCGTTTTTCGTTTTTACTTGACTGGAGTAATATTTGAAAGAAGAAACTAATTTTTTTAAGAGAAATTATTGTTGACAATGGATTTAAGACAGATGGATCTAACACATGATATATTTGGGCAGTTGGAATGTTCCAAGCACAAACAAAACATCGAAATAAACTTCATGTACGTAATAGGAAATTCTTAAACAATAAATAAACGCAGGGATCATTGAAAAAAACTAACAGGATTGTAAACAAATATACGCAATAAATGCTCCTGTAAGTACATTACAGTCATACAATTGAGAATTTACTCTCTTTGTGTGGTTTGTCGCCACCTTTCAATCGCGGGTTTTTCAATCATTTGACGATCTTACTTGGAGCTTACTTATTTCATCAAATTTGGCTGGCTATAATCTACATCTCTAACAGGAAAACATTTATTGAATTATTGTTTTTTGGAGGAAGGGGCGGTGTTTAGCAAAGAAACGCAAACTTTGCATATATTAATGGGTAGCTACAGGTTTCCAACACAGTCCTGAGTAAAACAATTCGATTTTGATATAGAAAATAATAATGTTCTGGCTTTACAACTGACGTATTTTTTCTATAGTATTTTTGGGGTAAAGGCAAAACTTTCATGCCGGTTGATTTTGCTAGTCATCAAGATGCCAATTTTTTTCAGGCATGAAGAACAAAAACTCATTTAAGATTCTAGATGCGTGTTTTGTCAGCATAAGACTTATCAGTGGCGCTGGAGAAGACGTTCTATGTTGACAAAAATCTTGTGTCTGATCCCATTGTCATTGTTTTTGGACAATACGCAATGTTTAAACTATCAGTGCCGCTAGAATAAACACTAAATTGGGTCAAGAAGAGCAAAGACCTTTCAAGGCGTTACAAAAACAAAAGTCACTTTATTTAAGTCATCAAAGAAAACGATGGTGATAGATATTCAGACGCAGATTCTCTGAACGATAAAAAAAAACTTATTTTCAAATAGTGGCGATGAAAGCAATATAACCCATCTAAAGTGTTCTGTAGAAAGTAACTATGAACGCAATATTACCCATCCAAAGTCTGTCAGTTTAGCTGCTTTCGCAGTTGCATCAGTTTTTAATTTGTCATGGGGGTTGTGGTTGTACCATATTCTATTAAGACGTCTCTGGATGCAGGGATGTCCTATTACATCTTTCATGTTGTTTTCATATGCACATGCCATAGGTGAAACAGTTATCCCCCACACTCTGTCTGGTTGTTGCATTAACAACATCGAATCGTCTTCACATTCATCATACAATGTATTCTGCATACGTAGTACTCTGTCCTCAAATAATCTAAATATAAGTATGCTTTGATTTATAATTGAATTGTTTTATAAATTATAAGTTTGATAGGTTATTTCCCTAACGTCTAGTAAAAACATTTAGTATAGCATATAAGAATATTTAACATGATTATTGAAATGCCCAGAGGAAATATATCAAAACAACGGTTCAGGGAAAAATATTTTAAAACTAGAGGCTCCAAAGAGCCTGTGTCGCTCACCTAGGTCTATGTGCATAATCAATGATGGACTCTCTCCAACACTGTAGACAAGAATAGAATTCATGAAAATTTATTGTAATTTTTATCATATAAGGCAAAAAGCAAAAAAAGGTAAAAATCGTCATTAAAGGGCAATAACTCCAATAAGGAGTCGTCGGAAAATTTCCTTCATATTGCCTTAAATGTAGATCTTGTCTTGTTGATCATTTTTGCAAATTAAGTTTCTGTCTATCTATTATAGTTTTTAAGTTATAAGACAAAAACGCAAAAATATGGTAAACATCGTCATCAAAGGGCAATAACTCTAATTTGGAGTCGACTGACATACTTGTCCGTAGATATTGTCTTGCTGGACATAAAGTTTCTCTCTATCTATCATAATTTTCTAGATATAAGGCAAAAATGGAAAAAAATGTTAAAATTTGTCATTAAATGACAATAGCTCCTATAAGAAGTCGCTTGACAGTTTTCACGTCAACGAGTAATTGATAGAGCTCATTTTTGCCCTGTCAGATTTTCTCTATTTATAAAGGTTTTCAAAATAATAGACAAAACTTGCACTTCACCCCCTATGTTCTATTTTTAGCCATGTCGGCTATCTTGGTAGACAGGCGGGGTCATTGGACACATTTTTTAAACTGGTCGAGTTGTTTCGGAGATTTTCGTAAAAGTAAACGGATAATGACGGACGACGGACGCCAAGTGATGTAAAATGCTCACTTGGCCCTTTTGACCGGGTAAGCTAAAAAAAAAATACATGACCATTAAGGTTTTACTTTGTCATATTTCCCCATATTTTGTAATTCGTTTATGTTTAAAAACATTCACCTTACAATACTCTTTGCAGGATTTGAAATACAAAATTTTGAAATATAAATCAATAAATGTCTTGAAAATAAATCAATGTAAATCTTAAACGGTAACCGTAAATGAAAGATTTATTATTTCTTTCCATTGCTCTATCATTTCATAAAACTTGAAAAATAAATTAAAATAACTGTTATGATTATGAATAACTACTAGTGTACAAAACGCTATTACTTATTCACACGAAAGAAGAGAACATGCAAAATGTTCTGAAGTTGGATAGAAAACTCTTGTTGACATCAAACACAAATCATATAATTACCATTTTACAATCTCATATCTCTTTTGATTCCTTTTATCATTTTACTATCACTAATATGACTTGAGAAATTACATGATGTTCAATAAATAGAGCTTCAACAAAAACGTATTTTTTTTAATCTTTAAAACGTAACAATGTTCATGAATCTTTTCTCTCTAAGTCACTTGTATACATGTAACCATACTATAATTACTTTGAGTGCTGAATTAGTTCTTCGTGTAGTTTTCTGTCTTTTGCTGATTCTACTTTGTCGGCCATGTTTTTAAGAATACTACTCGCCATAATCGCTGTTACTGTAAGAATATAACAGGTGTTTGTTTTATTTTACAAGAGCATGTAACAATTGCAAACATGCAGCATGCAGAAAGTCGATAAAAAAATTAAAACGTACCGCAAAAAAAAGGAAGAACGACGAACAAACAAACAACAGTTATAAACAACACTACACAGGAAGCTAATAAATGAATGAACTATACCGAAAACACCCAGGTGCTAGGGAAAGTAAAAGCATTTTCCGCTCCTTCGGTAGCAATCGTCATTTCAAAGTTAGCAGACGATGGGTTTGTGACTACGTCAAGTGCAACACATTCCTAGTTAACAATAGTCAATGAAATTATATTCACTTATATAAACTAAAAACCTTCTTGTCCTCGAAGATTTGCCATAGAAAACAAACAATGTCAATTTTGGACAATTAATTTCGCAATAAGATTTAGTGAATGCCAAAAAGTAAAAGACTGAAAAAGTTCTTCTGGTAAACTTAGTTATTTTAAAATCAAAGGAATATCCGTAATCGACCACTAAGTCTATCTTTATAAAAACCTTAAGATGTGCAGACACTTTTTTTTGGCAAGATTCAGACTGTGTGTCTGAGCACTATACAAAACAATGTTTATTCTCGGGTATATGTACAGTGATATATGTCCAAAAATATATTCATGACCGTTATTTAAAGAGCATATCAATAAAGTATAAAGATTGAACATATAAATTTTCAGTATCGCGATTAGTGTGATATCGTCAGTAACGATTTGTTTTTACCATATAAAGATTACCACAAAATCAACATACATAGTGGACTTGAACATTTTGTCCAAAATACTCCAGCCAGCCTTGTTTTGTTTCCAAATATAGCCCAAGCCAGTAAATCATGATAAATGTCTGTAATAAATAATATATTTAGCTGGTTGTGTCTTATTCTAGGCTGCAAACATACTGATTAAAAAAACATTTTATATAAGCGGGAGGTTTGGCTTGCCATAAAACCAGGTTCAATCCACCATTTTCTTAAAATGTCATGTACCAAGTCAGGAATCTGACAGTTGTTATCATAGAGTCCGTTTCTATGTATGTTGGCGTTTGTTTTTGTAACAGTTCAGTGTTTCTGTTGTTCCGTTGTTTTTCTAATATAGTTGATGTGTTTCCCTCGGTTTTGGTTTGTGACCCGGATTTGTCTTTTTGACTATTGACATTACAACTGTTGCCTTTATCTAAAAATATTTGGACAATTAATTGCAACAAATTTCTAGTTTATTTGTTTATTTAGTTTATTAAACAATTTGCCAAAAGTTGTGTTGGCCCGTCCATCAGTAATAACACTGTTGTCGCCAGTTTAATACCAACATTATATTCATTGATCCTCTTCAAAATTGTACGAAGGTTTTCGATTATAGTTAAGGTTTTTACTCACATAAAATAATGATGAGTTCGACATTAAGGGAAATCTAAAATTTGGGGAAGTTTTGCGGACTAGACTTTAAAATATTTAATATTGATTCTTTCTAAAGCGATGACGAGCATTCATTTAGTCATCTCTCTTCAAATATGTATTTCCAATTATCATAGTATTTGATAAGTTCCATAAATAAAATAACTAAGGACCATTTTCTTTCGGGAGTAGTACACTTGTTAAATATGCAATATTAATGTGCGTCGCCGGTAAAAAGCCTTCATTTTAAACCAGAACCTCTTCCAATTTGGAAGATTGGAGATAATCTTAGGTGAGAACGTTGGGTTATGTGAGCATGGCAAATAGAAATAGAAAGCAACAATATAACATAAGAAAGCGTTTCATAAAAAAAAACATGTGTCACATTATTTAATAACGTTAACGTTTGTATTTTGTTCAAAACATTTGTTTGTTAATCGGCGAACCTGTGTTTTAAAGGGGCATTAGCTGTCAAATTCATTTTCACCGATTTGACTCAAATTCTCATATTTGATTTATAACGTACTTAAACGTATATCCAAATTACAATAAGTCTGAATAAACAGTTGACAATGCATGTATTCGATAATATATATATCAGAATTTCGTGTGTATTTTAGTCTAGACGTCATCTAATTAACTATCGAGATGACCTCCGAAGACTGTCGACGGTCGCATAATCCGATATAAACATCAACATAGATTTAAATAGAGCGACCTGATTTTTTGTGTATCGAATCAGTCAACGAAATGGTTCACCTTTGTTTCACTTTCCATGTTGACATTCTTTTCCCTTAAATGGCTAAACACGACTAATACATGCGTAACCAATCTCTAGATAATGGGTGAAACTGAAGGTCACATAAATACGGATTCCATGAGTTTGAATTATTCACTTGCAAGTTAATAATTCATCAGCGCTGTCTCTTTGCCTATTTTGACAAAATTGAATCAAATTGGCTGCTCAAAGCGAATTATTATTTCATCATTTCACTTTTATTTATCATCTTCTATTTTGTTTCATATCTCGTAGCTAATGCCCCTATGATACTGTTGTAACACTCATTTTCTTTACCTGAGCTATCTGAATCTCCGGGTTCTACTTTGCACGAACGTTTTTCTTTTTTTACTAAAATTAAATAAAAAAACAGTATTTAGACAGTACTTAGTGTCTTTTTGTTGTTGGGATGTACAAGTACCCGGCCACGTTCACTCTGTGTTTTTGTTAGATGTATTTATATTTGTATCCATCTAATGAGTTAAGCCTTTTTCAACTGATTTTTATAATTCGTTCTCATGTTGTACTGTTACACCACTGTCCCAGGTTAAGGGAGGGTTGGGATCCCGCTAACATGTTTAACCACGCCACATTCTGTATGTATGTGCCTGTCCCAAGTCAGGAGCCTGTAATTTAGTGGTTGTCGTTTTTTGCTGTGTTACATATTTGTTTTTCGTTCATTTTTTGTATATTAATTAGGCTGTTAGTTTTCTCGTTTGAATATTTTCACATTTGTGATTTCGGGGCCTTTAACAGCTGACTATGCGGTATGGGCTTTGCTCATTGTTGAAGGCCGTACGGTAACCTATAGCTGTTAATTTCTGTGTCATTTGGTCTCTTGTGGAGAGTTGTCTCATTGGCAATCATACCACATCTTCTTTTTTATATTATACACTATAGTACTGTAGCAAATAAAATGGTAGCTTTTAAAGGTCTTGCAAGACGAAAGACCCTTTCGATCTAAATCTTACTTAAATTTCAAGCTATTTTTCAATTAATTCAGTAGTTTTGTCAGACATTTTCGTTGCACTCAATTCACATCAATTCATAATTCAAAACTGGACAAAGCAGCTATGTGTGACACAAAATATATTTTTATAATTCTGTTTTAGAAATTGAAGACGAATGGTGGAATGACGAATTTCCTAGTTACTTTATTTATAGAATCATATTGATCGACCGTCATTTAACATCAAATTTATCAAATTCAGAAACTTTTTTCCAAAAATGTTTAAGAAAATATTTGTGGGTGTTTCAAAATTAATATTGAAGATATTCACACTGCATTTATTCATACACAGACAAACAATTATAGGAAACTAATACTAATAAGGCAAAAATTTGACTGACTTTACTTGAGTGTAGAACACACAATGCCAACCAAATGCAGGAAAATGAAGTACACCCTTTTCCCTACAGTTTTATTTTCGTTTTATATTAAGTATGGAATATATTGAATAGTAAAGCAAATCAAAGGTTTACACTTACTACATTTATCTTAATAATTTTGCAATTCGTATCGAAATCAAGCTGATAAATACATCTACTTTACCTTTTGCGTGATTCAAGAGTTCCTGACAAAGATATCGTGCCTTCTTACTGACATCAACGCATTTTCCATCTTTGCCCTTCGATTTTAGTCTTTTAGCCCGGTCGTGTCTTACACAGGTACATTGGTAGTCCTTGTCATGCACTGAATATTCATGGGATGTCTTTGCTTTTTTATTACGTTGACATTTACGTCTCTCAAAAGAACATTCGTTTGTACATGTACACCAAATCTTTTTGCATGTCTTTTTGCATGTACGCTGAAATAAATATTAATATTTATATTCATTTAAAGGTAGCACTTTATTTCTTTTTCAATTATACCTGTCTTCTTGGTTAGTTTTGTTGGTCACAGTATGTTAAAAGAAAGTATAAAGACACACCCACGTTCATTTTGATCTATAAAGAGGTTAAACTCCTAACTATCCTACTGTCTGTCGATACATTTATTTTTGGCATTGCACAAGTCAAGTCTTCTTTGACTGTCCATGACGTTAAAATACTAAATCCCTGGGATGTGTTTTAGTTGATTTTAGTCTCTGATGCATGATTTTTTATTATTAACTGTTTTGGCTTTTAACTAGCTGTCTGTGACTGCGAGTGCTCTCAAATCGTACTTTCTTGTTTATTTGACCTGTTGATACTAATTGTAATGTTTTTTTGTTATTTAATGTTATTCAGGGTTATATCTGTTCTATATACCAGCTTTGATAAGTGTTTGGTATTACTATAAATTTTCACTTCGTACTATGAACATCAAAATTATTTATTTTATAAAAATATTTCCTTTCTGTATTGGAACTGTACACGTATACCTAACAACAATATTATTTTCATATACCTGTGTTTAAAGTTATTGCAACTTGCTGATATTTTTGTTCAAGCATATTATTTTTCTTAAATTGTTTAACATTTCATACCGATATAACATGTTACTTTTATTATTCTTCCCTTAGTTTATTTATTTTGTATTTACATTGTATCATAGGTCAAATTTATTTGTACAGTGTATGTTCACTGGTGTTAATATGTCCTTTGATTGAGTTAAGCTATTTCAGTTGATATTTTATAGTGTGTCTTTCTATGTTGTGATGTTATACTATTGTTTCAGAAAAAGGTGAAGGTTTGGTACCATTAAAACGTTTAAACCCGCTGCATTGTTTGCACCTGTCCTAAGTCAGGAATCTGATGTTCAGTAGTTGTCGTTTGTTAATGTGGTTCATAAGTGTTTCTCGTTTCTCGTTTTTTATATAGATTAGACCGTTGGTTTTCCCGTTTGAATGGTTTTACACTAGTAATTTTGGAGGCCCTTTATAGCTTACTGTTCGATGTGAGCCAAGGCTCCGTGTTGAAGACCGTACCTTAACCTATATTGGTTTACTTTTATAAATTTTGACTTGGATGGAGAGTTGTCTCATTGGCACTCATACCACATCTTCTTATATCTATTTGTTGATCAAATTTATGGTGAAATGTTAACGAGTTGGGTTTTAAGTTGTATTGCATAAGCAAATTAATCTCAAATGTGAAGAGGCGTAGGCCTTAGCGTCTCATCGGCACTCATACCACATCTTCTTATATCTATATATAAAAGATTACAAGGAGGAAATCTTAAACCATAAGTCGAATAAAAAGCAAAAGAAAAACTACTTTTAGACAAACATCAATTCATAAAGCACTATACAGAAAACAAAAGATTTGTTCAACAAGAATCTTACCAAAAGCCGGAGCTAAACTCGATTGTTTCATTAGGGATGAGCAGTTCCTGTTCCATTTTATGAACCCGTGATGCTATATTACTGTTAAAACTCGTTGATAAAATATGAAAGTCAAAACGAAACAAGTGAGGATACATGTACGTTTACAAATATTTTCTGTCAAAAATTAAAAAATCAATAACTTGCAATAAACAAAGCTAGATACATAATTAGATCATATTTCGGAAAATACATTAAGAAAAGACAAATCAAGGCAATAAAAAACTAATGAAACTTCATGTACTAAAAAAGAGCGAGACTGATGATATCACAGGGTGAACGTCTCCGGCTTTGCATTAATGTATCATTACTCGATGAAGCATGTTGGTGTTACGTAGCACCAACAGCTCAAGACATACTCACGTAATGAATTGAGTGAATTTTTCGACAATCTTTAGCCTCACAACTTGGACATTTCATAGTCTGAAAAGAAAGATACAAATTAAAATGTATCAATGTATTATATATTATCTACATGTTATATAAATAAGCTTCTACAACCTGTACTATTTTTAGTTCAAAATTTGAAAACAAAATCTGCAGTTCTAGTTCAGCCTGACAACTGAAAATGATTGACTGATGGCATGTATGATGTTCGCGTAACGTCCAATGACAAAAATTTCATGCATATTCTGGTCGAGGACTGGACAGTTAAAACAATCAAATAGGTAGGATCTGCAAAATGGATAGAAAAAGAGGTCGTGTTGAATAAAATAGCATTGTTACATGCCACCCATAGAACCTCAAAGAGTTCGTTAAAGGGTTCGATCTCTACCATACAGGGAGCGTGGCCTCCTTACATAGGACATGACGTCTGACCAAACGTGCCTGCGTACTTATTCATCCCGCTCATAACTTGTTCTACTGCGTGTGTATAGCGTTTATATTTCTATAACAGTCAGGCCTTGAGTTGCCATTGGAAATGCCCTGTCTCGGTAACTATATTTCTAAACCACAGTCAACGCTTGGGGTACAATATAAAATGCCATGATTCATTGGTCAAGAATCTGCACTATATAGCCAATTTAAAGAAGATACAAATATAGATAAAGATTATTAATATGCACTGATCAACAAACAATTACCTCATCATATAAAATTTCCAGAAAAGCAGGATTAAACTTAACGCCGTTCTGTATCATTGCTGAGACATAATCGACACGATCGGCTACGATTGCTTCCAAAAGGAGTAACTCCAGTTGTTCCTAATGTGAAAAAAGAGAAAATTAATATATGAATAACACTCGTAAAACATAGGACTTTTTACGTACATAAGATCGATCAGGCATTTGGTGTCTCCCTTTTACCACAATGATTACCACGCCACTACACAGTGCATATATTTAACATTGAACACCATATTGTGATTTTAAACAGTTAAATAAGATCAAGAGTGTAACCACGGTGTAGGAACGGAAATATATATTGAATTAATCATTTTAACATCTCTGCCAGATTTGTGACTCTATAGCGAGGACTAAGTGATTGGTAAAAACATGATACATTTTGGTCATAAATCCTACTCTGAAGTTGCCTGGGCTAACTGTGTAAATTTCCGAAAAAAAGAACTAGATATGAAGACATCTTAGTTTCAATGTTATCCTCAATGTCAAATTCAATGTGGCGTGTTATATTTATTTGGATCCGCAAACTTCGATTCTGACTTGAAGTGTATTCGAAAAGATTGACCGTTTCTAGGTCAATATCCCTAATGCACATCAAATTGAGGAACTCAAAAGATGTCCGTAAACATAAATCTCTTTGCAGCTATATTGGACATATTTCAATTTTTAGCAAGTGACCGAGCTTAACCATTTGTGCTGACCATAGAATAAAGGTGCAAAAACAATGGAGTTATAAATGTATGCAAGTAACTAAATTTTCAAAGAACTTATGATTATTCTGTGAATAAAGGATTTGTTACCTCGAGAAGCCGCATGTCTAAAGACTTTTCGGGGTGTGTTAAATTACGGGAAAATGAATCTCACTTCGTACTCTAAAATCTAACCACATATGTGAAAATGTCTCAGCTTCGAAAAAAGTAAAATCACAAAAATACTGAACTCCGAGGAAAATTCAATCGGAAAGTCCCTAATCACATGGCAAAATCAAATGACAAAACACATCAAACGAATGGACAACAACTGTCATATTCCTGACTTGGCGAAACGAGCCATCGTACATATCAAAGTTTACGATATGAACAGGGGAATTGAGGAAAAGGCTATCATTACCGCCTACCTGAAATGAATTTCATCGTTACCGCGTACCTGAAGTGAATTTCGCATCTTGGCCCATCTCACCGAGAATATCATCACCTATCAGTCAATGCTATAGTATCAAATGATTAGAATGAAATATTTAGACATTTATTTGTATCTAAAAGTAACGTGATTATACTAAAACTAAAGCTGAAACACCTCTTGCAAATTTGACCTTAGACGGTTTGACTGATTTGCCCTTTCTTTATGCTTTCTTCATTTACAATTATATCTATAATATATCATATACACACAGTTGGAATATTATATGTGTATAACAGAAATATTTCCAGAAATCCTTAATGGCAAAGTATTAACACGCAATTAGAACAATAGCGACTATGAAACTGACAGGTTGAGATTTTTTTTATTGAACCTATTGGTCATTTCGGATGTATTCCTTTAACATTATATGCCTGCAAATTATTGTTCTCCGCGGTCATAATTCATTATATCTGCGGGATAAATATGGTGAACATTTGCAAATATATGAATACATTGTACAATTAAATAAGTAAAATCATACTTTCTATACTATGAACTTTCTATTATAAAGAAGAACATGGAGAAATAAAGAATTGTGTCAATTGTTAGATCTGTAGTTATCCATCAAGACTTTCATTTTTTATTTAAACCTGTGAAAACATTAAAATTTACAAAGAGATGGAATAAGAACTATAGTGGAGATCACTTCCAACCTCTCATTAGAACTGTCAGAATAATCTGTCTTAGAACTGTTCTAAACTGTCCTAGAACAGTTCTACCTAGAAGTGTTCTAAGTAGAACTGTCAGGATCAGTTCTAGGCTAGAACTGTATAAACTGTTCTAGGTAGAACTGTCCAAATCAGTTCTAGTCGTAGAACTGTCAGCAGAACTGACCAAATCAGTTCTAACCGTAGAACTGTCAGCAAAACTGTTCTAGCCGTAGAACTGACCAAACCTGCCAGGAGTGTAGAACAGTTCTAAATGACGTCACCATTCAGTGTTATTCATATCGTTGATAAAGCCAAACGCAAAATGAGAATTTTTTTGATATATATTATATTCATTTGACTTATTTATATTTAAGACAAAGAGTTCTTAAAACTGTTCTATGGATAGAACTGACTAAATCAATTCAGCCGTAGAACTGACTAAATCAGTTCTAATCGTAGAACTGTTCTAGTCGTAGAACCGACCAAAGATTTGGTCAGTTCTAGGTAGAACCGTCTAAAACTGTTCTAGGGTAGACCTGTCAGGATCAGTTCTAGGTAGAACTGTCTAAATCAGTTCTAGATAGAACTGACCAAATCAGTTCTAGGTTAAAACTGTTCTAGCTAGAACTGTCTAAAAGGTGTCAGGATGACAGTTCTACATACTTTCCTAGAACAGTTCTCCTTACAGATTCTGACAGATTTGATGAGAGGTTAGAAGTGATCTCCACTGTAACAGTTTCTTTTGTGCAAGACATAGAAGTGCGTGCATTCGGGAACATTGGAAGAGAATAGAATGTTTTCCTTTACTTTACCTGTTTTCCATCCGTGTACTTTTCCTGTATATACTGGTAGGCAATATAAAAGTAAAGGGACAAAGAGCCTGGTGTTAAGGCTATTTGGTAACGTTCCATCAAACCTGTCGATGGTACTTTGCCGCCATTACTGACAGTTGTATCTGAAACATTAACAAATCAATTTACTGATGAAATCTATTCAATATATACAGCTTTAGGTTTATTTTCACCAAAAGCCGATATCATCACCACGAAACATTTCTAATAGCCATAAAGATACAAAAGAATATGCTACCAACATGACTTAATGATTAAAGCCATATTTTATATTGTTATTTATTTACGACTGTCAAATATTAAAGTGGATATGACGAGATGTTGACAATAATTTACAACTTGGTGGATGTGAGTTTTGTCCAAGTTTTTTTTCAGGGTATTCTGTTCGTCAAATATTTTGAAACAGATTTATAGCCTGTATACATGTCTCAATTTTCATGAGCATAGTTTGTCTTAAGTTTAATTGGTTTGACTTTTCCTTTATTGAATTCTTCACTTTTATTTCAATATCAATAAATGTATAAGAAGATCGCTACTCTATAGCGAAATGTCCCCTACCGCTGTGCTGTAATAAAGAATACAAGTGTGTTTACATTATAGAGTTGTACCACAGAATAATATATCATATCATAAAGCATATTTCAACCTTTTGTATGTGGTTCTGTTATTTTTGTAATTCAAGGAAATGTGGAGTTTTGGCAAATTAGGGAATAGGATTCCAATAGGTCAATCCAGGTCATTGTGGTTCAATAGTAAAACAAATGGTTAGAGTCTAATATCCATCGTAAAAATGTAACTCAAAGGACGTCACAGTATGGTCAACTACACATGATGGCAAACAATCCTTCCAAGTAGAAGAGCATTTTGTTCAACGGTTCCAGAGAAATTGTGTTCTTCATGTGTTATTGTGATATGATAGTTAATAAAAGTTAAATGATAGAACCAAAACGACAGTACACTATTGCCAACAACACATTATTTTCATGCAATCTTACTAACTATGAGAGATTTTGCCAAACAATGTAGAAGGAGTTGCGAATACAAGGAGTCATTGTAGTACATTTTTACAAAAATGTTCGAAGTCCCGGAACTCTCGGAAAAATGGTCAACTCAAAATGTCAGTAAAATATCGTCAACTACAAATGTCGGCAAACATTTCTATGAGATATTTCTATCAAACGGTCTTAATGGCGTTGGGTTCAGAATGTCTCATTATGGAATAGTTCAGCCCAGGGCATACTCTGAAAAATATCCACCATCTGCTATGTCCCCTATATGTAGTAGCCGTTTTATGGGAGTCATGATAAATAATGGGATGATGGCCATTTTTAGGGTCATAAAGCATGGGCTGAAACACTATCCAATTGATATCAACAACATACATGACACACATTATCAAGATATTTTAAATCTTTTTTCTGAGCCTTTTATTAACATTCATCAAATGTCTGAATTTATTTCATACCTAGTTTGTGACTTTTTTTCTTGTGAGCTTTTTTAAGACTCTTTTTCCGCTTATCTATTTATAATAGGAATTATCAAATAATCCTAAAACAATTTACGAACCAATTCTGATTTTTAAAATCGATTTTCTGTATAGATATATATATATATATATAGATATATATATATATATGCATTCAGAAGGAAAATACACATTGTATACATGCATTTCTGTTACTTCGTATGAATCAAATAAATTTCAGAATCCAAATAACAGATTTGGATACATACCTCCGCAAATTTCAAAGAACAAAAATGTTTATTACATTTTGCTGTCATATATATTTTGAAACATCAATAGAGAAATGAACAAATTGGCAAAATTGTATGTAAATAAAGTCCTAAACATAATCTTCAACATTTGTTAAATAAAGAAAATAATCAATGGTTATAGAAAACGGATAAATTAATTCAGTTGAAATAAGACCACTTAAGTAAATTCTTATACATAAACCCCAAACCTCATATCAAATTGAAAAAAAAACAACAGTTTCCTTCAAAAAGGTGTTATTTGAACTGAGGTCATGAGATTCGAATATTATTATTAGTATTATTATTATTATTATTATTATTATTACTATTATTAAGCTATATGTTCAGCTAGTTGTATATTTGTTTTATATCGAGTTATTGTTTTGTTATAATTATCATTTTAATCAAATGCACAATTTGTATTTTACCTGAGTCACATCATACACATTTATAATTTACCTGACACTCAACATTTAAATTGATAAATAATTTAAACACTTAAATACAATAGAAATGATTTGATCAATGCCTAATGTATAAATTAAGCTACATGTAGTTTAATTATGGACATACATGTATCATGGTAGACATTGTGTTAATGGAGTTTTTGCCCTGTAGGATAGTAAAAAAAAGGCCGTAACTCCGATGAAAATGGTCAAGTCAAAATGACAGTTCAATATGGTCATAAACATATGGTGGCAAATTATGTACAATTTTTGTTTAACAGTCTTAAAGGAGTTGCGTAGATGTGGTGTACTTCTGATACGATAGTTATAAAAGTTGTCCAAGTCAATGTATAATAACGCTTATAATAACCCTTCTACAAGGCGTCATTGGTACAATTCTATAAAAAGAGCTGTTCAAGGTACCATAACTCCCGTAGAAATAGTGAAGTGAAAATGGTGATAGAATATGGTTAATTAAATATTATGACAAGTTCGACCGTAGGGAGGTCTTTGTTTGGACAATCCTGACACACCGAGAAAAAAAGAGAAAATTTACCAAACAGACGTTTTATTCCATTAATTAAGTCTCTTTCGAAGAGAAATGCCAAAATACATTTTACGCATGGCTGCGTCAGGTAAAATTATTATTTATTTTAACAACAAAAAACATTTTTCAGTCTCATTATATGTTATGATTACAATTAATCCCAAACAAAAGTAGTCAGTCAAAAGTCAAACTCTGTCCGATCTGACGTTTTTTGGACATCAAAAATTAATACGATCGTTTTAAGGTCAATTTCGACTACCTCACAAAATCTTGTTATGCACTATAAAAGTGTTAATGTCCCTTTATTGTAGCGATAAATTTACCAAAAGTTAAAATGTGCATCAACGACGATTTTTGATATTTCAGTCGTATAAACGGAGGAAATGATTGTTTTTGCCTTAAAGCTTTCAAAAATATTAAAAAGTAAAACCCCAAATGGCAACAACACACGATAAATATGAAACGAATTTACTGTTAAATAAATTTTAGTTTGCATTTTAATCAGGGAAAATAAAGACCTTTCACAGGTCATTATTTTACGCCTTGAAGTATATTTCATTGAAACTTGGTATCGTCCGGTTTGATTCTTCGAAAGAATGACCTATCGTTCTGAAAAAAAATAACTCAATATAGGTATATAAACATGAATATAGCTCTGATAGGCTTTTTATCGATTATAACAATGTATACAAAACAAAGCATCATTATAAAAATAAGGAGATATAGTATGATTGCCAATGAGTCAACAATCCACCAGAGTTCAAATGAAGTGGATGTGACAAGTATAGGCCACCGTCTAGCAAGCCTGTATACGAATTTAAATGATACTATCTGACAATAACAATCTGCAGTTCATTTAGAAAGGGCCTCTCGGAGTCACCCAAAAGCAGCCAAGCATTGGTAGAAATAGAAAAGTTTTAAAATAAGCACCAGATAGCAAAACAATTCATATAAGCTATAAAGTTAAGTAAATAGATTAAATGGAGTAATTAGTTTTGGCCATAAACTTTGATTCATAACTACCAAGAACAAGTGTGCTGTTAAAGAAAATACAAAGAGCCTGTCGATAAACTTTATCGCCGAAAAGCGCATTGCATATTTACTTTTTCTTTAAAAAAAAGGTTTAATGTAAGTTGCAGCAGACCATTAAATCAAATAGGGAAACGATTGTGTTGAAAGTCCTAAAGGCTTAATTATCAACTGAACTAAAAGGACAGCAAATGAATGTAATTCATAACGTCGAAGGATTTTTTTACGCAAAAAAAAATTAATTCCATTATTTTCATATGCTTTATTACACAAGTTATTACTTACTATTTGAGTCTCTCGCGCACGAACCTGAATGTAGAAGAAGTTTTAATTTCATTCTTTAGATTTTCAGTGTAGTTTTTTGTGTGATACCACCGCCACATTGTTGGCTGCTTTGTATGCCGGTAGGAATACAATCTCCTTTGCGAGTACTTGATATTTTTTTTTCTTCTTCTAGAAATGGTCATATTATGTACCATGTTATTTACTCAATTATTTTCAAAATTTGATATTCGAACACCACAATATTCATACATGTATTAACATGAGAATCAAGAGTTTTTGTTTAACACATTTTTCCTGTATCCACCAATTTTTCCAATAGAACAAAAAAAGCCTGTTCATTGATCTGACGACACTGTATCCAATCTACTTTCGATTGAGGACGATATTTGGTCCTTTTTTCATAAAATTTTTAACCACTTGGTCTTAAACGATTTTGATGTCCCCTGTAATACATGTGTCACATAACCATAGGAATCATATCTAAGATTCGATGATTCACAGTCTCAAGTTGAAGGAGAATTATTTATGAAGGTTGGTTGAGAACAAAACATAAAGACACAATGGATCATTTACAGGGCCTTCAGATGGGCATATCGCTCTCCTTTTAAACGATATTTCAGAGCTTGTGTTTCATACCATGATGAGGGTTGCTTTTTACAAAAAAACTTTTCAAACAAATATAATCTTCGAAAGTGTAACGGACGCCATCACGAGTTGGTTGACAGTTCTGGAATATTTAAGTCACAGATGACCACATATATTCTATTGGCGTAGACACAATCTCGTCCTTGTTTACTTGATTGTGACATAAACTCATCATAGATACCAGCGAATGAGACTAATAATCGAATTTGTACTTATCATGATCAACATGACGGATGGCACGTGTGGAGCAGGGTCTGTTACCCTTTCTGAACACAAGAAATTTCCCTTTTGTTTTGGTGTGGTAAGTTATATTATGATCTTCAACGTCTTTTTGTTTATTGTTACATTTCTCTCTTGTAGGGCATCAGCTTGTATGGCTAGGTGTACAATCAAATCTTGAAACTCTTGGCATTTCTCACCAGATGATTTGCTGTCTTCTTTTACAGCATTCGATGTGTTCGTCTGTGCTTGTCCATTTCCACTACTAGGATCCTCTGAATTTAAATATCAAATAAGTCTATTAAACAAAGTTTAGAGACTGCTGTTTCAAGCTAAACAACCCTTCTTCATAGACATCGATTTTATTGTTACATTAAAAGTATCGACATTCGTTCTCTGTTAATCTATAACTATTAAAAAACACTCTGGAAATATAGTTTTTCAAATTCATTCAAGTGATATTGATAATAAATATTAGAAAGAGTTGGTATGTTTGTGAATTGGTTTGTCAAAAAGGTTTTCAAAAAATTATGATATTAAATTCTACTAGTTGTTAACATTTTTGTTCGCTGGTCTTTGGTTAATAGTTTTCTCACTGGCAATCATACCGTATCTCCTTATTTTTATTCTACGAAGGTACACTTGTATATACAAATTTTGTATCAAATGTTCGTATATCGTTCCTCAATCATTTCTCACATTTTTATGCAAATTTAGATATCAAAAAGGAGAATAATTAGTCTAATGTCGAATGAGTATACACCGATTCACTAGTATATTTTAAAAATACCATAAAAGTCATAATTACTATTGTAATATCATACATCAGTTTGAATACAATAAATTATCAATGTTAATAAGTGATCCATTACATTGCGATATGGATTTAATTAATTATCTGAATAGGTTTACAGTAGCTTCCAGTTGGTACCCTAGGAACTTGCAGTTGGTAGCACATTGAAGCATACAGCTAACGAGCTATTACTTCCCGAGTGTATCACCAGAAGATAGCTATTACTTCGATAATGACATGAAAATACGGATATTGTTCGACTGAAATTTACTGTCGTAAAATTTTGGAAATCATTTAAAATTAAGCAATGTATCCCTCTTATGCATAGCTTTGATTCCTTGTACGAATTTGGTTTTACTTTGGGTCTTTTTTGGTTTTTTTTTTCAGCTCTTCAACGTTTGCATCAAGTTTTAGATTTTCAAATATTTTGGACCCGAGCATCACTGAAGAGAATTGATTGTCGAAGTGCGCATCTGATGCTGTAAAATTATGTAAAATATGAAGTGGAGCACATGAACTAGAGACCGGTTGGATCAAGTTTTAGATTTTCAAATATTTTGGCCACGAGTATCACTGAAAAGAATTAATTGTCGAAGTTCGCATCTGGTGCAGTAAAATTATGTGAACTATGAAGCGAAGCACCTGAACTAGAGACCGGTTGCCGTCTGTCAGAGTGGTGTTTAATGCTATTAGCTGATTGCGGCCGTTAGTTTAATCTGTAGAGTTGTTTTACATTTATTATCTGAATTTGCTCCTTCTTGAAGGCTGTACAATGACCTGACGATATTTACATACTTTTCCTTTGGTCTAATGTTCAACTTGAATAGTTGTCTCATTGGTAATCCAACAAACTCTCCTTATTTTCATATTACTAGCATTTTAAAAATATACAAATTAATTCGTTAATTCGTGAAAGGTTTAGCTAGCTATAAAACCAGGTTTAATCCACCATTTTCTACATAAGGAAATACCTATACCAAGTTAGGAATATGACAGTTGTTTTCCATTCGTTTGATGTGTTTGAGCTTTTGATTTTGTTATTTTTTAAGCTTAAGGAACTTTCCTTTTTGAATTTTCCTTGGAGTTCGATTTTGTTATTCTATTTTGTGAGTAACTTATAACCTATATCTCATCTTGGTTAAAATAAAACAGTATCACTGTTGGCTACAATAACTTTGCTTGGATACATGCATTGAAATGTTAATCAAAAGATTTTTTATCTGATTTTTTACCGATTGCACCAACTTTTATAATATTACGAAAGAGCTTCTTTATTGACAAGATGACACTGATTCCAATTTATTTTCGATGGATGACTGTATTTGGTTCTTTGTTAAGGAAGTTTTTAACCACTCGGTTTTGAACAATATTGAGGTCCCTTGTAATAACATAGCCAAAGGAATACATGTGTAATATCTAAAATTTTATGATTCACAGGCTCAAAATTAAGTTGAAGGAGCAATATTATTAAAATGAGGGTGTGTTGAGAACAAAACATAACGAAAAAATGGATCATTATAAGGGCCTGTATATGGAGTACACATTTCCCATTTGATAGGAAACGCACCGGAGCTTGCGTTTCCTATTATGATTTCCTAGAGGGTCGCTGCTTACAAAAAAGCTTTCAACCAATGTTTCCATGTGGTAAAGTTGAAGTCTCTTTGAAAGTGTAACGAACGTCAATACGAGTTGGTTGACCGTTCTGAAATATCTATGTCACAGAGGACCACCAATGCGTTTTTTTACTTGATTGTGATATCACCGAACGACACTTTTTGTCGAAATTGTACTTATATAGATATAAGAAGATGTGGTATGAGTGCCAATGAGACATCCCACCATCCAAGTCACAATTTGTAAAAGTAAACCATTATAGGTCAAAGTACGGCCTTCAACACGGAGCCTTGGCTCACCCCGAACAGAAAGCTAAAGGGCTCCCAAAATGACAAGTGTTAAGCCATTCAAACAGAAAACCAACGGTCTAATCTATATAAAAAACGAGATACGAGAAACACATCAACAAACGACAACCACTGAACATCAGGTTCCTGACTTAGGACAGGTGCAAACAAATGCAGCGGGTTTAAACGTTTTAATAGGCGCCAACCTTCACCCTTCCTGAAACAATAGTGTAACATCACAACATAGAAAGACACACTATAAAATATCAATTGAATTGGCTTAACTCAATCAAAAGACATATTAACAAAAACAAGTGAACATACACTGAACAAATAAATTTGGTCTATGACACAATGTAAATATGTATGATCAACATGATGGATGGCACGTGTTGAGCAGGATTTGTTACCCATCCTGAATACATTTACATAAAATTACCCCCTTTTTTGGTTTGGTAATTTATAGTATGATATTCAAAGTCTTTATGTTTAATACTATATTTGCTCCTCTTGTAGCACAAAAAATGTTGCTGAATGTAAAATAAAACATCTTGAAAATATTGGTAATATCTTACCGGATGATTTGCTGCCCTCTTGTAAAACATTCGATGTGATAGTCTGATCCTGTCTGCTTTCGCCTGGCTGTCCATTTTCTTGTTTGTGATCTAAATTAAAATATCAAATTATATCCGTAAACAAAATTATGAGGCTGTTTTTTAGGGCTTAACAACTTTTCTCTTTAGAAATTTATTTAATTGGAACATTAAATTATTATCGATATTTTTTCACTGTTAATCGGTAACTATAAAAAAACATTAGTTTATCAAATTCATTCCAGTGATAATTATCATAAAAATATATGTATATTTTTGAATTGATTTGTTGAAAGATTTTCAACAATTTATGGTATTGAATTCTTAAAATTTGATAATTTTACTGAGTATATAAGTTACAAATAGATACGTTTTCGTGTGAATTTCCATATTTCGTTCCTTAATCTTTTCGCATAGTTTTATGCAAAAATAAAGATATCAAAGGAAAAATGAAGAGTCTGATACGTATGAGTATATATGAATGAGTTTCGGCTTCACTAGTAACTCCGGTCGTGTTAAGCATGTTTAAATATCATTAAAAGTCATAATTGCTATTGCGACATCATACAGCTGAGTGAATACAATAATGTTTTACTTTGACAATTTGCAATCTTAATGAGTGATCCATTACATTGGGATATGGCCATGGGTTTAATGAGTTCTCTAAATTTGTTCATAGTAGCTGCCAGTTGAACTTGCAGTTGGTAGCTCATTTAAGCATACAACCATATAAGAGCCAATATCTGAGCAAACTTATTGTAGCCTACAAGGATACTGTTTAGATGAATCAAGAGGAGATATTGGTTATAGGTCAATGAGACAGCACTAACGAATAATAATATTTAGTCATTCAATACTCCTATTATATATCTCAATCATTGGGACTACAAAATATAGAAACAAAAGAAAGCACAATAAAACCATTTCATAAGCACTATAATTCCAGTATAATAAAGAAAAAAGACCAAAATACAAGTAAACCAATGCTTAGTAGTATAGTATCAAAGAATGAAGTACTTCGCTGCTAAACAACGAAGCTCTCACGCTGTTGTACTTCCTATTAATTTTGATAGATCATGTCCTAAGATAAGAATGAGATAAAATAAGGATATTTGGTATGTTGACAATGAAACAAATATCCAAAAAAGTCCAAAAGAAGCGGATTTAAGCATACAAAGAAAATTGTATGGCCTTCAACAATGAGAACAAAAGTTCATTTTTCATTGCAAAGTCCATTGTACACATGTAGAGAATTTCAGAAAACAAAATACATGTAAAAACATTTTGTACTATCCGTACTTGTATCTCATATTTTGCCTTAACATGGGTATAACTTCCATAAAGTCTCTCGTACAATCGTTAGTAAATGGGTATACTGGATTGGTAGTCGTTTATTGTATTTACTTGAACATCATATCACGATAGATGCCCCTAGTGCTTGAGAAAGTTAACACACGTGTTTTCATGGGTTCGTGTACTTAAACATTAGTGTTCTGTGTAGTTAGGTTGGATCCCCTCGCATTTATCGTTTTTCCTCCTTTTAAAACCAATAACTTATCATTTAAAAATATGTCAAACATGCCAAATACCGCTTCTCGATCTTTACAAGGTCTGATCCATCTTTATATATATAAAAAGTATAACAAAAAATACCGAATTCCAAGACAAATTCAAAAAAGGGAAGTCCATAAACTTGACAAAATCAAACGCTATCAATCAACGGAACAAGTGAAAAACAACTGCCATATCCCTGACTTGGTACAGGAATTTTCCGAAGAAAATGGTGGGTTAAACTTGGTTTTATAAACCTCCCAATTGTATGACAGTGTTTTTTTTTTTATAGTTCAGTAATATTAACAAAATGAGGGGGCAACCTATACAGACAGAATAGGCCAATGTGATAATAATTGGGATGTTAATGTTAAAATATTAGATTCATGAGCTTGAAGATCCCAGAATAAAACAAATGACGAACACATAATAACATACAACAAAATTAATAATAAATACTTTGCTCCTTTTTGAATATTTGTCTGTTGTGCATTGTTTTTCATTTATTTTTATATAAATATTGTTATACTGTTTATTTCTTGAAGTGACCATCCTGTGATAATTGCTTCAACTACAGCATCTTCTAGTTTAGGTTCCTTGGTGTCATCAACATCGTATACAGTAATCTGTAATATTGATTTGATTTGATTTAATTGTTTGTGTTACAATATGAAAGCTAAGACTTCCGAAAGATACATGACTTTTTGGAAAACAAATGGTTTAACATTAGACATGGTAAAATGGAAAAGTATTAATTATTACAAAAATGCAAATAAAGCGCGTTCATTGAAGTAACACAACATTTAAAACGTGCATGTGTGGATATTACTGATAGTATGAAAAGATAGTATGAACAAAGAATTATGCGATAATAGTGCAAATATTTGATAATCGAAAATTTAGGTCTACACAAAAGGCAGATTAAGATATGCTTGTTTGTAGGGTGAACTTTTACGATAAACTATTCTGACACTTGAAATTAAAATTCGACTATCAAACAAAAAAATATTTTCCAAATAATGTTAGACATCCACCTGTCATAAAAGCTTTTCCCAATATAAATAGTAGAATTCCAAGAGTATACGTAATGGCGCAGAAACCAGAACCCAGCGATTCTGAATAAGACTGAACATTTTATTCAAACGGCCATTTTAATAAATATGTCTTTGGTTGTCATACATCATTTATATAGGCTGTGCAAATACATGTTTGTAATTAAAGTATATTCTGTCATAGACGAGGATGAGGTAGCAACCAAACGAAATAAAATATTTGAGAAATACTGGAGGCAGACTAAAGCAAATTGGATATTAATCAGAACAGCATGGAGCAACGTGGAAATATCTGAAGCAACCGTGAGAATGGAATGTCTAAATCTATCGGACACAGGCGTGAGCAATACAAAATTATATAGGGATCAGCTATGAGCAGCGAAACAAATATATCGGGAACAGCCGTTAGTATCTCAAAAAACGTCGGGAACTACGGTGAGCAGCTTGATAAATATCAGAAACAGTCATCAGCAGCTCGAAAAGATTTACGAGCAGTCGTGAGCCGCTGGGAAAATATCGGGAGCAGCCTTGATGTATAAGCCCTTAAAAGCGCAGAATGCATTTCCGGTACCAATGTGTGTGACGTCAAAGACGACGTCACTTCCAGTGGATTATGCAACAATGCGATGACGCTTTGCTATAACTCCGCCTCCTCAAATACCTGTTCCCATTTACTACTTGCATTTCTTGAGCAAGTATGCATTAGTCAAATGCGCCTCATTTTTTTCTTTGTAGTCTCACTGACAAAATCATCCGTGAAGAAAGGAATTTAATATTGACTTTGCCAATTCAAATATTGCAAAAAATTATCCTAAACACTGTACGGAAAAGAAAGGACATATCGTGATCGCGGATATTACAAACAAAATGAAATAAAACATAATATACAAACCAGGTAATTATATTTCGTTATTTGTTTCATTATTTCCTGAAGAAGATCGAATACCGCTTTTTTAAAATATATTCCAAACAATAGTGGAGCTTTTCTCTTTAGCAACAGTTCTGTATCGCTACAAGCACAGAATAAAAATGAAAAAATGGCTGTAAACAAGCGTTTTGAAAATTCACTCACTTGAACGTGTTTTCAAACTTTTATTGGAATGATATTACTTTCTTTATCAATATACTTGTATTTTAGGCTGTTTAGTCGGATAGCATGGCCGAAACCATGCAGGTACATAAATCCATGTATTTGGAGTGTGTTATTACTAACATAGGTTGTACCGAATCGTCTAACGTACAAGCAGTAAGGAAAACTCGATTTTAAAATATTGTTTTCTGATGCTTTTCAATGCCAAATTATCGAATAGGAATTGTAAAAAAGCTAAGCTAAGGGTAACAGAATGAACGGACGATAAAGGCAACAACTTACAATCTTATTCAGGAAAGCTTGGGTTTAAAACAGCCGTCTTTGTCGGGACGTATTATAGTTTACCGTGGTCAGCCCATCAGTTAAGACTTTATACGATAACTCAATTTGCATTACCTCTGAGGAGACAAAAATTTCTAGAATTAACTTTTTTTCTTAATCCGATTTTTGGGTTTAAATGACTGTAAAAAAATAATTGGTGAAGAAAAAATCATATGGTGGTGCACTTCTTTTTTTGCTACGGCCATTTGAAAGTACCCAATTCTGATGATTTTCCCATTTTTCATCAATTTTTACACATTTTTTGGCTATTATCATGAAAAAAATCACAGTTTCACAATTAAACTTTTTTTGGACCAATCTGAATAAATTTAACTTAAAAAGCAAATTATTTCATCTTTTTTTTATAAATGATTGAAAAAATACATATCTAAGAAATTTGAAAAGAAAAAATTGATATGGGATGTACATGTTTCTGGTAAAATCATTTCTTGTACCCATCACCCATTTTCTCAACATTTTGGCTAATGAGACTGACTTGATTGGTAATAAAATTTGAAAATTTAATTACTCAAAAACTACTTATTGTAAATACACAATTTTTTTCACAGAGTTAAGTTTGATTATAATATTTTTTAAATTCATTGATATTTTCCACTTGTATCACATGTTTTGGAAATAATTCCAGAGCGAGATTTCAACGATACTGAAACGTCAGAAGAATACATCCTTAATCAATTCTCATTTAACTTTAACACATCAAAAGAATTGACGGAAGAAAATTCTCTTTTGATTTTAATTATTTGGTTGAGTCTGTCTAGAGTTTACGACATCAAATTAAATTTAAGGCAATTTTTCATATACCGCCTATGATCTCAAGTATGCTTGCACTGATTTCCTGAAAGCTTTACGCTATTATTGGGATAGATAAAAGTAAGCTCCCTTTCGATTTAGAAAGTTGCCCCCTTATTTGAGCATGCTTGGATTGATTTACTAGAATTTTATATAATTTTAGGAATATGTGAAAATAAGATATGTTCGTATTTTGAAAAAAATTCGATTTGTCATTTCAGATTTATGGCACTTTTTAAAGTCAGATTAATAAATGCAATTCTGTACGTCTAGATGGATTGCATCAAAATACTCCAAACTTCACATTGCAGTTGAGATTTGTGAATTTAGACTCGCTTTTGATTTTGAATAATTTCTGGTTGGTCGTTTTAGAGTTATGGAACTTTTAACAGTGATATTTGACACAATATGTTTACCCTCAATATCCGACTGTTTGTTCTGTGAAATTTCGATGAGGGTGATAGTCCAATATCAATGTAGGTGATTTGGTATAAGGAACAAACCATGCAACCTCATTTTCTTTTGATATAAAAAAAACTGATACTATTAGGAACACGTTTAATCTGCATTTTTCTCTGAAATGTTTTGATGGTACTTGTAGTGACAACTATGGCATGGCATTGGTTGCAAAAATTTGATATTTTTCATTTAAATGCAATATTTTTTATTTAATTGGTATATTTCTTCATTTAAATGCAATATTTTTTATTTAATTGGTATATTTCTTCATTTAAATGCAATATTTTTTCATTTGAATGGTATATTTTTTCATTTAAATGCAATATTTTTTATTCAAATGGTATAATTTGTCATTCAAATGGTATAATTTGTCATTCAAATGCAATATTTTTTGTTCAATTGGTATAATTTGTCATTTAAATGCAATATTTTTTATTCAATTGGTATAACTTGTCATTTAAATGCAATATTTTTTATTTAATTGGTATATTTCTTCATTCAAATGCGATATTTTTTTATTTGAATGGTATATTTTTTTCCTTTAAATGCAATATTTTTTATTCAAATGGTATACTTTGTCATTCAAATGCAATATTTTTTATTCAATTGGTATATTTCTTCATTTAAATGCAATATTTTTTATTCAATTGGTATATTTCTTCATTTAAATGCAATATTTTTTTATTTGAATGGTACAATTTGTCATTCAAATGCAATATTTTCTATTCAATTGGTATAGCAGTTTTTTTTATTTATATGCAATAATTGCATTATGGGAAATTCTTTGACGTCTTAAGGTCAAATTTGCAACAACGTTTCTGATTGGTCGGTAATTGTTTGGATTTCCCCCTTTCTTTCTAAACATGAGTGACCAAGAATTAAAACAACGCGTCGGAATATCGCCCCCCTAACTAAATTTGGCGTTCGTGCGAGTTCATGCACTGGCTGTAATGCCAATAATGGCCAGGTCGAGCAAAAAATGCGAGTGACAAGTAATAATAATTATTTTGACACACAACCTGTTCATGGATAGAAACAGATGCCTGCGTGCATGGCAAAAACGCCTCCAATGAAAACCCTTTCTGAAGAAACTCCCCGACAGTCTACACATTGAAATAAAAAAAATGCATAGCTAGCCCTCCCTCTAAGTCCAGATACATGTAATCATGACGTTCTCTGATGCTATATCATTTTTTCTTTTCTTGATCCTCAGAGACGTTGCAGGAAGGCAGACATAAAAAGAGTAAAAAGCCTTCCAGAACGTTATAATTATTTAGACTAAGCCCCATCTTTTTTGCTTCATGTAGAAAAAAAATCACCTAATTACGACAGCAGAACCAGAGACCCACATGAAGAGACCTAAGCTGTGATACTCCGGAACTAATTCTTTAATAAAGACAATTCGGGATAAATTGGAACCAGTTACTAACCCATGTTACAACAATAGTCCTATGACATAGGACGTACACTGTATAAGGCCTGAACTTCACATTTTGGACTATCTATAATATGTGCTCTCATGTCTTATGCCGCACATCATTTTACATTTAGGATTCGTTGCTGAGCTTTTTTTTTACTGTTCACATCTCCGAATCCCTTAATAGAATTTGTTTTTCAAGCCCCACAGTAGTTCAATAATTAATATACCTATGTCTTTGCATAAATAAGTATGCAGGGCATATTTCAAAACATACAGTATATAATTAGATACAAATCTCTAATGATTTGTATCCAACAAATTATAGGATTGTACGTTTAGCAATTATCTAGACCCATACAAAATGTATAATATTATAAGATACATCTAACAGGGGCGGATCCAAAACCTCGGTGTCTAGGGGAGGGGGGGGGGGGTCAGATTAAGATATTTGTATAGAGATGTATATATGACATATTTGCAGTAATGGCTAATGTGTGTGTGTGTGTGTGAGGGGAGGGGATTCAGATTAAAGATAGTTTCTATAATTCTATATCTTTTAGTTTTTACCATTTCACTCTATTCTTTATCCTTTGATCTCTATTATATTTGTGCTAAACATGCGTGAAATATTTGTTACTGGACATTTGGCAACCAAAAAACAATCGACGCATTCTTTATATTTCATCATTTCTTTATTATGTTTATGTTATCTATAGGTTTGGTCCCGCCCCATATCCATTTTTTTGCACATTATTCTCTCTATGTAAACCCAATGCATGTCCTGATAAATGGTGACTCATGCATAGCATCAAATGTGGTTATTAAAACAAGAAACATATTCATATTATAATAATTTACTGTATGCTTGGACTTATAGATAGATGTCATTAGTCCCAGATCATGTAATAAAGTAGGTCTTATAAAAATACAATAGCATTTTAATGATGATTATATATATGTATATATATTTAACAATGCCAATTTTTGGGGGAAAAGGGTAGGGGCAAGGCGTTTTTAAAACATATTAATGGGGCGCGTTTTTTGTTCTTCGGTAGTGAGCCAGAAGAAGTCCATTTCTGTTTTTTTTTTTTTTTTTTTGCATTGGGAAGATCTTCTGGCTCTCTTCCACGTCTTCTTTTTTGATATGTTGTCTAGACGTCAGAGGCACATAACAAACATGGCGTCGTTTAGTCTAAATAACATTAATAAATTTATGAATTCAGATATATTAGAATGTGAACTGTTTTATAAACGTTTTTATGGTATGACAGCCTTAGTAGGACATCCCTGTAGGACGATAAGCTGGATAAATATAAGAACTACACGGACAATAACAGTTAAGGGAAGATTATTTGATATTCTAGGTAAGGGATTTTGATTGATTGGTGTTTAACGCTACTTTCAACACTATTGGGCTATTCCGTAGTGGTCAGTTTAAATTTATAGATAAAGGATGGGGAAGGGAAGAGAGGGCATTATTATTCATTTTAATCTGTCGCTAATCGTGCCTATTTTTCAGCTCTTACCAGGCAACCATACTCATGTCATATATATGAAATCCTTCTGTCCCCCACCCCAACAAATAAATAAATATCAAATGGTTTTCCTCTTATTTAACACAAGTTTAAATTGATTGATTGTTTTGTTGTTAATTGTTAACGCCCAGTGACAAATATTTCATGCTTGTTCAGGAAAACACGAGTTTAGAAGTCAGGTACATAATATAAAAACGTAGAGATGGGATATGATTGCTAATAAGACAACTATCCACCGGAGTTCAAATATGAAGTGGATGTAAGCAATTATACACAATCGTAAGGCCTTCAACAATGACAAAAACCTGATACTTTAAAGTCGTCTATAAAAGGTCCGACATGAAAAGTGTGAACAATTCAAACGAAAAAACTAAC